CCCCCCCCCCCTCCAACCTTTCTTGTTCCAGTTGGCTTCCATTCTGAGGGATTTGACGGCGACATCATTGGGAAGAGGCTGTCCTGGGTACTTTGGTTGATATCACTAGTATTCCCAGGACCGCTGACCAAGTTGGGCTACGTACAGAGACTGATGAGGGTTACCCTGGGGGCTTATTGCGAAGCGCATCTCTGTATGCCTTTGTTTTGATCGATTCGATCGACCATCGTTTGCCTTGGAGAAAAAGAAACTCGCACCCATTCAGCTCCGCCACCCACTGGTGGTCCTCCCTTCTGCTATTTCTGCTTGTATTTTTTATAGATCTTGGTGAGTACCATTGCCAGACGTACCGTCCGCCTTTTATGACTTTGACATGGACCGAGACACGACGCAACCAAAAGTTTCTTCCTTCTTTTTCATCATACACTGGCGTTTCACTAGGGCGAAGAAGAGTTTCTTGGTCTGATACGTATTTCTCTCTTTCTTCTTCTCTCCTTGTTCTTCCGTATGGGGTTTCCTAGGATTATTATAAAAACATTTTCCAACTTTTACCTTCCTTGATCGTGATCGACAAGTCGGTCCTCGTGAATATGTGAGACAGGCTCCTCTGCGTTGTGTGACACCCGTTCCTAGTGGCTGGGGGCTGAATTCATGGCTGAGCTGGTGGTAGGGGAGTCACATGTCGCTGAGCACATGTATGCCATGGACGACGATGATGGAACATATATAGGTGGTACTCCTCGTAAGAATAGTTCAAGCCACGTTCGCAGCCGACGTTTGACCTGGGGGGAATGGGCCGAGAAGAAGCGTGAGCATGGCTGCCTGTCTTGGGAGGCATATAGAGAGAGGTTGAGGCATGGAAGGGGGGGAAACAGAGTAGAGATCCGACATCGCAACAGACTCCAGCTCCCTAAGCACGATTACGTCTTTGAAGGGTTGGGTCAGCTTTATATATATTATATTTTATAAGCATTTTATATATATTTTATATTTATTTTATATATATCTTATATATATTTTGAATCTACGACTGATTATTCTATTATTCTTCTCGACCTTACTTTATGACAATAAGAGGGTCCAGTCGTACGTTGTTTGCAGGGATGGTGTGGTCTCTCAACCACTCACCGCCTGGAAAAGGTGCTCCAGGATGGAGGGGTGGAGGGCCTCATCCTACCAGAGAGAGAGAAAGAGAGAGAGTGGGAGAGAGAGGGAGAGAGAGAGGGAAGAGAGGGGGGTAGAGCGCGTTAGCCGGGCTCTTGTGAGGTGCGTTAGTGTGACGATCTCATTGAAAAGTGCAGAGCGTGCGTGTGTGCAGTAGGGGACTTTTTAGGCGGCGGCGATCCATGGATTGGGAGGGAGGGGGAGGGAGGGGGCGTCATAGTTACGAGTTTGTTCCTGATATCTTGGCGGGGTGTACAGAGTACACGTAGCCGTCTCATGCTCATATTTCCTGCTCTATCACAGCAACGCATGGACTTGAAAGGAACTGCTGATCTCTCTTTCTCCGTCCCTCTACGAAAAAGACCCATGCTATCGAAAAGACTGGCCGACCTTATCTTGTGTTCGTATGTGTGTCAGAAAAAAGTGACAGCTGAGAATGTTGTTGGGCTATGCCGATCAAATCCTAGGCGCGTGCTGGGCGTCTCGTCTCTGCGTGGGGTCATGTGCTGCTGGTTCACTCCCCCCCCCCCCTCTAGGTCCCGAGTCTTGGGTCTTGACTGGGTAGGAGAAGTTGTTGTTGTTGGGGGGGCGGGCTATCGTTTCTTGGGCAGTCGGCAACAAGCACCGCCAGCATGTACGGATTGCTCGTAGTCTCTGTTAGGAAACACCGCGCACTCTTACCATATGCCAGACGTACGTCTAGTGCCCATCTTAGCCTGCTCCTCCTGTACGAGCCGTCCGTAGACGCCTCCGTTCCCAGTCGCACCATTCTGCTGCGTTATCGCTGCCATGCAGCAGCATACTGATATACATACAACCTTGCCAGGCCATTCTCACCATCGCATAGCTCCGCCCTTCCACCTTGTTGCGTGCTCTTTTCTGCCCTCTCCCCCCCCCCCCCCCCCCCCCCCCCCCCCGCCCCTCTCAACTGCTACCTGTATCTACTAGTGGTAATACTATACTCCGAGTCGTATTCCATCATTCCATCTCTCCCCCCTCTGCTACGACCTCTTGGGAGAGACGAGACTTGCGATTAATATACGTATATACACACACAACACACATACACAGTAGCAAATCTTCTCACCTGCCCTTTCAGCCCACTGTATTTCCTGCTCCCGTGCAGCCCAATCAGCCCAGTTGTCTGCCCATCAGCAGACTAGCCACCCCTCCCGCTCTCTTCACTCTGCCCACCTCTAGCCTTCCCTTTCTGTACCTTTTCATCTCCTCCCACCCTCTTTCCATTTATCTTTCTCTTCCGTTTCTCTCCTCCCCCCCCTCATCTTCATCTTCAATCCGGTCTGGCTACCTCCATCATCATATATTCCTTCCCTCCTCATAAACCCAGGCTACCAGTGGTCGAGGTAACTGCCCAACGTAATCGACCCCACGACCAGAGGCGGGGTCGTCATCGACAAGGGTCCACGCGCGCACGCCGTTTCCTTATCAGATCTCTTTTGATTTCCCCCCGCCCACCCCCTTTCTCTCAGAGCCATGACGCATCGACCCGACAACATCGACGCCGATAGCAATAACAACATCACCAGTAGCAACAGCATGTCTCATCACAGACAATCTCGATCTAGCCCTCTTCCGCCTCACAGGCGCTTTGATGGTTTGTCACCCACCCACGCGGAGTCTCCAACGTATCGCGTGCGCGCTGACGGTTGACCGTGATTGTCTACATAGAATCCTGGGTTGAGGTATCATCCCAGCCATCATCGTCGTCGCTCTCGAGCATCGGTGACGAAATCGTCACCACAGGCCTGCGGGTGGGAGGACAGTGCGGCCAGCGCCGCCGCCTGCCCCTCTCAAGGAGGTCGCTGCCCCACCAGAATCCGGCCAGATACGCCGCGAGCAGCCAGGAGGAGGACTACGATGACAGCGACAGCGGAGACAACGACGACGGACACCTCGGTAGCTCCGTTGAGAACGTCCCCGCCGAGGATGCCGAGTCTGACGACGACGGCGACGACGCTACCGCGCTCGGTGGCCGTGTCGATGAGCGGCCCGTCTTCCGCCCCCAGCCCAACGCCTTCACCCACCCGCACCACCCACACACCCAGAGGAGCTATTCTACCAACACGATGACCGCGGAGCCCCACCCGCACAGCGGCCTCACCAGGCCGTCCTTCTCACGACGTTCCCAGACGCGCGTCCAATCCGGCGGCGGGGCCCCCAACTTCATGTCGCCCTCGGCCCGCGAGGATAACGACGAGGCCCTGCGCGCATCGCTGACGACACTCCTGTCGTGCGCTGCCGCCGCGAGGGGTCTGCCCAAGTCCAAGGAGGAGGCCGAGGCTCAGCGGAGGGCCCGGAGCGGCGTAGGCCCCAGCAACCAGCCCGTCGACCTGCGTCTGGTGCCGGAATCCGAGATGATGGGCCAGGAAAACAAGTCTGACAAGCAGCAGCAGCAGACTGCTGCTGCTGCTACCGCTTCTGGACCTGACGATGCTCGCAAGCGTACCTCGCCCGCGACGCGGTCGCCCTCCCGGGACGTTGATGGTTCCAGGAAGTCCAAGCGCAGCGCATCAGCCGGTCGGGGGTCACGCGCCACCAAGAAGAAGACGTCGACCAACGTGGCCATGGAGGAGACGCTCATCTCCCCCACCCTGCTCACGTGGGTCGTCAGTGCCGGCGTCGTGGTGCTCGTCTCCGTCGTGGGCTTCGGCGCAGGTTACGTCATTGGCCGGGAAGTCGGGCGCCAGGAGGCCGCCGCCGCCGGCCTGGTTGGCGGCGCGGTGAACGAGACGGCGTCGTCGTGTGGCCGCGAGGCTATCCGTGGATCGTCCGGTACACTGCGCAGGTTCAAATGGAGTTCTGTTGTGGGAAAGAGCATCACTGCCTGAACTTGTGTGCGGTGAAGTCGAAGTTACGGGCTATGAGCACGAGCACGAGCACGAGCACGGACGAGCAGCGGCACGGACAGTTGACGGCTGATGACGACAACGACGATGCCGAAACGGAGACGAAAGGAGTAATATGAATGGAATGGGCTGGAGAGAGGCAAGCATTTATTTTCTAGCACCGCATGCCCTCTCATCTCTGGGCGTTTTTTTTCCTTCTCTTATTTGCAACATGCTTCGAGTTCTGGTGGCACGATACCTGGAAGGGAACATGATTCACTCGTTCCCCTCTCTTTTTCTCTTCTTCCTACTCTCCTTTGTTGCTTTTTATCTATTATTATCGAAAAAAAAAACATGGTTTACTCGGAATGGAGGAAATGGTCAGGAGTTCTATGTAGTTCTCATCTTTACACCTTTTTTTTCTTTTTTTTCTTTTTTGCACTGTCTTTTTCTTCTTCTCTGAAGCGGTCATGATAATCGTGCCATCTTTTGGTAGAATCGTATTTATTTGCTGGAGATAACATGGGCACAAGGAAGGAAAATGAATCAATGGGATATTTGATCTATATTACGGAATTAGCCATGCTTCATAGGTCTGGCACATGGTAGAAAAATGGGACGCGTCAGCGGGATCTTCTGTTCGACCTCCTCAAAAAGTCTTCGATCGTGATAATGCACGAGTAATACCCAGTGATAGTGGCGGTGTCCAGAGTCTGGCTGTTACCATGATGCCACGAGATGCCGTGTGTATCGGACCATCTGGGAAATTAGCCCTGTATGATTGACAATGGTAATAACGTGCCGTATCACTGGCTCGTTCGTACTCGTATTCGACAGGCCGTGGAAGCAGTTGAAAGAGTGCATCACAAGTAGTGTCACGTCCTAGTTGAGAGATGGACTTGTTGGACTCTGTGGCACTCTGTGTATGTGTGTATGTGTGTGTATGTGTGTATGTGTGTGTATGTGTGTATGTGTGAGTGTGTGAGTGTGTGAGTGTGTGAGTGTGTGAGTGTGTGTGTGGAAAGGGGGAGGAGAGTGTCATGGAGAGCTGGAGAAAACGAACACGAATACGACGAAGGGACATTTGATCAAGGAACTGTCTGATTGGCTGACTTATGCTCCCCTGTATCTGTACCTGGAAAAAAGAATCGGCAGACCAGTCCCAAGGTTCAAGGTCCATGGGCCCCACAAACGATTTTCAATGGGAAAATTCAGGGATCATCAGGCCATTGAAGCCATCCAAGCTCAAAAAGCCCCCCCCTCCCCCCTCTAGAACTTTTCCCCTGGTGAGATCCAATATTGTTATAATAGCTTTTGGATTTCCCTTTTACTTCTCTTCCCCCCTCCCCATCCCCACCGTCCTCCTTCCTTTCCTTCTCTCTCTCTATATGTCAGACTAGACAGAGAATTTAGGGGTCTGGGTCGAGAAGAAGAAACCAAATCGCCAAACCACCTTTTCTTTCTCAACTCTCATCTTTGATCGATTGCTGTGGAAGGAACAGCAGCCAAGAAACAGCAGCAGCAGCAGCATGGGTGTCCTCGAAGAGATTGCGGCGCATCCCATCGCCCAGCGGTACCTGCTGCTGGGCACGGCGTCGCAGATCGGCATCGCCCTGGGCAGCTTCATTGCCCTGTCCATCGTCTACCACATTACGCGTCAGCTCGTCTTCAAGAGCCGCAATGAACCCCCCGAGGTGTTTTCCTTCTTCCCCTGGTTTGGAAGCACCGTCATCTACGGAATGGACCCCCCCACCTTCTTTGCCACAAACCGCGCCAAGGTACGACCGATATCTTTTTCTTCCTTTCTTCTTCTTTTCTTTCCTCCCACTTCGCAAACGCACAGGTTTGCACGAGAGGGAACATAGTGTGGGCGTGCGTGTGTGCGTGTTGAGAGATGTGGTGATGCTGACTCGTGTGCACGCAGTACGGCGACGTCTTCACCTTCATCCTCCTCGGAAAAAAGACCACCGTCGCTCTGGGCCCCGCTGGCAACGACTTCATCCTCAATGGCAAGCTCAAGGATGTCAATGCCGAGGAGATCTACACTCGTCTTACCACTCCCGTCTTCGGAAGAGATGTCGTGTATGACTGCCCCAATGCCAAGCTCATGGAGCAGAAGAAGGTAGGAACAGCACGCCGCGTGCGGGGATGACTCGACCGCCCCACGATCGGGTGCGCAGATGCTGACTCGTCTCCTCTCTACCTGTCCAGTTCATGAAGATTGCCCTGACGACCGACGCGTTCCGATCCTACGTCCCCATCATATCCAACGAGGTCACCTCGTACTTCAAGCGGTGCCAGGCCTTCAAGGGCAAGAGCGGCATCGTCAACATCCCCCAGAACATGGCCGAGATCACCATCTTCACTGCCTCGCACGCGCTGCAGGGCGACGAGGTGCGCAGCCGCTTCGACGAGAAGCTCGCCAGCCTGTACCACGACCTCGACATGGGCTTCACGCCCATCAACTTCCAGCTGTGGTGGTTCCCCCTGCCGTCCAACCGCAAGCGCGACCATGCCCAGCGCACCGTCGCCAAGATCTACATGGACATCATCCAGGAGCGCCGCGCCGAGAAGGGTGACAACGGCAAGTACGACATGATGAAGCACCTGATGAACTCCAAGTACAAGACGGGCAAGCCCGTGCCGGACCACGAGATCGCCAACATGCTCATCGCCCTGCTCATGGCCGGCCAGCACTCGTCCTCGTCCACCAGCTCCTGGATCATGCTCCGCCTGGCCCAGAACCCCGACATCATGGAGGCCCTGTACCAGGAGCAGGTCGAGAACCTGGGAGAGAACCTCCCCGAGCTCACCTACGAGATGCTGTCCCTCCTGCCCCTCAACCAGGCCATCATCAAGGAGACGCTCCGCCTCCATGCTCCCATACACTCCATCCTCCGCGCCGTCAAGCAGCCCATGGCCGTCCCCGGCACCAAATACGTCATCCCCACCTCGCACAACCTCCTGTCCGCCCCCGGCGTCAGCGCCTCCGACCCTTCCTACTTCCCCAACCCGGACAAGTGGGACCCCCGCAGGTGGCTCCCCGGATCCCCCAACGCTCCCACCCTCAGCCGCAACACCGAGGAGGAGGAGGAGCAGATTGACTACGGCTACGGTCTCGTCAGCAAGGGCTCCGCCTCCCCCTACCTCCCCTTCGGTGCCGGCCGTCACCGCTGCATCGGCGAGCACTTTGCCAACGTCCAGCTCCAGACTATTGTCGCCGAGATTGTCCGCCTTTTCAAGTTCTCCAACCCCGACGGCGGACACGACATCATCGGCACCGACTACACCTCTCTCTTCTCTCGTCCCCTTGAGCCTGCCAACATCCGCTGGGAGCGCAGGGATTAAAAGAGAAATAGAGAGGGTGTTTGTATTTTTCTGACCTTTGGTCTCCCCCCTCCCCCCCCCCACACACACACACCTCCTGTATTCTTTTCAATTGCATATATATACATATATTTCTTTGCTGCAATAACTTTTCATTATTATTGGAAAACGGCGAATAATTTCGTCTGGACACAAAAGATTGGGATTGGGAGGCCCCAGGTTCAAACAAATATATAAAAAGATAGAATATCATTAATGCTTAATGGGTCCTTTTTTTTTTGTCAACCATTCCTTGTTTCGATATGCTGTATAATATCTCTCGGACTCTATATGGTTGGTCTTAACAAAAGGCTGATGATGGGTGTACGGAGTAATAGTAATCGTGCCCGTAGTCGAGACACAATGGGTGTTAGGACCCGTTTCACCCCACCAACCCAGGGTTCTATGTGCCGATAGAGACAACACATGTATACTCAAGTCTATCCTCTTCCACTTCCCTATTACACAACAAAGTGTGCCATCCAAGCAGTTGTCCGTCTTCGGCTCTCTTACGGCATATCACATGTCAGCAGAAGAAAGGGAGGAAGGAAGGAAGAAAGAAAGAAGGAAAATGCCCGAACACTACGGACCGCTCGTGCGCCTCTGGGGCGTGTCAAGATCGCAGCTCCCAGGATCCACAGCGACAAGCTCCGAGCTCAAACCGCTCCTCGCATCTATCCTAGACGAAGCCATCCCATTCATCGCCAGCGTCCCCTCATCGCCGTCGTCGCCGGACAACGACTCGTCGCCATGGCGCAGCAAGGGCAAGCGCAGTGTTCGCCATTCACCGTCTCCCGTGCACTTGTATGAGCGGATCATCCCGGCAACGGCCCTCGCCGAAGCTGCCCAGCAACGACAGGCGACCTCGCCCCCCGGCACAGACGAGGCGTGGATCCTCCGGCGCAGCGTGCACGAGGACAGGGCCGCGCCCGGGTCGGCCTCGTGGGACGAGTGGACGCGGTACTTCAAGGACTCGCACGCCGAGGCGGAGAGGAGCTTCACGCCCACGGTGGTGAGCACCAGGATCGAGCAGGAGTGGGACTGTGGGGGTATAGAGGTCGTCCTGGACGGGAGGACGTGGGGCGGCTTCACGATGCGGCTGGAGGAGTCGGTGCACAAGATGCCCGCGCCGCTGAGGAACCGCGTGTTTCCCGTGCTGCAGGCCACGGCGGTGGCTGTGGCCGGAGAGGGGGATGGAGGCGCTTCTTCTTCGGGGAGGAGGGAGTTCATCGTCGTGCAGATCGCCGTCACCGATCAGGCCGACACCGTCGTCGGCACAGAGGGCAACCTCGTCGGATCGTATACCAGCATCGAGCGGTTCAGGGACGTGGCCGGCGCGGACGGGGAGGGCATCGAGTGGACCATGGGGACGGCGTCGGATGCCAGGGGCATCCTGCCGGCTTGGGTGCAGAGGATGTCCATCCCCGGCATCGTGGCAAAGGATGTCGACATGTTCCTTTCCTGGGTCGAGGGGCAGAGAAAAGAGGCGACGTGAGATATGATACCCAGTACTACTGTATTCTCTGGCCATCCTCTGTTCATCACTTCTGGATTTTTACCGAGGCTGTAGACAATGGAAAGAATGAAGCAGGTTGACTCTTTCCTAATTTGGTATGAATGAGAGTGCCCGGAAACCCAGAAACCAATTCAAGATCAGATCGCTCCTTCCCTATTTCATAGCCACCTCAACGTTGGAAGCTGTGGGAGATTCTGATGGAGGAACCTCTCAACAGCCAAATGCCTCTTCTTTCCATTCTCCGTTTCTAAACTCCCGCAAGAGTAACTAGTACTACTACCATCAAAGCTTCTGGCCCCTTTACCGCATCAGACGTTTCGCCCGTCATGGTCCTCACAAGATACCAGTCCGTGCCTCCCCCCCATAGAGTGTCTACTGCTATCACTCGAGATACGACTGCTAGCAGCAGCACAGCGGCGGCTACGGCAACAACGGGTACGGAACCCCCATCTTCTTCCAATCCGACACATGACGCCACCGCCTCTCCCCACCTGGATAGATTGGTGACCCGCGCCGAGGCCCTCGCTAAGATGACATTCGAGCTCAACATGCGCCGTCTAGAAGCCCAGGTCAACGACCTGCAGCGCGACGTGGGCAAAGTGGTCCGCGCCACAGCCGAGGACAAGGACTTCCGCAGCCAGAACGAGACAAGGCTGTCCAAGCTGTGGGGGGAGATGCTAGCCGTGAGGCAGCAGGTAGCCAGGGTGGAGGAGACGCAGACGCGGACGCGGACGCAGCCCGATCTCGAGACTTGCCAGAGTGAGACGAGGGATCTGGTTGATGGGTTGCGGAGCGAGATGGCAGAGCTGAGAGGCCTGGTGGATGTTATTACGAAGCAGATGGACGGTCTGGCGTCATCTTCGGCAGCAGCAGCGGCGGCAGCATCGCCGCCAACGACAACCGCGCCACAAAACAATAGCCAACAGTCCGGTGGGAATAGCGGCCAGACCCTTCGGAAGGACGACTCAGGGTTACCAGGCCATACTGGTGCCCACTACTCCGCGGCGGCGGCCGGCAGACGTCTCGACGAGGCCATCAGGTCTACCAAGCGCTGGAACCGCGATCACAAGACCACCGCCCTGCCCGAAGCCGCCTTCTGCGCCAGCTACCTAAAGCAGCAATCCAAGCGTGACGCTCCACTGGCCGCCTACATGCAGAGAAGCATGGCAAGACGCGTCCGGCAACGACCTGCTGCGGCATCACGCCCGCGGCCCAGAACCCTCGACGAATTCTGCCAACTCGTCTCGTGGCAGGACGTTCTCGACACGGCTCGACATGTACTCATGCGTGATAGACAGGAAACGATGGCGCACCTGGACGGGCGAGATTCATTTTAATCATTTATCGTAAGAGCATCGTATGTTTTTTTTGTTTCTTCTTTCTGCTCTTTTTGAAGAGAGTGATCAAGGTGATTTGTTGCGGTCGACCGGGGAAAAATAACAACAGAAAAAATAAATGTATGGCACCCAAAAACTCCTTTAAGAATTGCACGTCCGGATGCTCTCCCGCCGTAGAAATGAACGCCGTGAAATGGAACCTCCCTCTCTCTCCCCCTCTCTCTCCTGGTTAGATATGTACACTCCTTCTCCGCTCTAGTCGTCCATCTCCATACCAATAGACGACATCTTGAGCTCAATCTCCGACTTGATCTCCCTGATCTGGTTCTCGATACGCGAACGCAGAATGGCATTGTTCGTCCTGGCCAGGTCTGCCTGCTTGTTGCTGAGAGACTTCTTCATGTCGGCAATAATGTCCTTGACGCCCTGCTCCTCGTCACGCTGAGCACGCTCGTCGTCATCGAGGTCGTCATCATCGTCGTCGTCATCGTCGTCATCGTCGTCGTCGTCGTCGTCGTCGTCATCGCCAAAGAGAGCGTCTGCCTCGATACTCTCCTGGACGACGCCTCCTCCCGGCGTGGCGACCTGTGTGACGGTGAGCGGGGTGGCCGCTTCGGCTCCCGTGGCTGGCGTCCCGGCACCCTCCATGAAGCTGTCGGCAAAGGCGGCTTCGAGATCGGCCTCGAGATCGGCCTCGTTGTTGTCGGCACCGGCACCGGCACCGGCGCCGCCAAAGTAGGCCGTGCTGTCGTCGTCCTCACCCTCGGCATCCATGTCGACGTCCTCGTCCTCGTCCTCGTCCTCGTCGTCCTCATCCTGGTTACGCTCCTCGACCCATTCCCACCGCGTAGACTCGGCCTTGGCGTCCTCGGCCAGCAGACGCTCCACCTCGGCCTCCTTGTCCTCAATCTCCTTGCGGGAGATGGTCTTTGCGAAGCGGCGGTTGACGGCGTCGTGCATGGGCGGCGTCAGGCCGTGCGGCCATCGGAAGTTGGAGTCTAGCATGGGCGGGAGGGGCACCTTCTTGGCCTCGTCCTCGTTCTGGACTCTGGCGTGCACGAGGAGCATCTGGCAGATGTCGGCCGACTTGAGGAGCGACTTCTTGTCCCATGTCTTCATGGCCTCGGTGATGGTGGGCAGATCGACCAGGACGGCCGCGAATGCCTGGCCCTTGACCGTCAGGACGGCACGCCGCGTGTCCTCCTCGAAGAACTTGAGCTGTATGTCCGCCCCGCCCTGGGCCCGCGAGATGCCCATCTTGCCCGTCTCCATGCAGTGCCGCACGTAGTCGCAGTGCTCGCCGGGCAGCATCCTCAGAATAATCTGCTCTTCGATGGCCGGGTCCATCTCCCTGTCGCTGGCCTCCGAGTCGTACCCGTCGCCGGGGGGGTGCACGGGCGGTCGTCCGCGCGGCTTGACAACCAGCTGCGTGTGGGAGCCCTTGAGCACGCCGCCGCCTGGCTTGGGCGCATGCCGGATCTTGATCTTGGTCGCAGGGTGCACGCGGTGGTGCTGCTTCGCCAACGGCCTGCTATCTTCCTCGCCGTCGTCGTCGCCACCGCGCTTCTTGCTGTCCACCAGCTTCTGCGTGGGCTTGGGCTGTCGACCGGCCTTGGTCTTGCTGGGCGGCGCGTCCGCCGCGGCGGCGGTTGCTGCTGCTGGGGTCGGCGGCTGCGATGAGCTGATCTTGAGCTTCACCTTGCGCTGGATATCCCCGGCCCCCGGCGTCGCTGTGGTTGGCGTCGCCTTGGCTGCTGTCGGTGTGGCCCCGGCCGCCTTTGTCGCTGTCGGCGTCGCGCTGAACTCCCCGGTGCTGGTGTTCGATCGGCTGATGTTGATTTTCAGACGAGGTTTCGGCGGCGCCGGAGCGCCATCTGTTCCAGACATTGTTTTCCTGGTTGAAGGCAAGAAACCAAATGTTGGGTGTGATGTGTTGTGTGTGTGTATGTGTTTAAGAGATGGAGTGTTCGTATGCTGAGTTGAGAACTCGGGGGGTTGACTCGTTCTTTGTTCTATATCCGGGGGAAGGAGACGCTCATGTGCTTGCCGTATGGCGTGCTCCACTTTTTCTTTTCATAACTCTCCAACGCAACATCAGGCCTCCTGGTCTTCTTTTCTCTTTCTATTCCCTCTCTCCCATTACTACTACTTCGTACCGTATCATTGGCACTCTACTATTCTACGATTTCCAAGGCCCTTGAACTCGATCACGTACAATTTTATCGGCCCATCGGCTGCTACGTGAACATGTACTCTCGTCATGAGATATGCCGTCACCAGAGGGGGAGGGGGAAACAGAATGGAACTCACGATACGATGTGTTTCCCCAATCGTTGCGAAGTGAGTAGATGCCAGTTCCGTAGGTGCCACAGTGCGTTTCTTCAGATGCCCACATCGTTTTATTTTCACTCAATCAGCTCGGAGCTCCCCCCCGACCCCCCCAAACCATGTTGCCCGCAGCCGTGTTGGCATCATGGCTGAGCCAGCCTCTGGAAGTTTCTTTGGTTGGGAGACATTTCGGGTGAAGGGTTATTGAAGAAGAAGGACGGTAAAGATGATATCTAGAGGTAGGGGAAAGTTATGGATACTACGACAATGACCTGAGGAGCTTTGCCCGCCCCTTTATTACCTCGTTGGCCGCCATGCCAAACGAATGGCCAGGCCATGGAAAGCCGACTAGATAGCACGCCGGGTGAGAGGACAGCAGCGGCAGGGAAGGATGCGAGACGGGCATAGTCAAAGGCTGTTGGAGTACTCGGGTCCCGCCAATATCAGCTGCAAGGCTGGATCCCGCTCGGTGATGGTGGCAGAGAAGTTTACTGTTAGATTTACCAGTCCAGGGGGTCCCAACATAGTGATATAGAGGTGTTCTTCAGGAGGAATAGTAAAGCACTTTTCATTTTGACGCCATCCAATGATCCCGTTAAAACAAAACAAAAAGAAACGCTAGATATAAAGAGAGAAGGGGGAGAGAAAAGGAAAGAAGAGACGGGGAAGAAAACGATATGACAAGAAGAGGAAAGCAGGAACGTCAAGAGAAAAGGGATCACCATCCGTCGAGAGCCGTCCAGCCATAGTGGCCATCTACATTGACCCATCCGTTACCTCCCACGCCCTTGTCCCAGTCCATCATGGCCCCCAGGAGCCTGCACCCCATGGCGCTGACGGCACATACGATGCCGTCGCTAGCCCGCGCAAGGACAGCCAGGTCCATGACGTACGCCCTGCCCAGGAGACTGCGCAGCTTGAGCGTCTGTTCGGGTACGGGGGCGGTGGCGTCGCCGCCGCCGACATCGACACCGCCCGGGGCGTTGGCGGCGTTGTTCCTCCGCTCCTTGCCGAGGTTCCAGAAGATGGGGGCGAAGAAGCCGCCCTCCCAGCCCGAGGCTTCCTCGACGAAGCGGTGGATCATGTCGTTGAGGTGCTGGGGCTTCCCCTGGTCGTTGGAGGCCAGGCGGATCCTCTGCTGGGCGGGAACGGCCGTGGCGAAGTCGGCCTGGTTCTGCATGGTCGGGTCGTCGGAGGCGAGCACCATGATGAGGTCGCCGGGACGGCCACCGGCGCTCTCGTCTCCGGTCCCGGTCCGCACGGTGGCGGCCGCCAGCTGGGCAGCCTTGTCGTGGAACACCTCGGCGGGTATGTAGGTGTCGCGGTACTGGTACTCTATCGGGTGCAGGTCGCCGCGGCGCACGTGCAGCCCGATGACGGGGGCGTCCGGGGCGGTTATGCCCTTCCTGGACCGGCTCCTGAGCTCGCCTATGCGCGACTCGACGTACGCCCCGTCGTCCTTGTTGATACGGAACAGGGCCTCGTACCCGGCGTGCGCGAGGTTCCACACGTCGCGCACCCTGTCACCCGTGCCGTTGTGCCGCCGGTACTTGGCCATCAGGGGCGGCGCCACGTCGTCGGCCGAAGCGCCCGACACCACCAGGTGGCGCGCCTGGAAGGGGCAGGGGACCATGTGGTGCCGGGGTGGGGGGCGGCACATGGGCGGCGGCGGTGGCTGGAAGATGTCCGAGTAGGCGCCGTAGGCCCACCGGGAGTCGTCGATGAAGAAGGCCCTGCCCTCCTGCTTGGCGATGCCGTAGAAGACCCAGAGCATCATGAGCTCGTTGCCCATGCCGGCGTCCGTGTTGTCGAGGACGTAGGTCATGGAGCTCTGGCAGATGGGCAGCAGCTGGTGCTGCTGGTAGGCGTTCTTGCCGTCAGACGATGCGCCCGCGGCGTCATCCAGCCCGACGAAGTGGCCGAGGCCGTGCCGTGTCCACCTCGCCTTGCGCGGCGGCTCCGGCAGCAGGCCCGACTTCTCGGCTTCGGCCACGTCCATGAAGTAGGCCTCGGGGGCGTCGTGCTTGAGCAGCGTCTTGTCCGAGAGCGGCGACTTGCGGTGCATGTCCTGGACCTGGGCGGACGCCTCGCGGCAGTGGCGGCCCATGGCGGCGTACTGGTCCGAGGCCAGGGGGAAGCTGTAGGTGGGCGGGACGAAGAAGGTCCACCTGGCCTGGCCCTTGGCGTCGGTGGTGACGATGGGCGTGGGGAAGTCGGGCACGGCGTCGAGGGCGACCATGTCGAACGTCTCGGAGCCGAGGTGGGAGCGGACGGTAGCCATGGCATCCTGGTTCAGCAGGGCGAAGGCCAGGACGTACAGTGTCGAGAAGAGTATGGTGGTCCAGACGCCGAGGCGGAGCAGCCGACTCGGGGTCGGCTTCCGCAGCAGGTCGCTGGCCGCCCTCTTGCGGCGGGGGACGAGCGGGGGGAGGGCGGGTGAGGGCGGCGGCGAGAAGAGGAGGTGGTTGAAGTTGAAGGTGGACGAGGTGGCCGAGAGAGGTGCCTGGTCGTTGGCGTTGTACGACTTGGCGCGGCGAAGGTTGATGCGAGGAGGAGCGACCATGAGCTTGGCATTGCTGCCGGGGACGGTGAGGTGAGTGTTGGACATGGTGAGCGTGCGGTGCTTATCTCGTGTGCCTCTGCTATGGGTGACGAAGTTGTGTTGTATATATACATGTATTGATGTTGAAGGGATGGGCCGAGGCGCAGCTCACGGTCAGTCTATCTGTGTGATGGAAGCAGAGAAGAGAAGAGAAGGAGAGGAGGACGGTACGGTCCTGACGCTGTTCAAGCATCCATAAGAGACAGGAGGATGCCTGACTTTAGGGGTTGAAGAGGTAGACGGGGCAGTCTTGCTTCTCTAAGAGGAGGACGGGAGATCTGACTCCAAGGAGAGGCGAGTGAAGAGACGAAAAGAAGAGAATGAAGAGATGGACCCAACCAGTGGCGCCACACGAAAAGGAAGGTTGAAAGAGAATGGAAAGAATGGAAAGAATGGAAAGAATGGAAAGAATGAAAGTGACGTAGACAAGAGACAGAGAAGAGACGGAAAGAGGAAGAAGGGGAAGAAGAGGAAGAAGAAGGAAGGAAGAAGCGGGAGAGAGAGAGAGAGAGAGAGGACAAGAGGGAAGGAAGAACAGGTGAGACCGAGGTTTTAGCCACAAACGCGTTTCGTCGATCCCGTCAGCCTGTGGGATTTGGGTAGCGGGTGGTACAGACCCCAGTTACAGTCCCAGAGCCGGGTGGTACATCAGCCACTGACGGCCAAGCACTGCGTACCTGAACCTGCAAATCAGTTCCAGAGCAGAGATCAATGCGAGACTCCGTCCTGAGCAGGGGTGCCTCTGAACCGTTGGCCCTCGGAAGCGGGGTCGACAGGCAGGCCGGGGGAGAGGATGAGAGGATGAGGAGGAGCAGGCGGGAAACAATGTTTCAGAGTAGGTGCTACTTGAGAGAAATTTCAACAAGGTAAATGATGCATAATATAGAGCAGAGGCAGGACGAAAGAGACACAGCGAGGAGAAGGGATAGAAGAGGCAAGGATGGATTAATGCTAAAGATCTAAATATATATATATAAATAAAAATTAAAAAAGGGATACGAGGATACGAAGCCAAGAAGAGTCTGGTGGAAACCTACTCGCGTAGTTTTTTTTGTCTGTGTCTCCTTTTTTTTTTTTTTTTTTTTTTTTTCCCTTTCCAGCTCGTGATGTTGCACCCAGTTTTGACATTGTACCATATCCGATCATACGGAGAGTATTACCAGCTACACGATCATCTCCCCAGCGTTCGCTCTTTCTGTGAGGGACGATATATGCCGAGGACCGCTCGAGCAATCATACTTTTACATCAGCATGGTTCCCTACAGCAAAACATCCTTACCTCGCAACATTTCGGCCGTTGATGGCAGGTCACCCTTACCATAACGAGTATACGAGCATCATCCATACTCGCACAAGTCATCTGTACTTCCCGTCGGGTAAATGTACGGGCAGAAACACCAAGACGCGTGTACCCCGCCACAGAGAATGGTATATACAGGTACCTCATCTGTACAACCCACTCGAGTACCGCGACAATGTACCGATCACCCAGGGTCAACCACCCCCTTTGGGAACTCTCCGTACGACGCCACCAAAATCCGCTGTTTCACATCGGTTTTCCCCTGAAGAGAGAGAGAGAGTGAGAGTGAGAGAGAGGCCCGTCCCACATCAATCACGTCCGATCGTACGAGTAGAAAGCTGTCCCTGGGCTTCGCCATTTTGAACCAACTTTCCAACATCTACATGCGTCTCCTACCCGTACAGGTTCTGCCAGCCTCACCCACACGCATTGCGCAGTAATAGCGGCAGTACGCAATACTCAAGCGTACGCGTGTCTCTGCTGAACCTTGGGCGTCACGACTTATCTTCCCACCTCCGAAGCAACGAGCAAGCAGAGTGCTTACGTAGCCTCGTTCTTGGCGCCGTGTATGGAAGAAGATAGAAAACTAATCTGTAACTCATCAATAATGCAGGTTCATCATCACGTGAAAAAGATTAAACGGAGCTCTCCACACAGAGACGCAGAGAAAGATGGACAGACAGTAGTGGTATCATATATATTAGACAGACGACCGAGTTGAAATAGAATTCATCATACCCTTTCCTCTCACTGATATTCCCCTATATATATATATATGTATGTATATACATGTATATACATGTATGTGTTGTAAGAAGCGAAAGAGTATAAATAGAGTATAGGAGAAAAAAAAAGAGTATAGAAGAAAGAAGAGTATAGAAAAAAAGACGGCAGAGAAGAAACAAGAGATATATATAAAGTGTACAGAGACCAACGATATGAAAGAGAGAGAGAGAGAAAGACTCAATACCAAGGTGAGGGTCATGATACACTGGGTATAACGCAAAAAAGGGTTTGGGACGAAAGAAGAAAGTATAACGAGAGGGGTTCAAGAAGTGTGAAGACGATAGAGGGGAAACTAAAAAGAAGAGAAAAAAAGAGCAAGCAGAATGGCAGCTCCCGAAACGCCAGTTTTCATCGGATAGATAGGTCAAGAGAAAGAACAGGATAACTCGAATCAAGCCGGTTGATCACGAGGAAGGAGCGCTGTACCGCGAGGGGGGGGGAGGGGACGGGGGGAGAAAGAGAGTCGGAGAGGGTTCTCCGACACACGAGACAGGGATACCAGGAGACGACGCGAAGAAAGATCACGCCGTCTCCTGAGGAACAGGAGTCTTGTTCCCGTCATCCTTGGGCGTCGGCGTCTTGCGCAGCGGCTCGACGGCTTGCGCCGGTTCAGCCATGTTGTTGTGATTGCTGTTGCTGTCCGATTTGCTGTGGTTGCTGTTGCTGCCGTTGATCGAGACCGCAATCGGGAAACGGATGCTTGTCCGCGACCCCCTGGCCATGTACCCGCCGCTGACGCGATCCTGGATCATCTCATCCAGCATCACGCTCACCGAGTCCGCGCTCTTCCTGTGCTTGCCGGTCCCGGCTTCGCTCCTAGTCGGCGACGTCACTATTCGACGGGACCCCTGGATCGGCGTCTCCCGCGCTGACCGGAGCACCATCGGCCTCGGCGACTGGGGCGATATGGGGGAGCGCATCTCCGTCCGGCTCTCGGCCGTCTCGCGGGACCGTGCGGCGCTCCGGAGCGCCGTCAGCATCCTGTCCTTGTCGTCCAGCCGCGCGCGGAGGTCCGCGATCTCGGCATCCTTCTCTCTGAGAGCCGCCGAGACGCTGTGGTCCTCGCCCACCATGATGCCCTTGCTGGAGCCGCCGACGCCCGACGTCCGCGAGGAGCTAGCTCGCCTGGCCTGCAGCAGTCGCTTCTCCAGCGTCGCAATGTATCGGTTCCTGTCTGCCAGGTCCGCCTGGAGCGCCCGATTCTGCGCCGCCATCGATGCTGTGCCGTCTCCAAACTCGCCAACGCTGTCGTCCTCGTGGTCCAGCAGGTTGTCCGCCTCCGGACCGTGCAGGCTGGCCCGTGCCCCGACGCCGCCGCTCGACCGCCGCCCGATCGTAGACGATGCCGACGTCATCGACGCCGTCCTCTCCAGCAGCGGCTTGCTCGTCGTCGACAAGGCCATCGATGATCGGACCGAACCCGGCAGCGACACCTGCGAGAACCTCGGGTTCTGGCCCAGCGAGCTCAGGGACCCGTTCGAGTTGACACCTATGGATTTGGAGCTCAGGATGAGCCGGTTGAGGTGGTCGATTCGCTCCTTGAGGGCTGTCCTGGCCAGCTGCATTTCGAGAAGCTGTTCTTCGTGTCGCTCCGACGCCTCGTGCTCGAGGTGCTTTTCGTCCTCCTTCTCGTCGTCATCGTCCTCTTCCTTTTGGTCCTTCTTCTTCTTGGCTTGCGCCTCAAGTTGCTTCCGGAGGTCCGAAATCTCTAGGCGGTAGCGCTCCAGCAGAACACGCGCGCCGCCCTCGCCGCCGGCGCCGAGAGACTCCTCGGCCTTCTTGGCATGGCTGACGATGCTGTTCTTGGCTCTCGACGCAAACTTGAGCGTGCTGAGCGTCTCTGTCGTGTGGCTGTTGACCGTGGCTGTCGTTCCCTGGGAGCCAACCTGGATGGTGCAGAGGATGCTGACGAGCGAGTTACCGGCCAGAGCACTCTGGAGGAGTCGAGTAAGTTTGCTGTCACGGTAGGGCAGGTGCTTCGTGTCCTTCTCGGCGCCTTTCGCCTCCTTGTCCTTGCTCTCGGACAGCCTGGCGATGACGGTCCCCAGAGTCAGCAGACTCTTGTTGATGTGAGCACCCTCCTGTCTGCGCTCCTTGGATTCGGCAGCCTTCTCGGATCCGGCAAGATCAATCAAGCTCAGCGTCGACACGCGGACGCCGCCCGGGAGGATGGCTGAGCGCTTGCTGCCACCGCTGCCGCCGCCCTCGGCGCCACCGGGAGCCGGGGGTGTACGGTCTCGGCTCTCGACGACGATCTGAACGACGGCATGACTTCGGGAGCTTCGCGCGTTGAACTGCGTACTGGCGGTTCGTCGGGCTTGGTCACCGCGCGCGATCACACGCAGAAGCTGCGTCGGACTCTGTACGATCTCCTCCTTGAGTGGCGTGGCGTATACGCCCCTCTTGCTGTCCTCGCGCAGCTTGATCTCCTCCTGCTGGGATCCTGCTCCCACGCCGTTGCCAGTAGGCATGCTCAGGAGATCGTGGATCTTCTCGTTGTAGATCTCCAGGTAGCTGACGCGAAGAAGAAACTCGCGGGAGGGCGTCTCCCTGATATATGAGAAGATGTCGGTAATGGCGAGCGGGATAACACCGGGCGATGACGCTGTGCCCTGCATGGAGAACGTCTTACCCGTACCGGTCATGCCGTAGGCGAAGACGGTACCATGGTAGCCCTCCATGACTCTGCGGACAAGGCGCTTCGCGATGTGGTCGTATACTCGCGAATTGTTGTCATGGGTGGTAAAGACGTTGTCTGCATGGTCAAGTCAGCAATTGGCAGCTCACAAAATCAGCCCGCTGTGGTACCTAGGAGTCTAGGTCGGTTCGAGCTCACCGTAGAAGTGGTTTCCTCCCTCCTTCCCCTTGTACGAGATGAGGGACCGGCGTCCATCCACCATCCATTCGCCCTCGGGGTTGCCGTTGGCACCGTTCGCCGTGGGGCGCACGCGCACGCTGACTACGACATTGCCCTTTCCGTCGGCCTTGGAGGCGCGCTTGTCACTGATGGACGTGTCGGGTTTTGGGGTAGAGCCGTCGGCGGGATCGTCAAAGGTTGTGGCGGATGTCGAGTAGGAGTCCTGGGCCGAGGAGCTGCGGCTCTGGGTCTCGGAGCCGGCGCTCACCAGGCCATCCGACATGCGGACGCTGGTGATGGACTTGCCCTCGCCACTTCCATTAAGGAAGCTCGGCGTGCCGCTATTGTAGTTGCTGTATATGGATTCCCTGGAGGACTTTGACTTGCGGGCAGTGCGGGGCCTCTCGGCAGTCATGGGGCTGCCGGGCAGGCTGCCGGAGCCTCTGGTGTCCCCCCTCGGGGGTTGAGGGAATGAGTTGATGCTGACTGTCTTCCTGACAGTCTTGTGTGGCGCCGCGGCAGAGCCCGAGGCGGCGCTGCTCTTGGGGGGTGCGGCAAGGCCCGAGAGAGGCGAGGGACTTGGAGGAGGGAGATTCGAAGCGGAAGGCGCCCTCAGGCCGGACAGGCCTCGAGGCGTGCCGGGGGCGGATCTGATAGAGCTTGAGGAGGAGATGTTTCCGGTGCTCTTGCGCGTCTTGCTCATGGGCAAGGCTGGGACGTTCATGTTGGGCGGGCCGTTGGATAGCCTCGGAGGCTTAGGAAGAGTGGTTGCCATGGCGGGTCGTGTCGTCGGCGGACAGTGAGGCGTTTCGGTGCCCGGCCAGGTAAGCGGCAACGCCAGATGCAGGCTTTCAGAAGTCGGTCGGGTCCATGAACTGGCAAGGCCGCATGTGGTGTGTGACGTGTCGTCGTCGTCGTCGTCGTCGTCGTCGGTCTTTTTTTTCTCAGCGTGCTGGAGTGGTGGGACTCGGGGTACCAGAGGGTCAAGAAGACGCAGGAGGTAATGCGTAATAGATATATTCCTCGTGTGGGGAATCCAAGGGCGTTGAATTTGAATGCCGGCGTCCCGAAGGGATTAAAGCTGAGACGGCGTATAGTTAGGGCCTGATCGCTGCTAGTCAGTCCGGTGCGCAGAAACAGTACAACGGACACTAGAAGGGACTGGAATGAATGTCTCTCATCCACTTGCCCGAAGGGGTCAAAACGTACTAGGTGCCTATGAAGATTGAGGAGGATAGTTCGAGGGCGGCAAAAGGGTTGAGTATATCGAAGCGTTTGGTTGAGAAGGTCGGTTCGGTATCGCCGTGCGAGTTTTGGAAGAGAAGAGAAGCCGTGGGACGTTTGGCAGAGCGGGGAGCAACGGGCTCAGCCGACGAGTAACAGATTGATTGAGCGTTACTTTCTTTTTCCTGCTGCAGTGGCGAATCGCGACGGAGCAGCGAATTGGGTCGGAAGCTGACAGAATCCAAAGGCCCGGGCGTGAAAGGAAAGGAAGAGGAGAGAGCGAGAGCAATAACCGGCGCGTGAGAAGAAAAGGAAAGAAAGAAGAGAAAACGTCTTGAGCGTGATGCGCGTGGCGTTATGGCAGTTGCTGTTTCCGGCTGCCAGTTGGCGTAAAAGCGAGAGTAGTGGCGTAAAAAGCAGGTTTTCCGACCGGGCCAAAACCAGCGAGGCACACAAGAAGCCAAGAGAAGAGGAAGGATTTCCTGAAGCCTCGACTACGAGCGCAAAGACGGTACAAGCTGGGAAATATTCAAATATTCCTCCGTACGTCAGGGCTCAGTTGCGGGAAACAAAAAGAGGGAAGAGGAGCAAAGATGGGGAAATAGGAGAAACGTCGACAAGGTGCACACTGCACAGTTACGGAGAAAGGGCCCTGTAGGTGCCTGGTGTGGATTCCCCGAGGACGGTGCAGAAGTGACACCAGACTCCAGAGAAGGAGGGCAGAGGATAGATCGCTGGCGTAATTACCGTAATTACGATATGCAAGTTGTCTAGCGATTGGCCGGGATGGAGGCACACTGCAGATTATACATGTAAAAGTATGCGCACCATATGAGTATCCCTACCCAGCAAAGCACTTGCCTGCACAGCCTTCAGCGCTCGGCCTAGTGACTCAGTGGTTCGCATTCAGCCTTCATCGAGAGCCCGTCGTGTTATTCCGGTGCTTCGTCGCACTCCAGGTCTGTACATGTACTCCGTACTCTAGTGTGCATGCACTTGATAATTAGGACCACCATGCGACCTGCGAGTATTACTCCCACTACCGCTAATAATAATACCTGTAACTACTAATTCTAGCCGTTATAGTGCAGCTGGTGACCGAACGGGGCCACCCGCCCACGCTCCTAAAGCTCTTAGCAGCACATGGAGAGATTATGATATGGAGCATTGCTCTGCCCCTTTCAACTGCAGCGGCATTGCCTTCTCTCTTTCCACTATTATCTGTATGGGCACGGATAGTATATTATAGTAGTACTGCTACTGCTGCTGCTACTGCCACCACCACCACCACCACCACCACCACTGCTGCTACGGAGTATAGGTAATATGTGATGTATGTGTATGCACATGCACGCATGCAGTCATTACAGGTAATTACCTGTACCGAGTTTCACGACATGAATATTACCATCCCAATACAGAGAATAACACGCTCGTACTATTGCTGAGTCTCATTACCCAAATCATCAATAGCGCGCGCATTTATTACATGTCGTACCTGGTCTTCTTTCACACCATCTCAGGACATGCCTTGCACCTACCATTTCCAAATTCGGCGCCCCTGTCGCTCCTTCCTCTGTAGACCCAGAGACGTATCCAAACAAGAGTCTCCAGCTCTTCTCCTCTTCTCAATCTGTATCCGTAAAAGAATCCACAACAAAACCTCATGGCCCGTGTTCAATTTCTTCCTACACTGATGCAGGTACGTTGCATTTATCTTTTTCACTCGCCCGTTTACTCCCCCTGCTAGTGCAAGTCCTTACAGCGTAATACGTCTTTGGCCTCGTGCTCCATACCCACGCAACGGACCCCTGGATATGACAGAGCTAGAACTACTCGAGTTGTCAGGCTCGATTAGCATCGAGTCCTTTCCACCCCCTCCCCCCCCCGCCTGTGATAAAATGTGATGCATAAGAAACAGCCGACAGATTTGCTTGTCCCACCTGCGGAACAAAAAAAAAAAAAAAAAAAAAAATCAAGTACACTCTCAGTCCACATGCAGGCATGGAGGTTCAGAGAGAAGAGGAAAAAAAGGGAGCGAAAAGCCAATGTTTCTGAGCTTCCCTCGGTTGAGAGATGGAAGAAGAAGAAAAGTGTATCGAGCCCTTACCGAACTGCTGATACCTGCTGGACAGCCAGGACAGGGGAGAGCAAGGGGTTGCAGTCCTGTCAAATTTGGTAGACAGGGACCCGTTCTCGTCAACCAGCCCACCCCGGTCACCTTGGTCTTCTCACCCTCCTCTACGAGAGACAGAGCGCGAATCGAGAGGGCCACCATCCCGCCGTAGCGTCCCGAGGCTGCTGATGCTACCCTCCTAATGGATGGATCCCTCACGCCCGAGAACCCGACCATATCACATTCATTCACACGCATGGGGGCCCTCGAATCCCTCAATGGTTGCTTTCCGCCCCCTCCACCTGGGGCCTTCATCGCCCCCCTCTCTCAGCTCTCTCAACGGGCCTAACCCCGGTTCCGTCACTGAGTACGACGTATGAGCAGTCCGGAGTATTCCAACGGGTACAACCTCGTGGTCTCATGGCTTCTTCGTGCCCTCGTGGAGAGAAGGCACCTGCAAAAGCATGATATGGCAACCGTACGACTTTCTAACAAGACAAGACCCCTGTCCAATGTCCCCCTCCCCTGGGCTGGAGCCGCGTCGTTTGGTCTTGTAGGACCCAACCTACTCGTGCATACAGGTACGGAGTGAACCATTACCGATTGGGTTCCCCCAGCCCCCTAATCTTACTAGGACTTCAACTTTTCTTCTCTCTCGGCGTCACTTGAACAAGAGAAGAGAGGACACAGTTCCGATGGGATGCCATTGTGTACGGGTATGGCACAAGTACAAGTAATATAATACTGGCCACAAGGTCTAGCACATTGGTCGTATTCGTGATGAACTCGTATCCCGCCATCCCGGCCGAGCACGAACACGCACAAGATATCCTAAGATGTTACACAGCGTCCTATGTTCTCTGATATCACTGCGTACATGTACGCAGTAATACTTCATATTATTACTAACAATCAACACCCCCTCAGCCCACTATGCGCGCAACTATGGATCGGCATCTCCACGATTAGTACGGAGTATTAGAACGAGTAGTGATGCATCTCTCATGCTGCCGCGTCGCCACCAATTCGGATGACAGTACTAATGTACCTACCTGTAATCTGTACAAGTACGATAGGTTTTATTTCTCATGTTCCCGATGTCCCAGGTGCCAATGACATGCATCTACCGGGTGCATGCGTACCCCATGATACGAGGGCGCATTGATTGTCCCTCGGATATTCGTACAAGCCTACAAGGTGACGTCAAGTAGAAGATGGGGGGAGAGGGAAGGGCCCAAAACTGTCCGGGAAGAAAGAGGGAGAAAAATCGCATGCCTTGTTGTTGCTATACGGGTAGCTCCTAATGATTGCATATAGCATTACCCCTGATTGAGAGCAAACGGGGGGAAAAAAGAACAAGACCAAAGAAAGGAAATAGTATCCCGTACAGGTGCTTCGCAATCGTTAGTCTCCAATGATACGCAACTTATATTAGCAAAAGTCTTACAAAACCAGCTGCACCTCCCGCGCGCGCACACACACACACACACACACACCACCCGACAAGACAAATAAAGGCCTTGGATTAACTCATCCGTCTTAACAATAGTACCCCTGGCCATGTCTCGGATAGCTCTCGACCCAAGGGCCAAGACCGAGGAAAAGTTCCCAAGACCAAGGGCGCGGAGAAAGGGGGCAGTGATTGTGAAACAGGATCCGAGCTCCTCAAGATACTCGTAAACGACCGTCGACCATGCCCTATCATATCGGAGTCTTTATTTCATCGAGACGAAACTTGGCAGTAGGGAGGGGTGATGGCCTGTACGGATGCTCTACTCGTATGACAACCATGTCTATCATTATGATGCGCAGAGACATGTACACACACACACACACACACATGTAATATTATCATTGTTACAATGCAGATTTTTGGCCTCTCCCTCCCCCGCCTCCCCCTTAACTCAGAGCTCTCACTCCCCTGCCCACACTCTTGGTCTCAAACAGCTCGACGACACCTAGCCCTACAGCCTCACCGAGGACCCATTCCCACCTCACGCCGGAAAAGTCCCTCCACCTGGCGCCGTACAGGCTGGCGCCGCCGTCGAAGCGCTCCCGCAGCCAACTCTCGGGACACTCGCCGAAGCGCGTGCGGCCCAGCGCCTCGCGCACCCAGTCCACCCCTGCCTGCGAGAGCTTGAGATGTCGTCCGTGACCAGGTATGGCTACCCTCAGACTCGCCCCCTCCCCCGTCTGGCTGCTGCCGTGGCCCGACCCCCCTCCCGCGAGGTGGATGGCGTCGCGGCCGCCCACGGCCGACAGGCTCCCCGATGGGTGGCGCGAGATGCGCTGGATGGACGTGAGCGTCGTGCGGTCCTCGGGTCTCATCCTCAGAAAGGACGACGACGAGCTGCTGCCGGGTAGCGAGCTGGTGAGGAACCCGGCCCGGATGAGCTCGTCGGCCTGCGTGTCCGAGAGGATGTCCGCGGCCGCCGTCTGCACCGTCTGCGCCGTCGGCTCGTCGCGCAGGAACGCCGCGAATGCGTCGCCCGCCGCCCGCGAGAGGAATCCGCTCTCCACGCTCCTGCCCACCATGGCCAGCAGGTCCGCCGACTCGATGAGCCCCTCGCCCATGGCGCCCCGCGTGGCCACGCGCACCCGCCGGACCACGCCCCGGCTCAGCAGCTCCGCCGTCTCGCGCTCCACCTGCGTCGGCGAGTCGAGTATCGCGTGCAGGTGGCCCGCCGTGACGACCGGGGGCATGCTGGCCTGGTACGTGCGTAGCTCGCCCGCCCGGCGCGAGTCCAGCCCGCGGTCCGGCACGGCCGTGAACATGCGCCGTCGCACGTACCGCATCGCCTGCACCACGTCGCGCAGCGTGAGCGCCTCCTCGTAGCCTAGCAGTCGGGCTGCGCCCTCGTCGTCTAGCTTGTCCTCGAACTGGACGGAGGAGAGGGAGGAGTCATCGTATGGACCGTTGCCACCCCCCCGCCTGCGTGCCTTGCGCGGTGATGGCGATGATGTCGTTTGCCGTGATTGCGCTTGTGATGACGGTTTGCGCACGCGGCTCGTCGTCCCCAGTATAGTCTGTAGACTCTTAGGCATCCTGGAACTTTCAAATCTGTAGATCGTACATGTATACTGTTTTCCTACTCAGCCTTGGTGGTTGAGTAGAGTGGCAAAGATGAAAAAAAGAAGATGTAGAGAAAAATATCCGTTTGCGCCGACCATATATTTTGGTCCTTCACTTCTATTCGCTGTAAAGCGGGTGTCTTTTTCTTCCAATATATATATAAGAACAGGGAATGCTGAACGTTCAACGATGAAGCAATGAGAGGAGAAAGAGACCAAGTCGCCTTCATGCATGTCCATGGCGCCCTTCAATCGTCACATACATTGGCAATGGCGGATTACTAACGCTGACTCCGACGTCAACTTACTCGTACAGCGATGGATATCGCACCACACCACATCTCAAAAAATAATACGTACCTCGCAATGGTATCCATGCAGTGTCACAAGTCCTCGTCGCAAACTGCTGATGTTGCAACCGCCAGATATTGTATGTGCATGGAGATGTGCTATATGCCACGATCCGAGATATTCCACTTTCTATTTCAAAGTACATGTACTACTACCCTGCCATGGTCATGACATACGAGGTGATGGCACCCATGCGCTCGCTCGTCAGCTTGAGCGACACCCTGAGCAGCTCTCCCGCAATCTCAGGCTCTTCTCTCTGCATCCTGCTCCACATGTTGCGGTCCATGCGCCAGACGACGCACTCCCTCTCGGCCGAGGCCGTGGCGGTCCTCTCCGTGTCGGAGAAGAAGGGCAGCTCCCCGCACGTCGTGCCGGCCATGATGCTCTCGCACAGCCAACCCTGCGGCAGGTCGTACTCGACCCTCAGGATGCCCCTCTCCACGAGGTAGAAGCCGTTGGCCTCGTCGCCGCGCTGGAACAGGACGGTGCCGGGCGCCAGGTTCACGTTGCTGAAATAATTGGTGGCCGGAAACCAGAAGTCCTCGTTCTTGTCGCTGAGCCCCTGGAAGATCTGGAGCATCAGGCGCAGGGGTTCCTTGAAGCTCTGCCACTTGGTGGTCCGCTGGACCTCATCCGTCTGCAGGGCGTCGCTTGCCGCCTCGACGAGGTGCGTGCGACGGGGCGAGTTGAACGGCGGATCAAACGACGAGAAACTCGAGCGCTTGGCCGCAGGCACGTCCAGACCCCCCACCGTCGAGCCCGAGGTGCGCTTTGTCGCGTACATCTCCTGCTGTCGCATGTAGAGGATCTTGAGCAGCTCGTTCTCGCAGCTCTCCAGTGCCGAGTTCAGGTCCGGCAGCATCGTCACGTCCACGCCGCTGCTCCCTAGGCCTACGGCTCGCAGGTTGCGGCCCATCTGACTGTCGGTGTCGACACCGCTGAGCACGAAGACGATGCCCTTCTTGTCGAGGAGACGGCTGATGGTGTTGAACACCTCGCCGGCCGAGTAGTCGAGGCCGCTGACGTTCCACAGATCGAGTATGAGGAACTTGATCGGGTTCGCGGTAAAGGCGTCGTGCTCGAGGACGGAGCGGATCTTTTCTTCGACGCTCACGATGGTGCCGAAGAAGAGATAGCCTGTCAGCTTCAGCATGTAGATCTGGCTGCCAACCTGCTGCAGGTAGCGGTGCTGCGAAGGGTTACGGCGGACAGTGGAGCTGACCGTCTCGCCCGTAAAGGTGCCTCTGATGGCCGAGACCCTTGACGTCTGCACAATGAGGGACACAAACGCCAGCAAGATTCCTACGCCGATGCCGATGACGAAGTCGTAGATTCCCATGACCAGAACAATGATGATAACCGTCACGTACTCGGCGACCTTGAGCTTCTTCCGCGGGAGCCACACAGCTTCCAAGAGCAGCTCGAAGCCGAGGTCAAAGATGAGGGTCCCCACCATCATAACGGGTATGAATCCAATCAGGGATGGGCCAATCGTCATGACACCTAACGTGAGGAGTGCGAGCAGAAACCCGGCAAGTCTCTTGTCCCCACCAGACCGCATGAAGAAGGCGGTGTTGGCGTAGACGAGGTAGTTCTGGATACTTCCCAGACATCCAGACATGAAATTGGAAAAACCATGCAGGCGAAGCTCGCTATCGAGGTCGGCGTTGTCTTCACCGGACTGGAGGGCAAGGGCGGGCACGTTGATGGGCACGTGGAGGATTCCGAAGAAGGTGAGTGCAAACATGGCGGGGATGCACTCGGCAACGGCATCCCAACGGACCAAGTGAAACTCTGCGTATAGATTATCAGCAACCACCTACTGCCAGGATAGGGGCGTCGAATTCGTAACGGGAATGTACTTACTGAAGAGTGTGTAAAAGTACCACCAAGGCTCGCCAGCCGGGGGGCCGTCAAAGATCCAGCCACTGTCCCGCAGACTGTCGGGGTCCAGGACGTCCAGGGACAGCACGAAGAAGTAGAAGACCGCCGGGATGGCCAGAATGTACATGGGCAGGAAGTACTTGGAGGTGAACTTGGACTGTCCGTAAAAGAGCACCACGGCCAGGACCAGGGGCAGGATCCACCGGGGTAGAGCCTCAGGTCGGGTGAGCTTGTGCAGCGTGTCCAAGTCATACTGAATACTCCCCTCCAGACGGGCAGAGACCTCGAAGCCCGTCGCCACCAGGAACCAGCCGACACCTCCGATGCAGCCAATGAGGATGTGACGCGGGATGAAGCCGACCATGAAGCCAAACTTGAACTTGCCCATGAGGTAGAAGACAAGGCCGGTAAGCATTGCGCTTAGCGAATAGGAAACAACCGTCGTCGCAATGACAGCATCGCCATTCTCTTTGCCCACGAGGTCTGTAATCTTCTGGGCCATGTTATGGAAGAAGGGGACGACTTCAATCTAAGGCCGACGCCATCGTCAGCACCCCACACCACTACAGCCCTGCTCTCCCGTGAAGACACACTTCAGAGATGGTAACTTACGAGTTCGGAGCCGACAGCTCCCTTAAAGATACTCCCCGAGGAAAAAGTCAGCTGGGAGATGATTGTGCTGACGTAGAAGATGGATATTCCCGCCGAGCCCAGGTGGGCAAAGATGGGTTTGCTAAGAGGGAAGAGAATCATGCCTGCCAAAAAAATATTGTGAGCCTCGGATATCTTCACATGGAGTATAAAAGTCAAGGAGGAAAAGGAAATGCAGCTTACCGTAAGACAGCGCATCCAGGATATTGAGCAAGAGACCCACGCACACGGCGGGCATGCACGATGCCGGTGCCACGACGAGATTTTCCCAGATAGCCTTGGAATCCCACCGCTTCGGGTTGACAACCAAAGGCCATGCGCCGGTGGTGCCGCGCTCGACGCTATGCACGCTGTCAACCAGGCCGCTGAACCACTTTTTACAAGGCACGAGCTTCTGCGCCTCGGTATCGAGGCCGGGAACCTCGCCCGTGGGGGACTGTCTGATGAGCAGCGGGGTATTCTCCGACGGGTCTTCTCCTTCCGGGAGAGCAGAGTCCGGCAGCTTCCCGCGGCGCAACCACGAGGGAGGCGGCGATACCACGCCTGGGCCTTGGCCGTCGTCGTCGTCGTCATCACCGCTACGATCGAAGGGCTCCTGTGTCCGGCTTCGTCGAGGCAAAGGTGATCCAGATGTCTGTTCTTCTGACGGGGATTTTCTGAGTAGATTGGCCAGTACGGACGGGCCCTCGTCGTCGATTGCTGCTGCTGTATCCCGACCGTTTTCAGGCGATGAAGGCTCGGAGACCTCCTGGATGGTGTTCGCGCCTCGTATGGAGCCGTCGACCGCCGTGCCGTGGGCTGCATCCGGGAACGGGGATTCTGCTGACCATCTTTTACGGCCTTGGCCCGACGGGCTGCCGCCGTCGGGCAAGGGAGACTCGGAGGACCACCGCTTGCGGCCTAGGAAGGATGGGCTGTGCTGTGGTGGCCTGTCCGAGAGGAGGTAGCTGGCCAGTTCGGCGGTGTCGTCACGAACGCTTCGGGCATTCTGCGCGCTATCAATGGGGGCTATCGAGGGCAGGTTCAGTCAGCTCTGCGCTCCATGCATTCAGCCATGCCATATTGTCTTGCATAGCAGGTGTGTGTATCGTCGTACCGAGACTGTCCCTTGCAGACGTATGTATGAATGAACGGATCGGCTCCCTCTGGTTCAGGGAACTGGGTATGGCTCCTATCGACGAAGACAAGCGGTCGAGCTGGGCGATCGGTGCGGTCGAGTCGGAGGGAATAGCGTTGGCCAGATCAGCATTGTCGTAGCCGAGGTGGGGAGCTGTGGACATGCTCGAGGCACGTCTTCTCCACGTAGAGGCGTAGCCCGTCGCCGGGTCTGCCATGGTGATCGGCACTTCTGGCGGGCTTCGGGGAGGAGGGGGCAGGGAGCTGGGTCGTTCGTCGTCGCCGTCGTCGTATGAGGCTATGAGCGATACATCTGGGGAGAGGAGTAATAACGGGCGGTAGGGAAAGAATAAAAAGAAGAGTAGCGATGACGAAATTAGAGATGGTAAAGGTGAGGAGAGCCGGGAACCCTGTTAGTGAGATGACTTATTGGTGGAAGAGGAAAATCAACGAATACGATGTAATCGAGGTCATTGAGAGGACCCGACGAGCTAGCAGACGAACTAGGGAGGAAGAAACCAACTTCACTGGTGGGTCTCTCCTGCCTGGCGTGGTAATGTAGTGAATATTCTCTCTTTCCCTTTCTTTTCCCATGTGAAGCAAAGAAAAGGGCGAGAGGGGGAAAGAAGGTAAGAAGGTTGTGTGTGCGTGGTGAGAGGGAGATGTTAAAGGCTAAAAAAATAGAAGAAAAGATAAAAAGGCTACTCGTAGACAGCTCGTATATGGAGCACGATGGACCTGTATCAGGTTAATTCGAGGGGGGGGAAGGGAGAGAAGGACAAGTAATGGGGAGAATTATGATTATTTTCATTATCTTGAGAGAGAGAGAGAGAGAGAAAGAGGAAAATGACATCGGTATGTTACAAGAGCTGCTGATCCATCACAAAAAAAAAAAACTTTTTTTTTCTTCGCGGCGCATCCCCCGGTGATCCCCGGTACCATATGCCGGCCATTCAGACACCACAATACACGGCATCCAACTGTACAAGGCGACAGCATAGTAGTACGGAGCACATGTATGCAAGTTGATTTTGTACTTCAACTAGTGGCGTTCGACTCTGCAGTAGTCTGTCGAGCAGGCATCATGATCCTTGATAGATCGATTCGAGGCCAATCCAGTGGCAACGGCCCGATCATGGGTCATGGTACAATATTATTTACTAAGCTCGTAATACTATGTGCGGGCAATATAACACCGTCAAATGCTCCGGGAGAAAAGTTGAGTTGCTGGCATGCGAAGACCCCTTGGATGTGTTCACCAAAGACATATATATATATATATATATATAGGTACGTACATGTACGATCCAGGTCCCTCGAGTGACATGGTAAAAAAGGTCAATGTCTTGTATCGTCAGATAAGGTACTGAGCAGTAGTAATCTTGACGCGGTCCATGTCTGGCCACCAAAACACCCTCTGGTATGGAGCTTATCTATTGTATCATCAATCAATCGTCAAGAATACTCCGACGCATCTGCCAACCCAACCGCTGTCGTTCGTCCGTTCGTTGTTGCCCGTGAAAACCCTACCACTGCACGTCAGAGATGCAGATCTCTCATGCGGCTGCTGTGCTTTGTCTATACTCTCTTTCTCCCATGGCTGGCTGGATGGCCAACTGACCTACACACGCAACTTGCGTGGGTCGTGAGGTAGTCAACCTTTCCTTCCCCTCCTCAAAATCGATAAATTCTCCATCCTTGTATGTTGCATGCATTGCAGTCTACCGAGCACAGACGGGTGTGAGACAATGTGTCCTCAATCACCTTTCCCCCTTTCCCCAAGACAGACAGTACTGCTCGTATATATATACAGAATGCCTTCTCGTCGCAAAGAATTGCAATAGGAATGACATCTATTAACAACTGATTCTGCTGACAGCGGCTGACGACCCGCCTCGGCAAGATCTCTGCAGATACAGCACCACACCAACGAATCTTGGCGGTGCAGTGGCCCCATCTGCCTGTTGGTTCTCGACGCAAAACCCAGCGTCGTACAAAGGTCCATCTTGACCTCGGCAATAACAGTCAATCGATACCGTCAAAGAAGGCACCGAGATGCACGCTGTCACTCTTCTTCATTCGCAAACATCTCTGGGTTGCATCCGCTCGTTGTATTTCCTTCGTCCCACTCGAGCTCGTCCTGCGAGGGTGCTCCCTTGTTGATGATGATGCTGGTCGGCTGGGGTTAAGATCAGCCAGCAAGAGACATGCTAGCATCCATATAAGGAGACCCTCGAGTTCGACCGTGTAGCATTACGTCCACAGATCGACCTATTGGTTCGCACCGAGGCCCCCGTCACTTTGCACGATGCCGGCCCCACGTCGGTAGGCCATTCAACCACTGAGCTTCTGCAGGTAGCCCTGTGCAATGAGTCTCTCCACGTCTCCCTGCCGAACGTAGAATTGGCTGTTCTTTGACAGAGTGATGGCCCTGGAAGAGCAGGAGGGGAATGAAGTAAAGTCAGCCCTGCTTCCGGGCACGAATTGGTCAGTTCGGATATAGACTCACCCATATTCCGTCTGGATCTCCCCCGCATCCTTGAGGACACGCACGTCGATGAACAGATCACGCGGCGGTTCGAGGCTCCCCGTGAGGTCTATATCGGTCCACTGTCCTTTGTATGCTGCGAGCAGGTCGCTGTACTGACGCACGTACTCTTCCTCCTGCGGGCTCAGACTCGATGTAGGGCCGCTGGCGCCACCGCCGCTGCTGTTGTCCCCCTCGCGCACCTGCTGTCCCGACAGGTCGACGACGTCATTGTCGTTCCACACCAGCTCCTCGAGCTTGTCCGTCCGCGTCCGGTGGTACGCCAGCAGGCACCTCTTGTTGCGTCGCATCGACAGGTGGTTGACCAGCAGCGTGCAAGCCACGGCCGGGTCCGCCGACGGGTCAAACGACCCTTGGAAAGGCTCCAGCAGCTCCGAAACGTCCTTGTCCAGGTCTCGCACCTCACGCGTCACCGCACGCACAATCTCCGCTTGATAGGGTGGGAGGTGCGCCAGGTTTTGCGTCCTCTTGGCGTGTTGCACCTGTGATAGACCGGCGCCATGTCAGTCTCCCTACCTCGACGAGGTGGAGGGGTTTGCGAAACAAAAAGGAAGAGGGGGGGGGGAGGAAACTTTTGTTTTCACCAGTTTGATGCCTAAGTCCCCATACATCTTGTCGGTTCTTCCCACGATAACCAGTATGGATAGGTTAACCCCGACAGACGCCCTGGCAGACTCGTCGTGTCAGGCTGTTTCCCAGTCGCGTCTTTGCAAGGAACACGGTCCGCGCCCGCTAAACTACTCCCGGAAGACAGTTTACCCCGCCAAAAAGAGAGGGAAAACACTGTCGCCTCTCGCCACAGCTACCCCTCACCTTCACACCCCCTTTGGGCCCCTCTGGGTTTCCAACCCTGAATCGACTGCTTCTTTCTGGTGTTCAGATTATGGCGTACTACTACTTACTGTTTTGGTTCTCCATAGACAAGTGGTTGGCTGCCCATCAACGTTATCATCCTATATTATCATACGAGTGCATTAGATATCACATTTACAGCAAAAACGAAGAGCTTTTATCAACTCATTTTATTTTTATTTTTTTTAATTTGAACCCAAGTCCATTCCGCACAATCCGTGCAAAGAGCCACCCAAAATTCGTTTCATCGTGAATACCTTTGCCCGTCGTGCCTCATAAATCTGCATCCGCGCTATACCTCCTGCATCACTTTACAGCTTCTGCATAGCGGCAATGTCAGTAGACTGGACGTAGTCCTCGAACTCCTGGATCTGCTCCTCGAGCTCCTCCAGAGAGACCTTGTTGTCCTCGACGACCAGGTTGATCTGGAGCTTGCGGATACCGAAGCCAATGGCAACCAGCTTGCTGGCACCCCAGACAAGACCTTCCTTCTCGATGGCACGGACATTCTCCTCGAGCGCCTTCATGTCGGTCTCGTCATCTATTTAACAGGTCAGCTTAAGCACCAGATATTGGATGAAGAGGTTAGTAGAGGGATTGTCCTTACCCCAAGGCTTGATATCCAAGGTGACAACAGACTTGGCGACGGGCTTAGGCTTGGACTCCTTCTTCTTGCGGTACTGCTCGAGGCGCTCCTCACGGACACGGGCAGCCTCGGCATCCTCCTCCTCGTCATCACTGCCAAACAAGTCGACATCGTCGTCGTCCTCCTCAGCCTTCTCAGGAGCCTTGGCGGGGTTGACGGTGACCTCAGAGGCATCAGGCCCGTAGGTCTCGTAGCCCTTGGAGGCATCGCCAGGGAGAGTGGCGAACTCGCTCTCGTAGGTAGCGATGTGGGAGTACCACCTGGCAGCGTGAGGGTACTTCTCGGCGTCAGGGGACGCGCTCAGGGCCTTGAAGACGGCAACGTCGGCCTGGGAAGGAGCAGTGCTAGTGTGTAGTCGTTAGTAAGGTCTGCGTTTAGCTGAACAAGTGGCCAGATATGACCGATAACGAGAGATGCCCAAGCCCCAAAAACTCAAAAGAGCAAAAGGGGGGTAAAAAATCAAATCAGAGATGCACATTGTGCTGGTTGTTTCGTCAAGCGGCGGGTCTTAAGTCGCCTCTGAAACACGGACCAATTTATCTCATCATATGGAGGCGGATGGTGTACGCAAAGGCAACGGGGTAGAGTTCTCGAGAAAGGGAAGACGCTGAAGTACTTACCCAGTGATGTAGGAGCGGGTGGTGAGCCAGCTGTTGAGCACTGAATCAACGGGTCAGTGTCTGCTTGAAAAGACAGGCGCCGCCACCCGGACGGCAGCAAGAGCGGCACGTACCGGTAGCTCCAGCATCGGTGAGGAGGTCGGCGAAGCCCATTTTGAACTGATGTGATTTGCAGGAACGAGTTGTTCGGGGATTAGGAAAGGAGGAAGTTGGCGTCGTGGAGTTGAGGGAAAGAAGTGGAAGAGAAAAAAAGTGCGGCGGTTGTCTGGTCAATGGTTTTAGGTGGGGTTGAGATTTTTTTTTATTAGCAGAAATTTGCGCCTGCTGAGAGCGATGTTGGGCAGTACCCAGCCAGGCCTGAGGGCCGCCTGAGGGGGTCCCTGCTTAGCAGGGATTAGGGGATCCTGGAGGGGCAACAGAGAGGGGAAGGGTCCAGAGCCACTGGTCAGTATCGGATAAAACCTCGGCCCGTCGTGGCTCCACTAGTGGGCCGTGGCCATCAAGCTTGCTATTACTTGTACCGTCATCAGCGAGCTCCAATGGCCGACGTAAGAGCTATTGTAGCCTACAGACCATACAGCAAACCATCCTGAATACCGGCATTGCATCACAGTCATCACTCTCTTTTCGGTTATCAGACTCCCTTCGTGAACTTAGGGGACTTACAGTACTCTGGCAACAACCCCAAACCCCCGACTGCCAGCCATGTCCATCTCCCCCATCATCACCTTCAAGGCTGGTCAATGCCTGGTTGACGTACGTGCCCTTCCATGGAACTTGCTGCGATATCATATGGCCCATGTTCTAACAGTTTATTGCCCAACACACAGAGCTCGTCGAAACCGTACAAGGTCACGCCCCAGGAGGATCCAGGCTACATCTATTTATACTCGGAGGACGGTGAGTTGTGTCCCGCCAAGCCTCTGCCGACGGGCTTCCCTTCCCCACGTGCTAACAAGCGGTTATCAGAGCTGATACACTTCTGCTGGAGGAAGCGCGATGTGCCCCTTACCGACCCTGAACTGGACCTGGTAATGGTTCCCACGGACGGCAGCTTTGTCCCCTACGAATACAAGACGACGCCGCAGCCGACGTCCAAGACGAACGGTCGCATATTCGTCCTCAAGTTCAGCTCGTCGTCAGAGCGCCACCTGTTCTGGCTTCAGTCCAAGCCCCAGAGCCGCAATGGAGACCCAAGCTGGTTCAGCCCGCGCGACCGCAAGATTGGCGACATTGTAAACCTTCTGCTCCAGGGTGAAGAGGTTGACGTCACACGTGAGCTAGCCAACGTCCGCAACACCGATGACCAGCCGGACGACGAGGACGAGGCCATGGAGGACGCCGAGGGCGAGCGTGGCTCCCGTGATCACGGCGCTGGCGGCGCTGGCCCGGATGCCACCGGAGGAGATGTCAGAGAGGAGGGTGAGAGCTCGAGAGAGGGAGGAGCCGACGGAGCACGAGCGTAGGTCATTTTCCCACCTCCGAGAAGACTCGTTTCTTTGATTTTTATGATGGATGGACATGACGTGCTTGGGTGATGCGCATATAGCATCAGTATCGCTTCAATTCAGAAAGAGATGACCAGGAAAGCCAATAGATGATGTATTACTACTAGTGCTGCCTCCTCTTCGGAAAACAAAGACGTTGCATCGAGTATTATTGACTGGCTGGAAACGCGCATGGCATCGTCTGTCCATCCATGGTGACTCAGGAAGATAATGGCTGCTAACATGTTTCATCTCCCTTATATCAGAGCCTCTACTGGTGCCCCTGATGCTTCCGAAGCCGTCAGGAACTTCCTGGCATCCCTTCAAGGCCAGCCCGGCATGTCGACAGGAGGGCAGCAGCATCGCAGCCAGTCCGCAGATAAGCCGTACCCTCACCTGACACACCTGCTCCCAACGTCCATCACGGTGCCCATGGTTGACAGCCTCGCCACCAGCAACCCCGAGCGCCTAGACGTCCTCCTCAGCTTTCTCCCCCCCGCTGTCATCGTACTCTCCGGCAACAACCCGAATGCGTACGACGGCAAGAACGAGCCTTCCGCTGAGGCGGTCGAGGCAGCCAAGGCCTCGTTGTCGCTTGATCGCAAGAAAATTCTCCTCAAGAAGGTCCTTAGGAGCCCCCAGTTCAGTCAGGCGCTAGGAATCCTAACACAGGCCCTGCGTGACGGTGGGCTTCCTGGTATTGCGGATGCGCTGGGCATCAAGGTCCAGAACGGAGGATACCTGGCCAACGGCAGCATGCCCATGGGCGGTGGTCAGGCTGTGGAGGCCTTTGTGGAGGGCGTGAAGAGCAAGGTCCGCGAAGAGGGGAATGAATGATCACGGGCCATGCTGTGATTTATGTAATGGCTGGCAATAAGATGATCATTCTCTACTAGGACCTGCATCTAGATGGCTTGATGTAGATGTGCCGCTCGCTACCCTACAATAGGCTTGATTAACTGGGCGTGAATAAATGACACGATTTTTGATACGTAATTGGTGGTGAGATCCCAGGTCTGAATCCTTGTCGCGGCGAGTTTTCGTTATCAAGAAATGTATACTTTTCTGTCCTTGGGATAATATCGTGAGTAGCAAACAAGAGAACTAAGTGGTGCGTTTGTCGTACATTATTACTGCTTGGCAGTGGCATACTGCAGTTTGCCCCACCTATGTTGAAGTATTAGCGATTGACGTGTGAATCTAGCAACCATTACCTCTCCAAAAGTCTCCCTTTGGCTCAACTCAGACATCAGCAGTCTGGCCGCGCGATTGCATTGGAGTGCACCGGATAGGCATACACCTCACCTACGATGGACCTCCCGTTTCCGACAGACGTCACAGAGTTCGATGCCGACGATCGCATCTCCTTTTCAAAGCTGGACGGCAAGTTCCTGGCCGTGCTGGACGATGGTGCAGAGTTCGAGTTTGATCACGACCAGAAGCGTTGGGTGCCAGCCGAATACAACACTTTGGACGACGATGATGCAGAGGACTACGGAGGTGCGCCACGTGCGGGACAGCCGGAGGAAGCTGAGTTGGGGTCAAAGAAGAGGAAGAATGGCGCAGCAGAGACTACACAGGTAATGCTTTGAAGACGGACACGCACACCACACCCTCCCCGCCCTTTCCACGACGAAGACCAGGATACGCATGGATGTGTGGCTTGGTGCATGTGCTTGCGTGGATGTGTGCTGATAGCGATACAGGGCGACAACCCGAAGCCATCGCGGCCGAACAAACGACAGAAGCCGCCGCCGCAACCGAGGCAGAACACAGCCATATACGTAACGGGACTTCCGTCGGACGCTACAGTAGACGAGGTGTACGATGTCTTCTCGCGCAAGGGCGGCGTCATCGCCGAGGAGATTGACAGCGGCGCGCCGCGCATAAAGCTCTATAAGGACGAGGAGGGTAACTTCAAGGGCGACGCCCTGATAGTCTTCTTCAAGCCGCAGAGCGTCGAGATGGCGATTATGCTCCTAGACGACACGGATTTTCGCATAACGGCGACGGGCGCGGCCGAGGGGAGGATGCGCGTGCAGGCGGCTGATACGAGCTACAAAAAGGTGCAACACGACCAAGAAGGAGGCGGCGGCGGCGGCCAGGGTGCGGCCGCAGCAGGCAAGCAAGGTGGTGAGAAGCGGCCGCCGCAGAGGAACGACAGGGACCGGCAGAAGATTATCAAGAGGACGCAGAAGCTGGATGCCAAACTGGCAGACTGGGACGATGACGAGCCATACTCTGCACGTGGGGAGACGGCCAAGGTCAGCAGCAAGTGGGACAAGGTGGTGATCCTCAGCCACATGTTCACCCTCCAGGAGCTGGAGGAGGACCCGGCGGCGCTGCTGGAGATCAAGGAGGACATCCGGGACGAGTGCTCCAAGCTAGGTACCGTGACGAACGTGGTGCTCTTCGACCTGGAGTCCGAGGGCATCGTGTCGGTCAAGTTCAAGGATGCCGCCTCGGCAGAGGCCTGCATCAAGGTGATGCGCGGAAGGAGCTTTGGCGGCCACACCGTCAACGCATTCCTGGCCACGGGGAGGGAGAAGTTTCAAAAGTCTAGCAAGGCAGAAGCTGAGGAGGAGGATTCGGACTAGGCTTTGACGTCCCCCGTCCTGCCCCGATGGTGTCTACTCTTTGACATTCCGTGTACTCGTAACGTTATTATCAGCACATCTGCCATGTTATATATATTGACCTTTTGTTTTGGGAAGTGGTAGTACTAGTACATTTAATACTAGTATTAGCTGATAATATTAGCGCTAATACTGAATACTGCCTGTGTACAGATTACCATGTACGAGTACAGAAACAGCGGCGGATACAATTTTCATAATCTGAGTGGTAACAATACTATCATCATCACGAGCAGAGCGTATTATGCGACCAATACCGTTATACGGTACAATGTACGAGTACATACATGTACGGAGCATTACCCGGACAGAGTGCAGAGCGCTCAGCTCGTGCTGCGAGGAACACCCCATATCACTCCTCCATCTTCCACTGTGGCTTTGCTGGCGAGTAGCGTTTTATTATTACGCCAACAGATTGTATGTGATTTGGGTACGGTGAACGCGCGTTCGCCCCCCTCCTCCCCCCACCCTCTCTGTTCTATATGTACGTATACGTTGCATCAAGCAAGTACATGTATTGGCCGCTCATGTGCGCATCTAGGAATGGATGATGCAACATATGAGAAAGCAAGAGGGAGAGTTTTGGCAGCTGTCAGAGATCCGTTTGAAAGTAGTGCGAGAAAATGTCGAAAGATAATTTTCGTGATTCTTTTCGATTGTTAGCCGTATGTGATGAAGTCTATCTACGCGTATAGGCACGTGTACGCTGGAGTGAAGTATTAGAGGCGCTGGGGGGGGAGGTGGCGGAGTCGATCCCCCCCTACGAAGTACTGTGATTCGCGGGACACACCCTTTCAGCATAGTAGCCGCATTTAATGCTGAGGTCTAGGTCGTGCAGCGACTATGTAGAAGGTAATAACACTGTAATGATATGCTAGTCATGGTGGTACAGGCAGCAGATACCGCTGCTCCAGCACTCGTACTCGCAGTAATACTCGTAGTGTCGATAGTAGGACGAACCATTGCCAACTCAGGCATAGCCAGTGTGCGGGTGGGCGGGTATTCCTTTTCCTTCTAGCGCAACTTGTTCTGGACTTGGCTTCTTCTTGGTGTACGAGTAGTTGTGTGGATGCACAATCTCGACAGGTGAGAGGATTAAAAGCCCGCATTAATGCGACGTACAGATCAATACTCGTATCTCATAATTTACAACCGCCAGAGTGTTATCATAAATTATTGTTGGATTTATTTTGTATTACCGTCAGTTCCGACAGAAGAGGATGGCAGTATGCAGTACTAGCAGGTTGTACGAGGAGAGTTCCGAGGGGAATAAAAGGAAGTGAGCAACTTGTTGACGATGAGGCTCAGGATCAAGCAGTCAAGTTACTAGGAGGAATACTTAGTAGGGATTATACTCGTAGAGGGCCAGTAACGGTACTCACATATGTTTGTTGACAATCAATTGTACACGGTAGGGGAATTAATGTAGACTGTAGTAATAACAGCAGATGACGTGATAATGCGAGTTGTGCAGACGGAAAAGGAGGTCCTAGGGGGAAGGCTCAGGCCTTCCAATCACCGTTGCCCGGCAACTTGGCTTTTCCAAACCCCCAGTATCATCGTCACTGCCCAGTTAGAAGACACAAACCAGTAGCCTCTGGAGATCGGCGCAATCGGGGCGCTTGAGCCCAGAGGTCACCACCCTGGTCACTTCCCTCCTACCCCTGTTACTTCAATTGTTGTTCTGACTTCTGCCAGAGTCAGAAGGAAAGGAAGAGGAATCTCCATTTTTCCTTCTCCATCTTTCCAGCTTCCGGTTGTCTCGGTGTCCCCTTCTCCGTAATAGTCCCCCCCCCCCCCCCCTTCCTCAGACGTGCAACTGCTGCATCCTAAGCTCCTAGGCCATTACTGCTGCACAGCTGTTATACACGATCGGCATACAAAGAGATCGTGATATCCTCAGAGACGAAGGAGATATAAAGCCACTCCTGCTACCGCGCCCCGCCTCCCGCGTGAGACACCTGGACAGAAAAAAAAGCTTGGCAAACGGCATTCCTCAAGTACGTTTTCTCCGTGTGCTGTGCGCATCGATGACGGTCTTTTGCCCATTTCCATTCCAAACACCCCTCTTCCCCAGGCAAAGAAGGAAACAGCCTACTTCTACTCGTCACACACACACACACACGCACGCATACACAAAAGAACAGGACTAGGACTCATCGGAAAGACGGGTGGCTAACTTGCTCTGACCTCGTCGAATTAGCCCACAATGTCCTTGTTCCGGGGCCGTGAACAGCGGCTACCGATATACGAGCGAACTGGCTCACCTGTCAAGGAGCGGAGCTCGAACGATGACGACGATTATTCCGTCTCCGACGTCGATGGTGAGCCCTTCACAAACCGCTCTGGTAACACATCAAGGAGCGTCTCGGGCTCACTAGCCAGCGCAGCCCCCATGCTCAACACCGACCGCCCCCGGAATCTCAAGCGTGTCGCCGGTGTTTACCCCTATCGACTGCCCACAAAGGTTACCCGACACCTGTGCCTCGGGGTCGCCTTCATACTGTTGCTCCTGATTGCTAGTCTCATCCGCGCAAGTCAGGTCGACAACTGGAAGGTTGCCAACGGCAAGAGCGACTCCCGTCCCGGACCGGCACACATATGGGAGCGATTCCCCTTCCTGGAACGATACTATGGCGGAATCTACACCCTCGTTCCCCTCAAGGAGAGCAACCCCGAGTACCCATCCCCGACCGAGGGAACACGCAAGGACTCGCCACTCCGCCGCGTTGGCGAGGAGGACACGGACGAGCAGGACGAGGGCAAGGAGCCCCTAGAGACTCGCAGTGCCGAGCCCCCCACCAGCCACCCCTGGGCTGACTATGCTGGTAGGGCTCGGGAGGGGTCTGAGATCAAGGAGTGCTTCCTCGACGCCAAGGGCAAGGTCCGGGTTCCCTCGGTGAGGTACCACGAGGGTCGCCCCTATGGATTTCCTCGCAATGTTGTCGGCTCCTACGAAATCTTCGACTTCCCTGAAGATATTTGCTTTGACCGCTTCGGCCGCTACGGCCCCTACGGATTCGGCTACTCGCTCAGCCGGGGTGGTCTGGGCACCGGCGAGAATGGCGAGAATGCCGGCTCTGCGGCCGTCTGGGAGGATGTCCCGCGTGTCGACTTCCGCGGTATCGACTGGGCCGACCTCCAACGCCGCTGCTACCGGGCCAACGCAGATCGCTTCGACTCGCCACCCGCCAAGAAGGCGCAGCACGGTTTCTTCATCCACGACTCCGAATCCTCGAGCATCAAGCGGGCTGTGGACGAGACTGGGAAGCACCCCACCATCAGCGACGATGATAGGACAGAGATCAAGACAACGGCCGAGGACGAGACCGAGACATCCACGACCAAGGATGATGGCAGGACCGGGGACAAGCCTGCAACTGAGGACAATGTTGAGACACCTGTGCCGAACAAGTCCAAGGGTGCCAGTGTCAGTGACAGTGCCGGTGCTAGCCCGGCCGAGGTTGAGAAGACCCCCCGTACTGCCATTGTGATACGTGCCTGGGACGAGTTCCATTTCCAGCCCGATGACGTTGCTTCTCTCCGAGCCATGATTACCGAACTGTCGCTCGCCTCAGGTGGTCGCTACGACATCCACCTTCTCGTTCAGGTTAAGAATGATGCTGCGTTCCCCATCTGGGCTGAAGACGAGGCGTACGAGAGGCGAATTAATGAGACCATCCCCGAGGAGTTCCGTGGCTTGGTGACGCTCTGGACCGAGACCCAGATGCTCGCGCTCTACCAGGGAATCTACGATCTGTTCGCCCGTGGCCCCAGCCTGCCCGTGCACGGAGTCTACCGTGGCCTTACCATGGCCATGCAGCACTTTGCCTACATGCACCCGGAGTACGACTACTTTTGGCAGTGGGAGATGGACGTTCGCTACACGGGCCATTACCACGACTTGTTCACCAAGCTCGAGAGCTGGGCCAAGGCTCAGCCGCGCAAGGGTCTCTGGGAGCGCAACGGTCGCTTCTACTTCCCCGAGGTGCACGGCACGTGGGAGGACTTTTCGCAGATGGCGCGAATCCAAAACGAGATGGGCACCATCAACGCCGACAACGTGTGGGACAGCGCACCTGGCATCAAGCCGGATCCGAACTCTGTGGGCAAGAAGCGCAAGAGCATCTGGGGCCCCGTCCGCCCCGCCGACACCGACGACTGGTTCGAGCCGGGCAACGACCCCATCCCGCCGCGCGGAGGACCTGAAAAGGACAAGTCTGAATGGGGCGTCGGTGAGGAGGCCGACTACATCTCACTGAACCCCATGTTCGACCCGGAGGGCACGACTTGGGGCCTCAGAGATGACATCACGGGCTACAACAAGACGAATGGCGGCCCTCCTCGCCGCGCCAACATCATTACGACGTCTCGCATGTCGCGGCGTCTGTTGATGACGATGCATCGCATGACGGCCTACAAGAAGCAGTTTGCCTTTCCCGAGATGTGGCCAGCCACGGTGGCCCTGCAGCACGGGTACAAGGCCGTCTTCGCCCCGCACCCGCTGTACGTGGACCGCAAGTGGCCCGTCGACTTCATGTCCCAGACGTTCAACGGCGGGCGCGACGGGTCGGTCGGCGGCGCGCGCACCAGCGTGTTTGGCGACCGCGAGCACAACCTCCTGGGCCTGTCGTGGTTCTACAACGCCGGCTTCGGCCCCAACCTTTACAGGCGCTGGCTGGGCCTGCGCGTCAACAACGACGGCGGCGAGGAGTTTGAGAAGATACCCGACAAGACCAAGCTGGGCGGATCGCCGAGCGACATGGCTGGCGGTGAGGGCCGCATGTGCCTTCCCCCCATGCTCCTCCACCCAGTAAAGGAGGTTGAGCTGCCCGTCGAGGAACCGGATCCCGAGAACGATGAGCAGGAGGGCGGCAAGAAGAAGAAGAAGCCCGAGTTTGATGCTGCGTCGTAAAACCAGCACTGTCATGGAGTTGCACCTTTTTTTTCCCCGGGGTTCCTTCTTGCTTGAGCCTGAAGGGGAAAGGAAAGCAAAGCAAGCTGCTGTGGATTCTCATCCATTTATCTCACCTCTACCCTCTGTTTATTTCCTGTTGTTTCCTCCCCTCTGATATAGGAGTTATCCCTCTGACATACAGGGGCCGGGCGTTTTTTGTTCTTGGGCATTGTATAGGGTTCTTCTATTTTTTCAGATGTCTTTTTTTCCCCATCTCTTTTTGATTGCCTGAGGGCATTTATTGCATCATGATGTTAGATAGACATCATCTACATTTGTTTATATTAGAATACCTGAAGATTATGACAGACACATATATTCAATGGACACCCATTATTCTGTGACAATTCCACGTCTTACCAGTGTTCGGTAGCTATGGACTCCGACCCCTGACATGACTTGCGGGGGAGGTAGAATGCGTCCGCCGTACGTAGCAATAAGTACCAGGCATTGTTACTACTCTTTCACATACAGGCGTCAGGAACCATTCTCTCTCTCTCTCTCTCTCTCTCTGTGAAAAGAGGAAAAGAAGAAGACACCCGCCATCACTTATCAACAGGCCAAACATGATTGATACTTGCATCATGACCACACATGTTCAGGTTCGAGCGTCAGACAATGTGCCCTCGGCAGAGAAGCTACAGGAGATACAAGAGCACAGTGTACTCGACCACCGTGGCGGATCTCATACGTTGAGATCCATATGGAATGGCGAAAAGGCTACTAGTCGAGTTTTGATTATTTTCATCCGACACTTTTACTGCGGTGTATGTTTTTTATCTTGTTTTCTTGTACTGTCTTTCCTCCCAAGCATGGTGTATGGACCCCCTTGGTTTAAAAAGAGATCAAAAAGGACCAAAAAAAAAAGGCAAGAAAGCAAGTACTCCCACCACTAACTGACCTCTTTCCAACAGCTATGCCAAGACTACGTGCAGACGCTGAGCGAGTCTATAACGCCCGAGTCCCTACCAGCAGACGCATCTGTCGTCATCATCGGGTGCGGTGACCCAGGTCTGATCGACGGCTACGCCGGGCCCATGGGGTGCCGGTTCCCCATCTACGCGGACCCCAGTCGGCGGGCGTTCGCGGCGCTGGGCCTGGTCGAGACTCTGGACGCGGGCACCGTGGCGCCGGCGTACCAGAAGCGGTCTATCGCGCAGCAGGCCTTCGCCGGGTTCCTCAGGGCCATAGGCAGCATCCCGAGGGGACTGGCGCACAAGGGCGGCGACATGCGTCAGGTCGGCGGGGAGTTTCTCTTCCAGGACGGTGCCGTCAAGTGGTGCCACCGCATGACGACGACGAGGGATCACACTGAAGTGCCAGAGCTGATGGACTTGCTTGGCTTGAGCTGACCAGACCTGTGCGCGCTCTCTCTTACTTCAAGTCAGAGGGTGATTGACGTTGCTGCTGCTGTGCGGCATGTTTGTAATGAAGGATACATGTTATCTTTGCTGTTCTCACCCCCCTCCACTTTTGCCTACCGTTATTTCGCGTGAAAAGCGTCATTTTCAACCCTCGATAACAACACACAAACGTACACAATCCTCTTCTCCCCTCTTTCCCCCTTCCTTATACGCCGGCAAACGAAGAAGTAAATAAGACAAAAGACAGTATGGGTCGTGCCAAGGATAGCGAGGAAAAGGAACCAAGGGGAAAACAAAAATGCAGAAGTTAAAAAAAAAGGCGGAATATGAAAGGGAAGGCCAATTAGTTAGAGAATTCCGCAAGCAGACTCAGCCCCCCCCCCCCCTTAAACAACACGCTTCACCTCAAAGAAGCGACGGAGCCACCAGACCTGAAAAAAAGATTCGCCGATGACGATGCCAATGACGAAGAGGTTCCACCACTTTACTCGAGCGTTTGTGCTCTCGGCCGTGTTGCGGTGGGTCCGCTCGCGGATAACAATGTACTGCTGCTCATCCTTGACTTGGGCCAGGAGGTCGGATAGGGCGCGGACTGTGGTTTGGGGGGTCAGCATATTGAAATCCTCTATCAGGTGGAGAGACAGAGAGAGAGAGAGAGAGAGAGAGAACAAGACATACCCTCCTTCTCGAGAGGGTCACTGGGCATGTCACCCTCGCTGACGTAGACGATCCCGTGGACGTTGAAGGACACCTCCTTGGTGTTGGCTCCCCAGTGCTGGTTGCCGAAGCAGTATGTGTATCTCCCGTCGTGGCGGGCCGTGAAGCTGTGGTCTCCCGAGGAGACGGACTTGCTCTGGACTTCGTGCTGGTTCCTGGGGTTGAGAATCTGGTCGAAGTGTGCGAGACGTCAGCAAAGGATGTCTTGATAGACACACGTGGAGATATGCTCCGTGTAGCTGTAGCTGAGCTGGTTGCGCGCGGCAAAAGTGGAGGAGGGTGGTATCATACCCAGAAGTCAATCTCGAGATTGCCTGCTGATCCGAACTCCCGGTCTCCAACCTGGTAGGTGACGGTCATGGTGTCATCGCGGTGAAGATCTTCGTAGAAACACTCGACGCCATGGGAAGGCAGGACGATGTTGTGAGCTGCAGCCGTCTGGATGGCCACGGCCGCCGCCAGCAGCGACTTGACGGCGTTGATAAGACGCATCCTGTATGCTTTTTCTCGTCTCTTCTATCTCTGGCCCCTGCGTCTCTGTACGTTGTATTCTAGAGATGGAGGAAGGGTGTTTCTTAATCGGGATCGGAAGAAAAGTAGTCGTCGTCGTCGTCGTCGTCGTCGTCGTCGTCGTCTCGCGTGTCCTCCTCCTGGTGAGGTTTAGTCCTTTCAAGCTCCCTCCTTTGGCGTACTGACCACCTTTGCGGTTGCGCGCCGCAGGACGGATAGGCTTGGCGGTCGTCTGGCGGGAAAATGGTTTGGCCGGGTTCCGGTGCTCGTATTTTTCCTGTTCTCGGGGGGTTTTTTTTTTCCACAGGTAGTATCATCATACCGTACGACCATGTTTATTATAGTCGTGAATTAAGCAATGTATGGGGTATACGGATGCTGGACGTCCAGCAGTACTATTATACTGGTGACGGTAATACACACTCTTCGACTGCATCTTCTTCCTATAGAGATAGGAGCATGTTGGGATTCGGTGTACCGATTACTCGTAGCTGTAATCAATTAATATTGACGGCTGATAACATTACCTGGTTAAAGACCTGGGCAAGATTACAAGAGATATGTACGAGTAATACGCCGTACAAGACGGGTGGACCCTCGATCAGGGGCAACATCCGACGAACAAAACGCCACGTAAATACCTACAAAGCCTTTTCTTATGGAGACGATGGAGCCAAATGCCCTCCCAGACCCATATTACATGTTTGTAGCGAGTGATGCCGTACTCTGTTTGGAGGATGGACACATGTACTGTACGAGCAAGAGTATTATGCCAAATTATACATCGTAATAGTACGTCGTAATCCTCATCTTCCTGCTGGTAAAAGGGGGAGAAGAGAAGGAGGGACCATGAGACGGAGAGATAGTACCTAAGACTATTGTGATGTTGTGATTTCTAGCATCAGTGGCGCGGTCGGCGATTGTCCATTTTTCAGGATATACTCCGTACGTTTCCCTATTTTTTTTTATGTGTGGATTCAACTGGATTGTGCCGATGAGCTTATCAGCATGTGAGAAACGAGGGCTTCCCTTCCAGGGGGGGACCCTTTTTCTCAGTTGGAAGCGGTGGGTACGCAGAGAGTACAGGTGGCTGGAGGGGAGTAGTGTGGCGGTGCCGGGTATCTGCTGCGTACCTCTCGGGAACGGAGGGCGATCACGACTCGTGACCGCTAAGAATGGATTGGACACTGGAGACTCAGAATCTGGGAATTCCAGCGCGCTAGCTACTCAATGCAATGGTCTCTTGCGCACGCTGGCAACACTGCGATGGAGGGATGGACTCGTGCCATCACAGACCACTGGTTGGGTGAGGTGTGGCTAGTGAGATGTAATGACCGGACGGCCTAAATTATCGTCAGCATAAGGGGATAGCCCCACCGCAGAGTTCGCTAGGGTACGATTAATAGGGAGGAGAGTAAGAGGGGCCAGGCGGCTATTAGGGGCTATGGGAGAACTGCCTACCTGTACGGATACTCGTACGCTGGAGTCTGGAAGGTATTACTGGCAGGCTACAAGCTACAGGCCACAGGCTACAGTACAGAGTGTCCATCAGTACCCCGTGTTACTGGTCGCTCAATCACCCAGGCCACTTGCACTGTTGTCAGTACTTGTACGGAGTATTACTCAAGTAATACTGTTGGTTACCTGGCCCAAAAAGCCAAAGGTGGTAAAGCCCCAAAATTCAGCAGAGTCGCCCTTCCCATCACCCCTCTGACCTTGCCAATCCAACGTCTACACCGACATCAACGATCCCGCCTTCCAAAACCACCAACAAACCACCCTCATCGTCGTCCTCCCTTCCTATCTCCTGGAGGAATCATCCCCGACGAACTTGTGAGTTGTTCCCTCTCTTCCCGTTCTGCCCTGCTGTCCGGCATCAATAAACATCTCTGCATTCGATTACCCTTCTTGCCTCGCCCCTCTTCCCACCACCATAAACAACCCCCCCCCCCCTTTGTCGCCTGCCTGCACAGAAAAAAAAGAGGACACCAAGTCCACACGGACGCCAACACGTGTGACGGCATCATCGCAGCCTGAGAAGCCATTCATCCATCCGTCGTCTCTTTCTCCTCTTGGTCAGATGCCCGCGCATCACGCAGTACCTCGCGCGCGATAATCCATCACCCCTTTCGCCACACATTGCGCTTGCCGTCAATTGCTGCTGCAGTCATCAACATCCGCCGCCGCCCGCTGATGCCACATCGCCTCTCTCGCACCACTATCTCCTAGCACCATTCCCTCAAGCGCAACAACACATAAACAACACAATCGGCTGTCGCGTACTAACCTATCTTCTCTTCCACTCATAGAATTCCCTTTCTCCTCTTTTTCTTTTTTTAACGACGTCACAAGGCCTTAGCCGCCTCAAACCGCAAACATGGGTCTCGCTTTCTCGAAGATCTTCGACAAGCTGTGGGGGAAGAAGGAGATGCGTATTCTGATGGTCGGTCTCGATGCTGCCGGTAAAACCACCATTCTCTACAAGCTCAAGCTCGGCGAAATCGTCACCACCATTCCTACCATCGGTATGTCGTCCTCTTCACCCTGCTACCGTTCCATATCTCCTCCTCCCAACGCACGCTGACACCCTGCGCGCCCAGGCTTCAACGTCGAGACCGTCGAGTACAAGAACATCCAGTTCACCGTGTGGGATGTCGGAGGTCAGGACAAGATCCGCCCCCTGTGGAGGCACTACTTCCAGAACACCCAGGGTATCATCTTCGTTGTCGACAGCAATGACCGCGACCGTATCGTCGAGGCCCGTGAGGAGCTCCAGCGCATGCTCAACGAGGATGAGCTGAGGGACGCCATTCTCCTGGTCTTCGCCAACAAGCAGGATCTGCCTGTATGTTTCCTCGCCCGATTTTACGTTCCGTGTTTGCTACACCCAGCTGACCACACCACTCTAGAACGCCATGAACGCTGCCGAGATCACCGACAAGCTTGGCCTCCACAGCCTGCGCCAACGTGCCTGGGTACGCATCCCCCCACCTATCACGACTCCTGTCGTTTGTATATCCAATACTGACTTTTATCTCTTTCTCCGTCTACAGTACATCCAGTCCACCTGCGCCACCTCTGGTGACGGTCTGTACGAGGGTCTCGAGTGGCTCGCTACCACGCTCCGCAAGGCCGGCCACCAGTAGAAAGCATTCTATAGAAGCCTCTCCTGGTCGACTCCATCTTTCCTCTACTCCCTTGCCGCGTATTCTTTCCGTCCCACATCCGAGTTTCGATTGTAATTTGCAAAGCTATCAGGATCCCAATCGAAATTAGATGATAAAAACCGTGTCGCAAAGCTCTCTCTCCTAACTCTCCCCTCTTCTTTCTCACTATGTCCCCTTCTCTCCCTCTCTAGCAGAATTCTCTCCCTCTTTTAAAGTTTTTCTACCGTGTTGTGCTTGAGAAATTTGGGTTTGGGCTGTGTTTTTCTTTTTTTTTCTGTTATCGCCTCATGAAAGCACTGTCCCCCACTTCCCCGCCTCGATCTCCCCCTCACCATCACGAAACGTGGAAGGGAGAATAGATGGGAGGGAATAAACAGATCTTTGAATCGGGTGTTTTGGTGAGAAACGGAAAACGGGGTGACAGCGGGAGACTGGAACTTGTTCATGACTTGTATCTTACGCGTGCGCTTTTCTTGGGGAGGGAGGAAAAGAATATATTTCTATACTTTTATGTTTCATCTTTCACCAAAGCGAAAGGGAATGAAGGATAAGACAAGGTACGAAAAGTAGGCAAGTAAGACTGGGAGGATGGTAGGCGTCTATTTGGGGGAATTCGGACACGAGAACCAGTCAAGAAGATGATCAAATTAGCTTCCTTTCCCCCCCTCACCTTTCTTTCTTGTAACAAAGGTAGGAGAAGGTCTCTAGTTTTCTGTCGTCTTTGATTAAGAGTGCTTTCTTTCTTTCCCAGCCGCGTGTGCCTCGCGTGCCAAATCGCTATGCATGCACTGGCTCCCATGAGAAGAAGAAAAAGTGGTGAATTCTATGCGATGCTATGCTCCCAAGGACTATATATGACTATGATACAGATGAAACTGGAAAGGCATGATAAGAAACTATCGTACAACTACCGTGGCATTCATTCTGAACAATTCCGTATACAGCGCTCATACTGCTTGTTTTGATACATGTAAGAGAAGAGAGGGAAGAGAAAAGATGTTAAGCCGAAGACGATGTGCTGCTGGTTGGGACGATCTCGAGCCCCTGCTCGTCATCGCGGATCTTGACTTCGACCTTCTCGCCCATCTTGAGCTGACCGCGGATGATCTTGTCGGCGAGGCCGTTGCTGATCTCGTTTGTGATGAGGCGGTTGAGCGGCCTGGCTCCAAACTTGGGGTCGTAGCCGCGTTCGGCGAGCCAGTCCTTGACGTGGTCGGGGGTGTGGAGAGAGATGCGGCGGTCGTCGAGGCGGCGTTGCAGCTCGGCGAGGCGAATGTCGACGATGTCGCGGATGGCGGCACGGGCGAGGCGCTTGAAGACGATGAAGGAGTCGATGCGGTTGAGGAACTCGGGCGGGTAGGCGGCGGAAACGACGTCCATGACGGCAGAGCGGACCGAGGGGTCGACGTCGCCCGTCTCGGTCTCGGAGTAGGGGTGGAGCGGGTTCTGACCCACGAGTATGTCGGCGCCCAGGTTGGACGTCAGCACGATGATGGTGTTGCGGAAGTCGACCTTGTGGCCCTGCGCGTCCGTTAGGTAGCCCTCGTCCAGGACCTGGAGCAGCAGCGCCGAGATGTCACGGTGCGCCTTCTCGAACTCGTCGAACAGGAGCACGGCGTAGGGCTTGCGCCGCACCGACTCGGTCAGCTGCCCGGCGTCCTCGTACCCCACGTAGCCCGAGGGCGCGCCGATGAGGCGCGAGATTGTGTGCTTCTCCTGGAACTCAGACATGTCGAAACGCACCACGGCTGACTCCGTGTCGAATAGGAATTCGGCCAGCTTCTTGCACAGCTCCGTCTTGCCCACGCCCGTCGGACCCAGGAAGAAGAAGGACGCCAGCGGCCGGTTCTCGCCGCTCAGGCCCGCGCGCTGCAGCCGCACCGCGTCCGACACGGCCTTGATGGCTTCGTCCTGGCCTTTGACCGATGACCGCAGCATGTCCTCCATGTGCACTAGCTTTTCGATGTGACCTGATGTCAACTTGGACACGGGGATGCCCGTGATCCGGGACACCACATTGGCGATGTCGTCGCCCGTGACCGAGTCGTGGACTAGCACGTCTTCCTTCTCGCCATCCTTGGCCTCTACACTCGCCGCCACCTCGTCTTCCTTGGGGAGCTTCTGCTCCAGATCGGGGATCACGCCGAAGCGCAGCTCCGACGCGCGGGCAAAATTGCCCTCGCGCTGGGCTTGCTCGAGCTCGAACCTGGCCTTATCCAGGTCCTCCTGAACCTTCTTGACCGACTCGATCTCGGAGCGCTCCTTTTCCCAGCGGGTGTTGAGCGTGCCAATCTCCTCCTGGAGCTTGGCTAGGTCCTTCTCGAGCTTCTCCCTGCGCTCCCTGCTGGCGATGTCTTTCTCCTTGCGCAGGCTCTCGAGCTCAATCTGCACCGTCATGATCTTGTGGTCGAGGCGCATGATGTCCTCGGGCTTGGACTCGTGCTGCAGCTTGAGGTGGCTGGACGCCTCGTCCATGAGGTCGATGGCCTTATCAGGCAGGAACCGGTCGGTGATGTAGCGGTTGGACAGTGTGGCTGCCGCCACCAGGGCGCCGTCGGTGATGCGCACGCCGTGGTGCACCTCGTACTTGTCTTTAATTCCGCGTAGGATGCTGATGGTATCCTCGACCGTCGGCTCGCTCACCAAGATGGGCTGGAAGCGGCGCGCCAGCGCCACGTCTTTCTCGATCTGGCGGTACTCGTTGATGGTCGTGGCGCCGCAGCATTGCAGCTCGCCACGTGCCAGCGCCGGCTTCAGCAAGTTCGATGCATCGATTGAGCCCTCGGCTTTGCCCAGGCCCAGCAGCGTGTGCAGCTCGTCGATGAAGAGGATGACTTGGCCCTCTGCCTTGGACACCTCGTCCAGCACCTTCTTCAGCCTCTCCTCAAAGTCTCCCCTGAACTTGGCGCCCGCAATCAGCGAGCCCAGGTCAAGACTGATGACGCGCTTATTCTTGATGCTCTCGGGGACGTCGCCGCGTACGATGCGCAGCGCCAACCCCTCGAGGATGGCCGTCTTTCCCGTGCCCGCATTGCCGATGAGCACGGGGTTGTTCTTTGTTCGCCTCGAGAGGATCTGGATCGTTCGCTGGATCTCGTTGTCGCGTCCGATGACGGGATCGAGCTTGCCATCCTTGGCGCGGGCTGTGAGGTCCACGCCAAATTGCTCCAACGCCGGCTTTTCCTCACCGCCGCCCATGTCCATGCGGTGTGTCCCACCAGGCGGATGTGGGCGGCCATTGGCATAGTGGCGAACAGTCGTGAGACTAGGGAGAAGCCGCCTTGATGCTGCAGCCGTCGAGCGTAGGGATTGGGTTGCTGTTGTTATTGTTGTTGTGGTTGCGAGGACGCGAGTCATGGGTCGTACGGATCTGGTTGTCGAGGCACCAGCAGCAAGGCGCTGCGCCGACGATATTACGTGCCTTCGAGCTTGCATATTGGAATAGTGATGTTATGTAAATGTGAAATGTAGGGGGATTTCACGTAAGGGCAAGAGAATCAAGGAGGGGAAACAGAGAGATACAAGAGATCGCAGTCGCGCCCTCGACAGGTTTATCTACTTTTGAAAATGTCACGTCCTGGAGGGAAGGTGATGTAAAGAGGCGACAACTTCCATTGCATTAGTAGTTTCTCGCAAGTTCCCGAACTACACCGAAGTCAACTGGGTCCAGACCCAAGTCTCCGGGTGGGGGGGTAGAATTCCACTATCGGATTGCTCCCATCTTATCGATAGTAAGATCGGAGAGGCCCCCACTCTTCGGAACACAAGGTGTTGGTGAAAATTATTGAATCACGTGCGCTCAGCCCCGTGCCTTACTGCTGGACCGGACATGTCTGTTCTGAAAAGGGTTTAGCGCCAGAGGGTTCACATTTTGCTTCCCACACAAATCGTTAGAGTGGCCCTCACACAATTCCCCTACTTTTCGGGCGCTGCATCACCAACCCTCAAACGATCACCTTCCCAACCAACATCCACCACTCTCTCCTCCACCCCCCGTGAGACAGTCAACATGTCGGCCCAGACCCAGACGAAGACCTTCGGCAAGTCGACCCGGGAGGTCCCTGCCTCCACGGAGAAGGCTAAGAAGTGGTACCCTGTCGACGATGAGTCCGAACCCAAGAAGGTGAGTCGGGATATATTCGCACACACAATCACAAAGTTCCCCTTCCTAGCACTGGTTCTGGCATATTCTCTGGTCTCTCTGGAAAAGAATGGGATGTATTTGGCGGGAAATGTAATGGGAATCTTGCCCTCTTGGCCTCGATGCGCATTTTCGGAACCCGAACACACAAAATATCAACCACCAACACACACACAACCACTATTCAAACCCGACAACACGCACAACTTCGACAATCGACACATCAAGGGCATGGGGCGACGAAATATAGGAACACATAAAAGGATATGGGGAGAAGCATAAGGGGCCAATGCAAAAATTGGGGACACGCACATATTTGTCATTTGTCTTGAGACGGACGATGATCGCTAATCACCATTGGCAACAAAAATAGGTTCGCAAGGCCGTCCGCGCCTGGGCTCCCCGTCAGTCCCTCCAGCCCGGTACCGTCCTGATCCTCCTGGCCGGTCGCTTCCGTGGCAAGCGCGTCGTCCTCCTCAAGACGCTCGACCAGGGTGTCCTCCTCGTCACCGGCCCCTTCAAGATCAACGGTGTTCCCCTCCGCAGGGTCAACTCCCGCTACGTCATCGCCACCTCCCTCAAGGTCGATATCTCCGGTCTTGACGACAAGAAGATTGAGGAGATCTCCCAGCCCAAGTACTTCACCGCCGAGAAGGCTTCTGAGAAGGCCGGCGAGGATGCTTTCTTCAAACAGGGAGAGAAGCCCCAGGTATGTCCTCTTTCATGTCTCCTCACATCTGCCCATCTATCTCCTTATGAAAGAGGTGATGGGGGAAAACAAAATTGTTTGATTCTCTGACACCGAAAATAGAAGAAGGAGGTCAAGAGCTCTCGTGCTGCTGACCAGAAGGCCGTCGACAAGCCTCTGATCGCCAACATCAAGAAGGTCGAGTTCCTCCCCAGCTACCTCTCCAGCTCCTTCAGCCTGCGGAAGGGTGACAAGCCCCACGAGATGAAGTGGTAGAGAAATAAAATAAAACAAAAAGAGGAGGAGGATGTGTTGACGAGACGGGACGACTACGACGACGACAAATGGATGGGACCTTTTCTTGTTGTTGATGGAATTTTCAAACTGGGGACGTGAGCGGCTCGCCCCGTACAACGCCAACGGCAACAACACCGAGAAATAAAAAAAACCCCGGATGTTGTCGGTTGTGCAAATGGGACTCCGCGCCATCTCCGAATTTGGGGCTTGTTTGGCCAACTTTGCATTTGAAAGTCGACGGCATCGGGTGACATTTTGGCGTCTGTAATCAGGGGTTTGCAGTCAAAACAAAAAACACAAAACGAGCATGAACAATTTTTTTAAATCGGCTTCCGGCGGGACGCCGTATGTTGCTGATCCACCCATGACATCTACCACCAACTGCTGTGAACTGAATGATTTTACTCTCTGCGAAGCATGGGGCCATATGTGACGACGAATCACCATGTATCATGTATATCACACACCCGTATTCTTGTGCGCAGTGTGACTTCTAACCGCTCTCCAAGGAGAGAGTCACTCATTGCCACATTCTACTATATACTATTTTACAGGTCCCTATCCACCCAGCTCTGGATAATACCAGTGAGCGAAGGCTCGTAGTGCTTTATCGACACCTTGCCCGTGGCCTCGTCCAGGGTCGTGTTGGCCTGCACAAAGACCTTGCGAGGCTGCTTGTTCTTGAGAACAACATCACGAACCTTGGTACCCCAGAAGTCGAGACCGACAGTCGTCATGTCGGTGTAGAACTTGTTGCCCGCCTCCACGTCGGCAGTGGACTTGTAGACGTGCAGCTTCTGGAGGTACTTGCCAACAGCTATACATATATACGGTCAGCAGGTTCCGCGTAGAAAATAATGATGCATCATATATGGCAAAGAAGAGCGTACCGTCGCGACCGGCAGTCAGAATCTTTGACCGGTCAAGCTTGATTGTCAGATCGGAAAGATCGTCCTTGGTGTAGTCGAGTTTGCAGAAATTGTCCTCGGCCTCAAGGAAGCACTTGAGGATAGAGAAGCGAGCCTGGGAGTGCGCTTGGCCCCACTTTTGGCTCTTGGGATCCCACATCTCGAGGGACCCAAGACCGGCGCGGGCCATGGTGAGGTAGGAGGCGTAGAGAACATCGCCGGCCTCGCCATCGATGTCCAGGCTGCCGTCACCGAAGCCGAAAATCTTCAGAACGGGAAACTCGCAGCTCAAGTGCATGGCAACGAGCTCAGCACGGCACTCTTCGTACGAGGCAGCGATGCTGCCGAAGACGGAGCCCCAAGTCTGGCCAGGCTTGTACCACGTGGTGATGGGCTTGCCTGTGACAGGGCTGACGGGAGGGTTGGCCTTGTCAAAGTTGAACTTTCCAGGGGACGTCTCCTGCAGAAGCTTTCCGCAACCGTGTCCAGTGAGCTCGTGCAGTCCAACTTGGACCTCAAACGAAGCATCGCGGTACTTGCGGTAGACGTCTAGGTCCTCGTCACGAATGAAAGGAATCTTCTCGTTAGGGGCCTTGGCACTCATAACGTTGCCAAGGGACACGTTCTTGAAGCCCTCGGTCTGGCGGATGTCATCGTAGTTGGGACTTGCAGGGTATTAGTGAGCTCTCATGTGGGACTCATGCAATACACATAAGCATCAGCACGGTGCTTACATGTTGATTCCGGCAGGTATACCAGAACCGGCAAAGGTCATAACCTCGAGCGAGGTGAAGTCGGGAGACAAGAAGACATCCTTCTCAAACTCCTGGCCCCAAGGAAGCAAGGGGATAAGCGAGGGCGCAGCATCTACGAGAGCGCCAAAGGCACGGGTCCGCTCCACTAAAGCCGGTCAGCAACCGTATGGCGGGACATGGTGAGTAAATTGCAGACTCACGGTTGACCACTATGATTATATGTTAGTAGCTGGCTCTGACGATGTAGCAGATAGGCAGGGGTACATACTAGAAGCGAATCCTTCCCACTCGGCACGCACACCAGCAGGGTCACGGTACGTCTCAATGAAACCAATGTTGCTCTCAACCATCGGGCCCTTGTCCTTGATCCAGTAGCGTTGGCTGTCCTTGAAGGCTTCCAAGGAACCGGACTCAAAGGACTTGGCGTAGGCGTCGTGCATCTTCCTCTGAGTGTCATTATCTGCGTTGGCAGAAGCCTGCTTGATGTACTCAGTGATGCTCTTCATCTCCGCAGCGTAGTCGCCGTACACGAGCTTGATCGTCTTGCCCTTGACGGAGCCATCCTCAAGGGTGAACTCGGTCTGCACGCCGATATCACCACCACCAGAAGGCGGCTGGGTGATTGCCGACGCAATGAGGAGCTCAAAGTCTCCGTCCTTGGTCTTGCGCAGACGGGTATTCTCAGGCAGGAGGCCAGTCTTCTCCATCCACGCAGAGACGCCCTCGATCTCAGCCTGGGTGATGTTGGCAGAGTCAGGGTAGTATGTCGTCATGTGGCCGGCATCGGGGAAGCCAAGGTGGAGGATGGAAGCATTGTCAGCACTGAAGATGGCGCCCTTGGTGGCTTCGTAGAACTTGGTGGCCTCAGGAGAGGTAGCGGCGAGAGCCTCGACACTCTTGGGGCTGCAGCGGGGGATGAACTTGGAGTCGCCGAAGCTCTTGTAGTTGCCGTTATTGCCCAGGAACATGGCGGCATACTCAAGGAAGAGGGTGACCTCAGACTCCTCGACTCCGGCCTTGGCGCCGAGGGCAGCCCAGTCGCCGCCGGAGCTCTTGTGTAGAGATATAATCAGGTCATAGATGGGCTCAGACTCCGGGGAGAGCTGTCGCAGAACGATTCTTGTGCCTGCAAGAGAAGCTCTGAAATTGGTGCGGGGTTGTGTGGGTCAGCACTGGGAGATCAGAGTTCAATAGGGATGCCGGGGCTGGCCGGGAAGGGGGAATGAAAAGGGGTGCAGAGCTCCGTACTTGCTAATGAAGTGGGCATATCGCTTCTGCTGGTCGTTGAGAGCCTCAAAATGCTTCTCAATCTCAAGCCTGACCACGGTGGGGGGCTGATCAGCCAGGTAGTGGACAAGCTCCTTGGGGTCCATGGTGGCAGCAGAGGCTGTGGTGGACGTGGTGGTGGATGAAAACCGTGAGTGCGGAAGGCGATGGCGGTCAAAGACGGGAGCGGACTGGATGAGGCTTGGAAAGACACGTCGCGAAGAGATGGACGAAGCAAGTCTCGGCACACGAAGAGGTAGTCTCCGCACGAGCAATGAGGGCTGGGTAAGGAACGGCATCGCGGCGCTGGCTGTATTACCGCTGTGAGCGCCAGATGGGGGGAGCTGCAGGTCACGCAACGTCTACCGTACTGTCAAGGTGCTGTTGCGTTTGGTGCTATCTGCTGGCGCGGGAGCCTAAACGCGGGCCCCGAGTGCGGTCAGTTTTGGGGGGGATTTGGCCAGTGAGGGGGAGGCTCCTGCCCATTGCTGGGCCGTGGCTGACCCAAAACGAGCTAAGGCACGTGTTCACATGATGCCAGGAGCAGATGCCTAAGGAAAGAAAAAGAAAAAAATAACGGAAGGTATGGGAAGAAGAAGCAAAAGTGAGGGACAAGATTACGAGAAAGGAGCAAAGGGGCTAAATCTTGAAGCTATACCGACGAGGTCAATGCTACTACATAGGATGGAGGGCTGGTGGTTTCTGGGGTTTTGGGCGGTTGAGCTGTTTGTGTCAGGCAAACCCTTATGTTAGTAGTTGCTAGCCGGGGGGGGGAGGGGGGGGGGGACTCTCATCCAGGTGCCTTGCCACACCGCAGAGGCAGGATAGGTCTGGTTCCCAAGATGGCATTGTTGTGGCGCGTCAAAACGCAGTATTACAGGTAGAAAGGATGCTGGGTGCAAGCTTGGCGTGACAGAACGCGCACGACTACGACGGTGACGGCTACAGCGTTACCGGAGCCGTTGGCTTTGCGTAACATGACGCTGTAGGTTTCCTTGTGGGTTGATGGTGCTCTGCTAGAACATGGGAAGCCTCACTCATCTCGTGTGCAGGATTGACCGGGTGAGGGGGGACTAGTCCATAATAATCCGCGTTGTCGTTGCCGGTCCCGGACGTCTGTCGTACATGCATACGGCTCTGGGGAGCAGTAGAGCCATGCGAGTGATGCTCTGTCGAAAGGTGTGCTCCCGTGGGGAGGGCAGGCCTAGTCTCTAGAGTCTTGACCATCCCATGGCTGCTATTCTTGTGCGAGTAGTTCAGTGTGAAGCAGTGTTCTTGTTAGGGAGGGACCCGAAACATCAAGGTGTTCCATTTGCGTAACTGTCATGGCGCCGTCGAGGCCTCGAAGACCCTTCTTGTGAACATATACAAGTACGGAGTATGAGTGTCACTAATGGGGCAAATGGAGGATGCGCGACGCGAAGCAAGCTGGTACAGCAGCAGCGGCAGCAGCAGCAAAAGACGTGCTGACATGCGACAGGCGGATTATACGGATGATGATGACGCACGAGTAAATTCAAAGAAGTCCCGTGAGCAAATGTACAGAGCGGAAGTATTACATCACGGGAAGGAGTGGAGAGTGGGTGGCATGCAGCCCGAACCGAAGCCTGAAATGTTGTGGGATGGAGGCTGTCGAGGAGCAGTTCGGCGAATATTACCTAACTCAGGTGCGGGCCAAGAGAAGCCTTGGGACTGGTGGAGAATGATAGAAAACGAAGAAAAAGAAAGCGAAAGAAAAAAAGGAAAAAGCTACAGAAGCTCACAGTCACCCTGGGCGGGGCTCTTTTGACATCCACTCGCCGGGGTTGGGGGGGGGGTCATTGTGGCCCCCCACGCCCATCATCTCATGGAGTGCTTGGTACCTTGGCCCTTGGGTTCTCGATGTAATGGCACTATTACTCCAATAAGAAGTTTACGAGATAGCGTTGCTAGTCAAATTCAAAGGGGAGTTTCGTGCATATCGGTAACTTCCCTGTCGTATGCGTTCTTGAATAAACTATTGATAGGAAAGATTATCATCAGCAGATATAAGGCAGGCGTCGACTCGCCGTACATGTATGTACTTGCAATACTCTGATGGGGAAGTACATGTACGAGTATCGTAAGGAGAGAGAAGGTACCGCGAGTCCCGCGACCCAGGAGGAAGGAACACTTGGCTGAAATCGTCGGCTCATTTTCCTGGGGGTGCTATTGTCTCATGGCATTGGATACATCGGACATGGATCAGCGGGTCAAGAATATGGGGTGAACATGGCCCAAAGCGACAGTCTTTCTTAGCACGGCATAGTAGAGAAAAACATGTACTTTCTTTCTTGCTTTGACAGTATAATATCCTTTTTTTTTTTTTTTCGTGCGACGAGAGCATCATCATATTTCCCATTATAGGCAAGGGCAACGGTTGAGACCCAATTGTCGAGTTTCCCAGCCTTTAGCCGAATATGTCCCCCTGAGGCAAGAATTTCCTTTTCTTTGTTGTGTGTGGTCCACTCCAAAGGGGCACCCAGGCTGGCTGATGACGACAATGGCCCCGGGGTGTGGCCTGGGTTCAATCCCACCCTCACCCTCGGGCCTCGCTCTCACCACCCCCCCCTCCTCCTCCTCCTCTTTTGCAGAGAAGCAATGCAGCTTTGGAACATTATCAGTACCATCGCTACGTCGTAAGTAAAACGGTGCTACTATACGTATTGATTAATACTCGCCCTGTCGCCCTGTCGCCCTGTCGCCCTGTCGCCCTGTCGCCCCCCCCCCCAGTGTGGTGTGGGACTGGGAAAGGGGGGGGTGACAGTACGTCTCTTTCCACCCTCTCGTCCTGTCAGCTTGTCTCTTTCTTTTGTTTTCCCCTGGTAATGACGACTCCCTGTACGACTACGAGCACTTCTGACTCCGTATGTAGGGGACCGTGCCTTATTTCCCCAATTTATTGGGTCACGGTCTGGCCAACTGGGTCATCTCTCAGGGTCAATCTAGCCCTGGGTCATCGGGGATTAGGAGAAAGTTGCCGTTTGGACCGGGTCGGACATACTTTTACTTAGTAACTTCTCAACTCTTGTGTGTACTCGTACGTGTGCGCTCCTGTGTGTGACCCCCGGAAAGAAGATGCATGCAACTAAACAGACAGGGTCACAAAGGACCGCGTGCCAAGAAAGAGCAGCAGCAGCAAGTCCACGGCAAAAGCCCAGGTATGGCCCATTGGTATTGCCGCATTGCCGCCCACGAGAAGGAGAGAGAGACGGGGCCGGACTTGAAAGCTACTCATATGTACGGGTAATACTGTGCTCGTACGGAATATGGTAGCAGGTTCAAGGCTTGCGAGGCCTGTGCGGATAAGCCAGGACTTGTTCAACCCGTGGGGTCAAAGGAAATCCGCTTTTGGAGAAGCGTCATGTACGGATATCCGCCCCATGCACGGAGTATTATGATGTACTCCGTACGGGACCACGAGTAATACACGAGTACTTGTAGTACTCTCGACTCCCCACCGTCCTTAGTCTTAGGCTCTTAGCAGCTAACAATTTGTATATTAAGACTTGTTCACCCTCGTCACGCGGACTACTCCAACCTTCCGACCTATTCACTACTTACTACTACTATTACTACCTTTGCCTCCTCCCCTATCCGTTTCCCCCTTTGATCGTCTCCTTCAGCTTCCCTTCTCATTCTTCGTACCCCTTCCCCTTTACTGTCTAGTACGCCCTGTCACAACCTCCTACACCTCACCACTCCTAGCACGAATCCCACGAATAAACTTACGACAACTACGTAGCGGCAACAGAGACGCCCACATATACGACCTCAAAAGTCTTCGATTCACACAATCACTGTTCAACCTCACCTCTCTATATCTCACCTCTCTATTTTTCTCTTCATATATATATATACAGATACCTATATATATCGTGTGACTTTGGTAGCCCACGACGGCAATTGAGAGAACCGACGACATCGACAGAGGGGCCAAGAGCAAGCCCTTACTTATTTCGAAGAACGCGATTGCGTCTGCCACTACTACAACCCCCCATCTCCTCATACACACGACCGTCCCAATGCTTTCGTACGATGCTGCCATGCCCACCAACAAGGGCCACAACATGCCCTCGCCGCCAGAGTCGTTACAGGACGGTCTGACCAACGCCTCCCCCGCCAAGGACATGGTGCTACCCCCCAACACCAGCCACTCCAGCCCTCACGCCTACAAGCATCACCACATCTGGCTAGTTACCGGACCGGCGGGATGTGGCAAGACGACCGTGGCCAGTCACCTGGCAAAAACTCTCGACCTTCCTTATGTCGAGGGAGATTCCGTATGTTCCATGTCCCACATCTCTTCCTGACTCTCTCTCGGGAGAGAGGGAGGCAGGTGACAATTCGTATACTAGTATGTATGCCTCAGGTCAAACTAACGCTCGCATGGTAACAGTACCACCCTCCTGCCAACATTGAGAAGATGGCCAACGGCATCCCCCTCACTGACGCCGACCGCTGGGACTGGCTGACGGTTCTGCGAGATGAGTCCATCAGCCGCATCGACGCCGGCGCCGACGGCGTCATCCTCACCTGCTCCGCCCTCAAGCGCAAGTACCGCGACGTCATTCGTGTGGCCTCTTACTACAACCCCAACCTCCTGATCCACTTCATCTACCTCGACGCCACCGAGGACCTCCTGCTGCAGCGCGTCGGCGCCCGCCAGGGTCACTATATGGGCGCCAACATGGTCCACAGCCAGATGGACACCCTCGAGAGACCCTCGGCCGACGAGCGTGACGTCAGCAAGGTCGACGTCAGCCAGTCCATGGAGAAGGTCAAGCAAGACGCTCTCAACTACGTCGTCAAGGCCATGGCCGAGGATGAGGCTGAAATCCGCCAATGAGATAGAAGTCTCTGGTCCCACCTATCTCTATTCTCTCGTACACTTTCCTTTCTTTATAACTTTGGCATCATCTGTTTCTTGTGGGGTGAGAAGGAAGCGAAGAAAAAACAATTATAGCGACAAGCGAACATTGAACTTTCAATCCCCACACTATCAAATCCAAATGTCAACTTCGGCGTTTCTTTGCCTCTTTCTGGATTCAATGGGGGGGTTTACTTTGGGTAATATGACGGGGACAGCTTTTCTTTATCAACCGTTCTACTTTTTTCTGGATAGCAAAGTGATTTAACAGACAATCTATATATATGGCTATATTACAGCGTCATCAATAGGTCATTCTTGTATATGACATCGACGTACTGTGTTTCCGCGAGAGACAACGGTCTATTCTACGTGCAAAAAGTACTTCACGGTTTTGGTCTTGGGCCAGACCTACGTACGGCGTTTGATATTATCGTCATGATTCCCGCTATTCCCTCCCCCGTCATGATGCAAAAGGAAGAGAGGGAAGGAAAAAGCGAACAGACGCTCATTCTCATCATGATTGATTTTCAACTACCGAAGATGCATAACCATCACATCAGGCTCCTCGACAATAGCACGGACAACATCGGCAGCGCGCGCCATGGTGGCCCCATCAACAACGCGGTGGTCAGCGCTCCAGCTGAAATTGCAGACCTGCTTCTTAACGATATTGTCTTCCTCGTCAAAGGCCGGGACGGAGCGGATACGCCCGACACCCAAGATGGCCACCTCGCGCTCCACAATGACGGGACTGAGGTACGTCCCGCCAATGTTGCCAATGTTGGAGACGGAGATGGTGCCGCCCGTCATGTCGCGGGGGGACAAGCGTCCCTTGACGGCCGAGTCCTGCAGTCTGGCGAGTTCAGCAGCGATGGCAAGCACATTGAGCGATGCGACGTCGCGGACCACGGGGACCACCAGGCCCTGCGGCGTGTCCATTGCCACGCCGATGTTGTGCTGGGACCGGTGCACGAGGCAGGGCTTACCAGTCGCCGAGTCCGTGTCCACGCGTGCGTTGAGAGTCGGGAACTGCCGCAGAGCAAGAGACACGGCCTTGATGATGAAGGGGAGGTATGATAGCTTCTTGACCGCGGCTTCCTCTTGCGCATCCAGCACAGCGGATGGTACCGGCTTGCTCAGTACGCGGTTCAGGCGACCGCGCAGCTCGGCTAGAGACGAGAAGTCCACCTCGTCCGCGTACAGGAAGTGAGGGATGCCCAGGGACCTTGTCATTGTCTTGAACATTTGCTGCTGCGTGCTGGATAGGGGCACTGTCGTCTCGACTTGTGTGTCTGGTGATGCTGACAGTGTCCCTGGTGACGACGTCTTCTTGGCCCCGACAAACTTGTAGATGTCTTCCTTTGTTACCCTGCCGTCCTTTCCCGTGCCGTCGATGTCGTTGATGTCAACTTTGAATTCTTTGGAGAGGTGGCGTACGGCTGGAGTCGACAGCGCTGCACACTTGCCCTTTAATTCGGGCCCCTTCTTCTCCGTTAGACTCCTGCTTAGTGCCTGGTCCTCTTGCGGTGCTGTCATCCTAGGTGGCGGGTGGGCTGACGTCTTCTTCTCTTCCCGTCTCTCGTTGGGGGGCGCAGGCGCAGGTCCGTCTTTGACGTCGTCGTCTTGAACGTCAATGTCGATGAATGGCCGCCCCACCGACGCCATCTCCCCGGCCTCGTAGTATAACTTCTTGACAGTTCCCGAGAACCGGCTGGTTATCTCCACTGACGCCTTGTCACTCTGGACCTCGCATAGTGGCGAGAATTCTTCCACCGTTGCCCCAGGTTCAACAAACCACTGTATTACCTCGCACTCGACGATGCCTGGTTTGTTTACTCCCCATGTTAGTCAAGATGGGTCCCGCTTATAAAATGACACCGAGAGGAATCTGAGAACTGACCCTCTCCTATGTCCGCCAGAGGCACAGGCTTGATGGCAAATAGTCTCCTAGATTCTGTAAACCACCTGATGGCCGAGTAGCCAACTGTTGTATGACGCTTCGCCACAATGACCTGGCTGACTGTCTTGGACGTCTGCCATTGCCCCCGCAGCAGACGAGAGGCTCGTTGGAGGAGCATTTCTTCTCTCCCTATCAATAATACCTTGTCTTGGATTTATTCGAGCAACACTGTAGTTCGACTGAAAACAAGAGCAAGATGAATGTAAAGATGAGATAACAGACAAGGAAGACGAACGAGCTGAGGGGAGATGCTTGAGCCGATTCTCAAGGGTTACGTCGGCTTCTGATGCCCCGCGTCTAGCCGAAGACAGAACCTCTGATATCAGATATTCCCCCAGATACACTAGTCCTTTTCTGGCTATTCGATCTGGGGAGAGAAAGGTCGCGCGTACCATGAAAGTACGTACCATTCTACTACGGTACAATACATGTACTCAGAATTTTGAGAGAAGGAGAGAGCCGCATCTTTCCCCCACCACAACCACGACCTTGTTTTTTCGAGCCTCTCCCATTTGCAGACGCTACCGATGGTGTCTGCCACTAGCAAAGAGAAAGCACAATGAACGGCGCCTTATCGACTCGGAAGCTGAGCCGTGTCCTTGGCGGCAGCAGCAACTGCGCCATCTCGAGAGCTCGGCCCCTGGGGTGCGCCTTTTGCCAGTGGCGTCGGAGCTTCTGCGCGTCGGCCATCTATGCGTCGAAGCCGGGCGCCGGCGCGGAGCTCGACGCCAAGAGTAAAGTCAAGGGAATCCCCATTGAAGCTCCCCGGAGCTACGGAAAGCGCATCGAAGGCGGCTTTGTGCCCCGGCCGCTGCCTAGACCAATCGGTATGCCGGATCCCCCGATGGCGGGTGAGAACACGGGTATCGACAAGCGGACGATACGACAGCGACGCGAGGACTTTGTCGACTATGATAAGCATATCCAGAGGCGCAAGGAGCTGTGGGCCTTTTCCCCATCTGTCCTTATTTCATCCGTTATCCTGCTAACCGGGGAAACCTCGCAGGACCGCCCAAATGGCCAAGCCCTACTTCCGCGACTGGGGCAACCTCAAATACCATGAGGGCAAGTCGTTCATCTCGCCGCCGCGCCTCTTTCGCGCCGACATGTCGCTCTTTTTCCCCAACCTGTACGGCCAGCCGCTGGCCAAGAACGGCAAGGAGTTCGTGGACACGACACCGCTCCTGACGGGCAAGGCATCGGTCGTGACAATCTTCAACGGCCAGTGGGCCCAGAATCAGGCCGACACATGGATCTCGCCCGAGTCCAACCCGGCGCTGCAGGAGGTGCTGGATCAGAACAGCGACGTCGCGCAGATGGTACGCATCAATTACGAGGACAACTCGGCCAAGGCCTGGCTCGTGCGCATGTTCATGGGCTCCCTAAGGAAGAGGCTGCCCGAGAGGGACTGGCCCACCTACCTGCTCGTCCGTCAGGGAATCACCGACGAGATGCGCGAGTACACGGGCCTGCTCAACAGCAAGGTAGGGTACACGTACCTCGTCGACCACCACTGCCGCATCCGATGGGCCGGTAGCGGACCCAGCCACCCGGACGAGCTCGAGGGACTCAACAAGGGACTGGTGCGCATAGCAGAGGATATCAGGAAGGAGGCAAAGCTGCCCCCCACGGCTCGCGAGCAGCTCCCGAGCAAGAGACGGACGATGGCGCAGCAAGCATATTAACTTAGCATATTCTGTACTATTACCTTTTGTGTTTTTTATAGAAATGATGAGTCTCACACTGAATGCAGCATGTACGGACTGACTTTTGAATATGACTCTGTAATACTGGTCCCACATCACCACTATCCCGTTGGTTTCGTCTGATACATAAAGAAATCCTCTTGTAAAAAGGAGAAATAAAATACAGGGATGGTAATAATGGTAGTAATACCCACCAACTTTGCGAAAGCCAGAAAGGAAAACGCCCCTACGCCTATGCTTTGATGTCATTTTTTGTTGCATATATGCATGAGAAGGAGACGACACCGCCGTCTCTTGGCTCTATCAAGACAGCCAGAAAAACAGGATGAAGCAGAAGGCGATGAAGGAGCCCATGATGATGCCGTCTCTCCTCTTCCTGGCAGATATTCTGCCGATGATGGCATTGATGCCGGGGACCTTGTTGGCGGCCATGTTAATCCTCCGGTTGATGCTGGCCATGGTCTCGCCCTGGACAAGGAAGTTGTCTTGAATGGCATAGGCTTGGCTGATGATACTATCCGTCATCTCGTGGCTCCGGTCAATCTGACGGCCCTCATCGGCCATGTACTCGGCCTCGGCGGCCTCGGGGTTGTTGGCTCGGTACTCCTTGATGTCGTCGCGCACGCTGCCCAGCAGGTTAGACCGGTTGCGCGCATCCTTTAGGTTCGACCGGAGTCGGATCAAGTCGCGTCGGTGGTTGGCCAGGTTGGACCGCAAGAGGGCCAGGTTCTTTTGTTTGACGGCTGAGGAGCCGAGCGTCGCGTCCGAGTCGAGAAGCCGTGCGAGCTGGGAGATTGTGGTTTCGCGCTGGAGGGGGGGAAGAGTCAGTATAGCTAACATTTATCCGAGGGGCGTGATGATGGCTTGCTGCGGTCGGCTTACCTCTTCCAGCAGGCTCTCGATCTTGGCCTCGGTGTCGCTCTCCTGTGCTGTAGGCTTCGCCGGGACGTTGGCGGCGTTGGCGAATTGTGAATAGGTGTGGAACAAGGTCTGGGTCTGTTATCGGTTAGCCTTAATTAGCTATGGCCGTCAAAGCAATGGCATATCACAAAGGGGGAGCGGCGTACCTGAGTCTCGTGGTTTCGTGCCTGCTGCCGCAGGTGGTTCCAGCCCGAGTTTCCTGATGGCACAGACATAATGGGCACGAATAATCGGTAGGGATGAGGAGGAGGAGGAGGGGAGATCAGGCGACGTCGTCAGGCGACAAAAAGGTATGCTATTCGAACTGGGGTGAGGTTAGAGTACGGAGTACCTACCTACATACACGTAATACGTAACGGCAGCCGCATCCGAGGCAAAAGTGACGCCACCCTTTCGATCAGGCTCAGCCACATCTGTCGTTAGCTTCACTCGGGAAACCGCCGGAACAAAAAAGTGGCAGAATGCACCTGACCGCCCTGGCATATTTTCTCACGTGATGGAGAACCCACAAGCCAATGGAAATTGGGCACCGCGCACAAATTCTCTTTGCCAGGAACCCCACCCTCTCCAGTACAAGCGGCGCACACACCACACACACAAACCAAGTCCAGAAGCCCTAGGGCAACTTTTTGCACGCTTCCTCACTCCTTCCCCGACGGAAATCTTACGGCTGCGAAAAGATACGGTCCCGATCAACTTTTGTGCCATTCCCCGTATATCCACGTCGACACACTTCGCAACTCCCCATCGAAGGTATTCAAGATGGTGAGTGCATACCATCCTCCACAACACGATTCTTCGGACAAAATAAAAGGAGAGAACAAAATTTTTGGCCCGTCGCTGCATGGAGGGGGGGACAACATCGAAGGAGGGAAAGAGAGAGCACACGAGATGTGGTGTGCGAGGACAACCACACCTGCGAAGTTACCAACGACATAAAGCAGATCGCCCACGACCGACTCGCCGACAATCGTCTACTCTCCCTCTACTCTCCCTTCTCTCCCTCTTTATTCTTTAATAACGACGGCCAACTTTTTTTCTGTTTCCCCTTTCCCTTGTGGGGATCGAATTGTGACGGCAATCCGTCAGATAACGGTCGGGAGATGTGCTAACGTCAACCTTTTCTTCTTCCAGTCGTCGGGCAAGGTCAAGTCGGTTCAGCTGTGGGACAAGTCCAAGGAGGACCTCCTGAAGCAGCTCGGTGAGCTCAAGACTGAGCTCGGTCAACTGCGCATCCAGCAGGTTGCCTCGTCTGGCAGCAAGCTCAACAAGATGTGAGATTTATTCCTTTCTTATTTCTTCTCGGTCGGCCCGACTTCCCGTATCTGTATATCCATGCTGACATACCTTCTCCAGCCACGACCTGCGCAAGTCCATCGCCCGTGTCCTCACCATCATCAACGCCAAGCAAAGGGCTCAGCTCCGTCTGTTCTACAAGAACAAGAAGTACGCTCCCCTCGACCTCCGCCCCAAGCAGACCCGCGCCATCCGCCGCCGGCTATCACCCGAGGACAAGGCTCGTCTCCTTGAGAAGGCCAAGAAGCGCAACGTGCACTTCCCTCAGCGCAAGTTTGCCGTCAAGGTAATTATATATACTCCCTTCTTTTTCCCCCTCTGTTCAATACCAATGGTACACCCATGGGTATATGTTGAACAGAGTGTACTGGTCGAATGCTGACATTCACTTCTCGGAATTAGTCCGCTTAGATTCTTTCGCAATGCTATAAAAGGGAGTGTGACGGGATGGTAAAAAAAATATTGGGTTTAACGAGTGGATTTCCGGGAAGGGGGAACGATGACAGAAAGAAAAAAAAATACAACACAACACAACAAAAACCCCGGGCGAGGCGTGGCGTGCATCTTCTTCTCTTGTTCTTTTAACCACACATGAAACAAAGGGAAACTAAATTCCGCTCTTCTTCTGCGTCTCCTTCACCTAGTATGAGGATTCTTTAAAGGGAACCGGTCCATCCTTTTTTCCTCTTTTGTGTCGAGAACTTCGCATCACTTTTGGCTCTCGAGGGGGTGTTGGTTCGCTTAGTCTGAAGGACTTGTACTTAACTTTACCCGGCTTCTGACCCTCGGAAACTGGTGTTGGCCGTGCTTTTTGGTTCGCATGCACGCATGGGCGTTATCTCCCGCATCATGAATCAATATTATAAAAAAAAAAAAAGTGGAAAGTTTTTAATCAATCTTCCCATGTCCTTGAGGTTCAAAACAGAATCAAAGTCCAAATGCAAATGGTCTTCTAATGCGTGGCTCCGTATAATCATGCTGGGTTTTCGTCCCCAATGGTAACCATTGGAAATAACACAAGTAACAAGCTTCGTGTTCCGTCCTCAATGTAAATGTTCTGTGATCCCTTCAGTACCATCCAGTTCAAACGCCGGTTTGTCTCCATTCGCCTCCAGTTCCTGCCCAACCCTCATGATGTAATACTCCATCCTAGCCGTGATAACAGACGCCGACCTTTCCGCGATGCAAAAAAAAAGGAAAACAAAGAGAAACCCAAAAAAGAGAAACAAAACCGAAGAACGAGAAGAAGAAAAAAGAAAAAAAAAGAAAGGGAAGAGATGAGAAGAGAAAGGGAGGGCAAAAACGAAGCTAGAAGTAACAGCATCATTTCCAATGCCCCGCTTTCAACCTCCCGGGATATCATAATATCATCACCATCATGGCATAATATAGAGATTATCAGACGATATAGACAAATCGTCCATACCGCCGGATCTCTTGGCATGTTCCTCTTTTTTCCGCCAATGCCGTGCCTTTTCAATGACATTGCTAATAGTCTCCGAGTCATACTCTTTGTGCGTCGTCTTGAGGTGACGACGCAGCTGGTCGAGCCTATGAAAGTCTTTGTGGCAGAAATCGCACTCGAAGTTGCCAGACTTGGAGTGCGTCCGGCGGTGTTTGCTCAAGTTCGACGACTCAGTGAACACCGCACCGCATATTTCACACTTGAGGGGCTTCTCCTTTGTGTGGGTCCGAATATGCATGGCTAAGTCACACAAGGTCAGTCATGTGTAATGCTTGCTTCCTAAAGTTGAAGCTGGAAGAGGGGAAAGAGGAGAAACGCAGGTAACTTACTGAGTGCGCTATGCTGCTTAAAGGTCTTGCCGCATCCTTCATATGTGCACGCGTAGGGGTGCTCATTTGTGTGTGTTCTGATGTGCTGATCCAAGGCTTGCTTAGCAGACAACCGCATGTGGCAGATGGGGCACTCTAAAGGTTTGACTATTTGTCCGTTAGTAATACGACCCAAAATGATACGAACAATTCAGTCCGAGGTGATACGAGGGGGGGGGGGATAAAAAACTCACATCCGGTATGTGTCTGCAAATGCCTGTTGAGCTTTGCCTTTGTGTGAAAGCAGCCGTTACCTCTCTTACAACCCCGCCACATGCAGCGGAATCCACAGGTACCCTTCTCCAGCATCTTGGTGTGGTATTCTCTACAATGGGCGTCTAGGTCGTCGCTATTTTGGAAGTTTTGGTTACACGCGTGGCCCGTCTGAGAGTCTGTCCAGGAGCACTGGTACACGTTGTGGTGGCCATACGACTGGCTTGCCGATGAGTAGTCCGGTTTTAACTCCTGCTTCTCCAGACTACGGTTTCCAAAGGGCGAGAGAGAGGTAGGACTGAGCGCCGAATCTGGTGTCGGCAGCTGATGGCCAGAGCAGACCATTGATGCAGGTGAGGGTGGGTTGGTCGTCTGTGCCAACGTGTCCGTCCCCGCCTTGGCGGGCAGATGTGCGTGACTATGGATGTGGGCATGGCTATTACTATGGCTGTGGTTGTGATGGCTGTGGGCGTGATGGCTGTGGGCGTGATGGCTGTGATCGTGATGGCTGTAGCCATGATGGTTCTGGCCGTGGCTGTGCTCGTGAAGCTGGCAGGCTCCCTGGCTTGTACCGTTGAGCTCTCCAAAGCCGTGGTGTTGCCAGTCTTCAGCAGCTTTTTGCATAAATGTTTTCCAATCTGAGGGAGAAAAGTTGAAGACGCTATCCGGGAGTTGGTGCAGGAGATCCCCGTGCTGAGACACGACATGATCCGCGAACATGGCCGGGTCCTGGGCCAAGAATCCGCACTGAAACGGCGAGCTCTGGCCAGCAACGTCACCGGTCTCGAGCTGACTAAAAACCTGTGTAGGTAGAGTGCATTTGGCACCCGCAAGATTCGGGTAGTCGGCAAGACAGGGGCGCGTATGGTTAGAGTGGTTGTGAGGAGTGGCATGATAATCCCTGAGATGGCTAAGCAGCTCCCTGTTGGGCCATGGGTAGCCGTTCTGGGTTGGCCCCTGGGGGTTCGCGGCGAAGGCCTGGGGTACCCTCGCAAGCACGGCATTGTCGGTCCTTCCCGGCCCCATACAGTTCAGCATATCGCTGGCGTCTTGCCTTGGAAACGGCTGAGTCGTCGGGTCGAAGGTAAAGGCAGGGTTGCCAAACGCTTGAAGCTGGCTTCCGCCGGCGAACGAGTTCACGCCAGACATGTCTCCAAAGGATGCAAGCGCCGCGGCGGCTGCGGCTGCCTCGGTGCCGTTTCCAGTCGTCGAAGATGGCAAGGGGTCACCGAAACAGCCGTTGTGGGTGCAAGCATCACCAATAGCCTCACATGCGCCACGCAGGCAGAAGCCAGGAGGGTGTGACTCGCAATCCTTATGCGTACAAGCATCGTCAGCACCCTCGCAGGCATCACCAAGACAAAGCTCGGGACGGCGTGGATCGCAGCCCTCTTGTTCGCAAGGGTCTCTGGCACCGGAACAGGATCCATCGGAGCAGACTCGGTCGGCAACGTTGGAGTCGCAGTCCTCGTCGCGACAGCACACGCTTCCATGGCCGTCTTCGCCGCATTCACTAGGGCAGGCGTTCGATGGGCAGTCTTCTCCGTCGCAAGCTGAGCATTCCGACTTGGCATCGTCGTCCTTTGCAGGAGGTTCGGTAGGCGGCATGACGATATTGTCCTCCCACTGAGACAGCTGCTGGCTGTCGGCAGACGTGGGGCTGTTCCATGACCGGTCCGTCGGTTCGTCGGTCCCAAAAAGCATATTGAAGAAATACTCGTCGCTCCCGGTGCCGGTAGTGGCCCAGGAAGAGTTACCATATGACATGTTGCCGCTGTCATCCATGACTTTGTGGAACGGATGACAGTCGGGGAGCGATGGATTGGCTGTTGGGAGCAATGATCAATTTGACCGCAGTCAGGGTCTCGGAATCAGCGATAGAGCGTAATGGTCAGCATCCGCTCACGTAACCTTGCCGTCCAGATAGAGGGGAATTGCGGATGAGGGACAAGACGGTGCGGTGAGAACTGATGCTAGTAGTCTATCGGCCTGCACACCGGGGCGGTGGGAAGCAAATGAGGATGCAGAGAAGCAAGATCAACAACCAAGGCTCTCGGGGGTCAAGACAAGACTTGAGAAAAGATATTCAAAGCAGCATGACCAGAGAGAGAGAGCAGAGCAGCGTGGGTGATCGGGGCCACACAATGAGTTTTGTGTGCAGAAGACTCTCCGGGGCGCCCCAATGTACCTCGCGCGCTCTAACTGGCGGACGCGGTACCTAAAGTGTGTCGGTCCATGGGCAAGCGGGCCAGTCTCTTTGGACTCTTTGGACTTTTGGCGAGGACCTTGATGGTCATCGTCGAGCCTATACAGAGCAGGTGGGGTGGAGGGGCACTATCTCTTCGGCTGCTGAGTCATTCGACTTTGCTAGCCATTGTCTGCCATTTGGTTGGCCCAGGGCCTGCCTACGACGGAATATTGGTATTACTATTTGGATGTGCATGCATGATGGTGCAAGGAGTCAGGACCTTGTCTTGTAACTTACCCTGAGGTACTCACGGAAAAGAAGAAAAAACGTCTGATATTATTACTACTACGAGTATAACCTGTAACAACCAGCAGTGTACTACTATTTGCAGTGCACATTCCGTACCACCTCTACTGCTTGCGATAAAAATGACAGATTTATATCAGTATGAACTTGTATGTGCTTGACGTGTTCAGCAGTTGAGTTGAGTGTGGCCGTCTTGTTGCACCGAATGTGTGTATACCTCATATATATCGAGAGAAAAAAAAACAGCTTACTTTGATTTACTGTCCGCATGTGATAGATTCAAAATGTGTGGCACAGATAAATCCAAGGGCATATGCATATGATAAGCCCCGGAATCTAGAATACGCCTTGTTGGAAAGAAGAAGAGAAGGAGAAGAAAGAAAAGTCCCACCCTCAAGCATCAACCGAGAGGGGCGGTATTTGATGTGACCCTTGTATAATCTTTTATAGAAGCTGTGGTACCTGACGAGTTCTCTTCAAGCCTCTACAGCACCTCTTGTAACGGGTAATCGTACCACCGCTACCGCCGCGGCTACGATGGATCTATCATGTATTATATCATGCAATGCTATGGCATTACCGTTGCCGTCAGCCTTGCCGCTGTTACTGCTACTGCAAACCCCTCCTACGACCTTCGTGATAGAGACAGCCTGCTGGATCAACACTTACAAGCACAGTTATCAAAGGAACATGAGCCAAACAGGCGAGAGGCACGGAACCCACCCCTCATGAAGTCGACAGATGCGGAAGAAAGGATCAATGATTGCACTCATAAATGAATACCGCAAAAACAGCCAAGACAAGAGGCTTATACGGGCAGATCCTCAACGCTGTTCGTACTAGATTTAGTGTAGATCTCCCACTCCGCACCGTACACGGAGCACATATATACGGCATAGCACACAGTGCATCCCTCGGCAGATGCAAACAGTACACATCCCCCAAACAACCGCGGCCCGTTGCCTTGTTCCTACTGCCATTCGTCGCCGTACCTTGTCGCAGAGTCTAAGGGTCTAGACTGGAAGCACTAGAATGACCCCCTCCCCCTCCCGCTTCCGGCCTTGTCGCGGTGGAATTACGACACTTGCGCCAATCAAGCTGATGCGCTATTTGACAAAAGTTTTGGGGCCCTATCATAAGTTGGGAATAGTGAAAAAACAGGTGCTTTGACACACCATAGAGGCTTAGAGTCAGCTGACTCTGCCCCTTGCCTGTAACGCTGTAACGCTCTCATACGTCGTGGCTTTATGTTCATTTCTTCTGCCCCTCCATTGTTAGCACCACTATAATAGCTCTCGACCCCTCCTCCCCTCCATCCATCCTCCCTCCTCTCCCATACCATCCATTGCAAAACAAAGAAAAAAAACTCTTCCGCGATAGCTTCGTCTTCTTGAGAAATCATCTCTGGAAGTTCAGGTATATTATCAGAATCAGGGTAAGATTCATCCTCATCTGTCGACTCTCTGCCTCTTGTCTCCTCACCCACACTCCCCCATTACCCCGCCATGACGGAGCTCGCGGCTCCCGCGCGCGTCTTTTCTTTCACCTCACCACCATAGCTGGCTAGAAGCTTCTTTTGGCGATGTCACCATCTGGTTTCGGTGTTCTCACTAGAAGCTTGAAATGGGAATCTAGCCCGCTGCCAAGTGGCAGCTTTCCCCCCAGATACTTCCATCATCGCGGTTGCTTCTCTCAAACCACGCCACTCATGATACCCCTCCATTTCAAAATGCGCAGGAGGGGGAAAGAACAGGCCATCAACTCAAATCGCAAGCTAACATCTTCACCATCAGAGAAAGCATAAATACACGAACCGCAAAGATGGCCATCACCAAGGTTCACGCTCGCTCCGTCTACGACTCTCGCGGTAACCCCACCGTCGAGGTCGACATTGTCACCGAGACTGGCCTCCACCGCGCCATTGTCCCCTCTGGTGCCTCTACCGGTTCGTCTCGACCATTCCATCCTGGTCTGTTGGCTCCGTGATCGTTGTAATAACAGAAAATCACAGGTCAGAGCGAGGCTCATGAGCTCCGCGACGGCGACAAGTCCAAGTGGGGTGGCAAGGGTGTCACCAAGGCTGTTGACAACGTCAACACCATCATCGGCCCCGCTCTGATCAAGGAGAACATTGATGTTAAGGACCAGTCCAAGGTCGACACCTTCATCAACAGCCTCGATGGTACCCCTAACAAGACCAAGCTGGGTGCCAACGCCATCCTCGGTGTCTCCCTGGCTGTCGCCAAGGCCGCCGCTGCCGAGAAGGTAGGCTAACCACTTGCCACCTCTCGATTCACTCAATGGAGATCCATGACTGACACGCATGATCTGTAAGGGCGTTCCTCTGTACGCTCACATCTCCGACCTTGCCGGCACCAAGAAGCCCTACGTCCTTCCCGTTCCCTTCATGAACGTCCTCAACGGAGGGTAAGAATATCCACACCTATATTTCAAGTTCCAGCCGGTGGTATCCAATTCTAACATGACCTTAGCTCCCACGCTGGTGGCCGCCTCGCCTTCCAGGAATTCATGATTGTCCCCAGGTAAGAGATTATGCAGCTCCTTTCCGCTCTTTCCCTTTTCATTGTTTGCTGACCCCATCGTAGCGCTGCCGCCAGCTTCACCGAGGCCATGCAACAGGGTGCTGAGGTCTACCAGACCCTCAAGGGCCTTGCTAAGAAGAAGTACGGCCAGTCCGCCGGCAACGTCGGTGACGAGGGTGGTGTTGCCCCCGATATCCAGACTGCCGAGGAGGCCCTCGACCTCATCACCGACGCCATCGAGAAGGCTGGCTACACTGGCAAGGTCAGCATTGCCATGGACGTCGCCTCCAGCGAGTTCTACAAGGAGGAGGAGAAGAAGTACGACCTCGACTTCAAGAACCCCGAGTCCGACCCCACCAAGTGGATCACCTACGAGCAGCTCGCTGCCCTGTACACTGATCTCGGCAAGAAGTACCCCATTGTCAGCATCGAGGACCCCTTCGCTGAGACGGACTGGGAGGCCTGGTCCTACTTCTACAAGACTCAGGACATCCAGATTGTCGGCGATGACCTGACTGTTACCAACCCCCTCTTCATCAAGAAGGCCATTGAGCTCAAGGCTTGCAACGCCCTTCTGCTCAAGGTCAACCAGATTGGTACTCTGTCTGAGTCCATCCAGGCTTCGAAGGACGCCTATGCCGACAACTGGGGGGTCATGGTCTCCCACCGCTCTGGCGAGACCGAGGACGTCACCATTGCTGACATCGCTGTCGGTATCCGGGCCGGCCAGATCAAGACTGGTGCCCCTTGCCGCTCTGAGCGTCTGGCCAAGCTCAACCAGATCCTCCGCATTGAGGAGGAGCTCGGTGAGCTGGCCGTCTACGCCGGCAAGAACTTCCGTACTGCCGTCAACCTGTAAATGGTTGCGAAACATAGATGAAACCCCCCCCCCCTCGACACAGATTACACACTACGCAGCTCATGAAGAATGACTAGAGTACAAGGTGCTCTAAAAAAAACTGGAGGGAACAGTGTAGTGGAGATAGAAGCTAATATGAATGACAAATTCTTCTAAAACTACGATTCTTTGTTAGTGATGTAACGATGTTCTCACCCCGTGAAGAGAAGGGTAGGAGGGAAAGTACGACAAAAAAGGAGTATATAATAAATATTCATGTTCAAAAGGTGGCAGTAGACTATTACCCAAGGATCCAGTTGTATTTGAAAAATTGAAGAATAGATGGGAATAAAAGGAATACAAGAGGAAGATGGGAGGTATTCAAAAAGGGGCTACTAGATGATTTCCATCTCAGCAGTGCGGTCCTTGGCAAACTCATCCTTGTATGTGTCCCATAGACGCTGGACCTCGATGACGTACAGGCCGTGGAGACGATCAATCTCCTCCTGGGAAGGGTGGGCGCCGTGGGTACCCTCGACGCGGATGGGCTTGCCGACGACGATATTGACGGGGTGGCGGTAGGGCATGAGACCGACATCGTAGTTGAGGACGCCCCTGCCGTGCATGGCGGGGAGAGTGAACTTGAAGACTTTAAGGATGAACATTTGCAGGTGGTGGACGACGGGGTACTGCTTTGCGCTGAGCTGATCGTAGAGGTCGTTCTCGCCGAAGCTGAGGACGGGGACGAGGTCGGCGCCGGTGCGGAGGGCCATCTTGACGAAGCCCTTGCGGTCGCGGAGGATGAGGCGGAGCTTTCCCGGCTGCGCCTCGAGGGACTCCCTGGCGCCGCCAATGACGATTGTGACGGCGCGGCCCTGGCCCTGGCCATCGTTGCCGCCCTTGGAGAGGGTGTTTGCGATAGACTCCTTCGAGACGGAGCGGATGCCGAGGAGGAGGAGCCAGTCGCGGTAGAAGGGGAGCCGGAAGTTGGAGTCGAGGGTGAGCAGGCTGTTCGTGATGCCGGGGAACTTGGCGGCGAAGCCCAAGGCGTTGGTGGCGAAGGACAGCCAGGCGCCGTGCGAGATGATGCCGTGTGGGTGGTAGCCCATGATGTACCGGCGCGACGGGTCGAGCTGGTGCGTGCGGTGAAGCTCGGCGGGGAAGTAGCCGGCGAAGAGCCTCCACAGCGGCAGCGACCGGAGGTACTCGGAACGGTAGGACAGGTTGCCGTCGGTGGCGGCTGTCGAGACCGACAGGTGGATCAGATACGCCAGGAGCAGCGGCCACGCCAGCGGATTCGTGCACGTGAACCAGAAGGCGGACACGAACATGACTATCGACATGCTGTGGAACAGCACCGCGCCCGTCTGCAGCCGCCGCACCAGGGGCACGCGCACCGGCGCGAAGCGCACCCCTCCCGCCTCCCACGCGGACTTGGCGTAGGTGGAGTTGCGGATGTAGTCGTCTCGTTGGGCACGTGCCTCCCGAGACAGGTCGGGGTATTCGGACGGCGGGGAGTCGACTCCGTTGATGGTGGTGGTCGCCGCGGTCGAGGCGGCGCCATCGTTGGGCACTGCCGCCGTCGTGGCCTCGTCTCCGTTGACGTCTCCGCTGTCCACAGCCATTTTTTCTGCGTCTTTATTTCCTTACCTCCTCTGAATACTATGAAATTTCTAATGAATGGAAGAAGACCTGCGTCGCGTTAGCTATCCCATCTTGTATGAGTAATGATAGTGATTTACCCGTCCAACTACCGCTCTTGTCTCGGGAGGGGGGGGCGGAGAGTACGAACTGAGACTTTACCATGTGTTTCTCCGTCAAGTTCTCTCAACGGTGCTCGATGAGAAGCGGGGGCAAATAATCCAACCTGGGCGTTTTACGTCGGGCAAATCAAACAAAGGAAAAGGGAAAGCCGTCGGGCAGAATTTTTGTCTTTTGTCCCTGGTTGTTGTTCCTGGGATAGTGGTATGACGTACGTACCTTTTGGCCGGATCTGGGTGGGAACGAAGTAACGTACACATACAGGATGTGTGGCACGTGAAACGCGACTGAGTCTGCTGCACCGCCACTCTGTACTCGACGCCCGTACACTGTAATCGTGGTATTAAACTCTCATCTCGAGTCTGCAGTCACCATCTGACACCACGGAGGGCTACTGCCACTTAAACCACCTCTTTTTCTTTATCTTTCCAAACCCCCAAGTTTCTCGAGCAAAAAAAAAAAAAGAAACCCCCCAAAAAATTAACCACCGTATTGAAGAAAGAAGAGAGTGCATATCTAATAAAGCTTGATCATACCACACCGTTCTAAAGAAGATCTATATTGGCAACCGCAACGATGGGCAACATATGCGGCAAGACCGAGTCCGACAACTTCTCGTCACCAGGCCGTATCGTCGGTTCGGCCCCTCCCGCAGGTCCCAAGTCGGCCCCCGTCCCTAAGAAGGCCGTCGTCGGCGGACCGGGAAGGACGCTGGGCGCTGATCGAGGCTCGTCTTCGGCCGAGAGTCCTGATCAGGCGAGGCAACGAGCAGCAGAAGCAGCAGAGGTGGGGGATTTTCCTTTGTCGTCCCACCCCCCCGTCCCTCCCATTCCTCTTGTCCTACAATTGATTCCAGAAGCCCGACTCCTGCTTTTTGCAACCCTATGTCTTATACGTACTTCCTTTTTTCTTTCTTTTTCATGCTGATACCCGTCCATTCACAGGCCCGAGCAGCTGCCTCCAACAAATCAGGCGGTAAACTACAATCTCAGCTATCCGCTCAGAAACGCCAGAATAGGAACGACACACTCAAGGAGGCCAGCAGAAACGAGATACAGGCCCGGGAGGCAGAAGAAGCTGCCAATGTGCGTAACTACAACTAAGGGGGGAGGGGGGGCATCTTTCCCCTTCACCATCGTCCTATGAAGTGTTAGGTGAAGGGGGGAAAGGGATGCGGGGTTTGGAATGGCGCTCGTTTTGTTTTGTTTGTTGGATGGTTAGGACACTTTGCTCTTGTTTCTTCTTCTCTTCTCTTCCTTTGACTGCATACATCTCATCTCTTAAGCGTAGCATTATATCAACCATGAGCAATCTTTGGATTTTTTTTTTTTTAAATTTTTTTTTTTCCACATTTCATTCCACTTCTTTGCCGTCTGCTTGGTAGTACATGCAATTCACTCTTATTTCACTGTCCTAGCATCTGCCCGCCAAGGCTCAAGAAGGAAAAAAAGACGCCATGGATGTATGAAGAAACTATTGGGGGAGAAAAAAAAACGGCTTCACTTGGAAACTATCAGGATGCACATCATTGGCCCCACGGGATGACCGTGCATTATTTTTAAGCAAGGACGCACGGCAAGGGCCCATGATAACAGTCAACGGGCGAATGTGTGTGTGCGTGAACAGGTAAACAAGGATGGAAAGGTAAACAAGGATGGAAAGCATACTTGTACATAACCATATCAAGTAACAGTGTACCGTCCACTCGCTGGCGCGCGATTGTCCGCGTCCGCCGCCGCGATGGTCCCCTCCCTCAGCAGCCTCGTCAGCTCGCTCAACGCCGAGCTCACGACGACCTCCGTGTCTCCCTCGATGAGGATGTACAGTTTCGCCTCCGCCCCGGGAGGCACCTCCTTGCCCGGAGGGTAGAATGTGCCCTTTGTCGTGATGGACGTGCCCGTGGCTTCGAGGATCTTGGCCACGTTGGTACGGTTGGTGACGGCCCACCTGGCCTTCTGGGGGAAGTCGTTGATCTCCAGCGTCGCGTGGAATGCTCCCGCGTCGGGGCCCTTGTTGTCGATGGGCTGGCCCGCGCGCAGCTGGCCCGCCTTACCGAGACGGCTGTTGATGGCGCTGATGGCCGAGCTGACCCTGTCAAGAGGGCTGTGCTTGTCTCCTCCTGCCGCGGCACCGCCGGCCGCCGCCGACGATGACGATGCCCCGCCATTGTTGCCGTCGCCCCCCTTGGACTCGTCGCCCTCGACGCTCTTGGGCCGCGCCTGCACTCCAGATGCGGCCGCCCTGATGGCGTTGAGCGCCTTCTCCACCTTACTGTCGTCGTCCTTCTCCTTCTTATCGTCCTTGTCGTCGTCGTCCTCGCCGTCGCCCTCGGCCTTGTGCGTCTTGCGCTCGCGCATGCGCGCCGCCTCGCGCTCCTGATCCAGCCGGTCCAGTCCCTTGCCGCCGAAACCGGAGTTGTCCTTGGCTTTGCCCGACTTGACCTTCTCCCTATGGGCCTTGCGCATCTTCTCCAGATCTTCAGGAACGGGCTGGCCGCTCTGCTCTAGAGCCTTGGCGATGCCCGGTGCGCAGTTCTCCTGGTCGGGGGTCACAAACGTCACGGCCACTCCCGTGTTGCCTGCGCGGCCTGTGCGGCCGGCACGGTGCACGTAGTCCTCCAGGTGGTTGGGTGCGTCGTAGTTGACGACGAGCTTGAGCTGCTTCACGTCCAGGCCTCTGGCCGCCACCGACGTGGCGATGAGGATGGGCACCACGCCCTTCTTGAAGTCCGAGATGGTCGAGTCGCGGTCGACCTGGTCCTTGCCGCCGTGGATCGACATGCACGGGTAGCCCTTGACCATGAGCTCCTTGAGCAGATCGTCGGCCTTCTCCTGGCGCTCCACAAAGATGAGCGTGCGCGCGTCTTCGTCGCGGTCATACAGCTCACCCAGAAGCTCCAGTATACGGAAGAACTTGGTCGACTCCTCGCGCACCTCGACAATCTGCTCAATCTCCTTGGCGACCACGCTCTTGCCGCCGACCGTGATCTCGACGGGGCTCTTGAGGACCTTCTTGGTCAAGGCGTCCACGATCCGAGGCATGGTTGCCGAGAACAGAATCGTCTGTTTGTCCGGCCGCATGTTGGCGAAGATCTTCATCACCTGCGGCTCGAAACCCATGTCGAACATTCGGTCAGCCTCGTCCAGCACCACGTACGATACCCTCCTCAGATTGGTCACGCGACCCTGATTGGCCGCCAGGAGATCAATCATGCGGCCCGGAGTGCAGACGATGATTTCCGCGCCCCGCTTGAGCTCGGCAATCTGCTCGCGGATCGGGGCACCGCCGTATGCGCATACCGCCCGCAGTCCCATCATCTTGAGGAAGGGCTTACAGTCCCTGTGAATCTGCGTGGCTAGCTCTCGGGTGGGTGTCATGATCAGTCCAACGGGGCCGTCCGTGTCCCTGAGCGGCGGCTGGTCTTTGATGTGCCGGAACATAGGGAGGAGGAAGGCAACCGTCTTTCCGGATCCTGTCTTGGCTACGCCGATGACGTCCCGGCCGGACATGAGGGCAGGGATGGCCTGCATCTGAATGGGCGTGGGCATGTCGTACCCGAGATTGCTGATGACCTCCAGCATCTGCTGCGTGAGACCGCACTGTGCCCACTTCCGGACAGGCTTGGGCACATCCTTCCCTTTAACCTTGATACCGTCCAGCTCGAGACGCAGGTCCGCCACGTCGGCTTCCGACATGGTACTCAGCTCCGAAGGCTCGACCCAAAAGTTCTTCCTGATTGGTTGCAGGTCAATCTTACTATAGTCGACCGAGGGAATGTCCTTCTTCTTGCGCTTGTTCGTCATGGCCAGAAGCTGCTTAGCGTCACCATCCTCCTCGGCTTCGAAGCCAAAGTCGTCGTCGCTAAAGTATGCTTCCGGTTCCTGATGTTCGGCCTTGGCTTGATTTGCCGATTTCGCAGCCGGTACCTTGGTCTGTTCTTGTGAAAGATCGGCCATAAAGGCATCCAAGGGGTCCACGTCGTCCTCCTCATCCACCACCATCTTCTGAGGTTGCGGTGCTGGTGCTGGCGCTGGCGCCGGCGCGGGTGTGGCTGCACTCTTGATCGACCCTCTGGCTGGCTGTGCCTTGCTCTCCGCCGGGGAATCTGTCGGTGCGTCACCGTTTGTCCGCGCGCCGTCAGACAGCTCTGTCTTGGACTCCTCCGCTGTATTCATCTTATCGCCCGTCTGATTGTCCGCATCCTGCAGCCTCTTCTCATGGGCGGCGCGAGCCGCGGCCGCAGCTTCTTCTTCGTTCTCGGCAAAGTTGTCACGATCCCATTCGCCATCGTCGTCATCCTGATCAGCGTAGGGTGTGTCGTCGGCAATGTCGGGCAGGGCCGGGAGCTTGGTGAGCTTTCGCTTGGTGGTTTCTTCCTCGTCGAGATCCAGGGTACGCTTGCTGGGCAGCTTGTCCGGATCGGCATTCGACTTGCCAAACCCGAAGCCGCTCGTCTTGGATCGATTGACCGGGAGGGCAGACGGCCTGGGGGCGGGCTTGGCGGGTGCCGCCAGATTTTCCGGCCTGACGTCGACAGATCCCAGAACCGACTGCGAGTCATCATGGCTGCGCGGGTTGCCCGACTTCTTGGCAATGGCCTTGGGGTCGAACTTTCCCGCGTACGGAGTCGCCGATGGAGCAGGCGTCGCCGTGGGGGAATCTTGCGCGGGGCTGTCTCTGGGCGGGTCCTTGGGCGAACCACCGGTGGCCTTCTTGTCCATCTCGGCCAAGAGGCTTCTCGTCTGACTGGGGTTGACATCCTTCTGCTTCTGCGACTCGCTCTCCTTCTTCTTCTTCCAGGCCTCCAGCTTTGCCAGGCGTTCAGCCTTCTTCTCAGCGTCGGTCTTGGCGTCGGGGGCAGCGCTGCCGGTTTTCTGCTTGTGTATGGCGATTAGCTTGTTCAGTCGTCACGGAGCGGACGGTAGTCAGCCCACGTACCTCGGCCCTCCCATTCTCTCCCGCCGGTGTCCTGCCACCGTCGTGTCTCCCGCGGCCAGACGAGTCAGCCGTGCCCTCGCGGCGCGCACGCGCCCTGTCTCTCGAGTCGTCTCGTCTGCGGTATCCTCTGTCGTCGACTCGGTCCCTGTTGGATCGGCCACCTGTGGGTGGCGATGCGGCCCTGTTGGAGTAACGATCCCTCGACCTGCGACGGTCCCGATCCCTATAGTCGCGCCGTCCTCCGCGGTAGTTGTCGTCGTCGCGTCGGTCTATCGAACGGTCTCTGCGGCGGTCGCGGTCGCGGTCGCGGTCACGGCCACTGCCTCGGTATCGGTTCTGTTCCAGACTGTCAGAATGCATTGCGGGGGTGGGTGAGGTTTCTGGATGGTGGTAGGTACTTACATCGGGGCTGCGCGAGCGGGTTCGTCTACGGGTGTCCCTCCCGTCATCGCGGCGCTCATCTCTGCGGTAGCGACGCGAGCTGTGGCTGCCTGCAGGGCTTGGTGAGCGCGACTCTCTTGGCCGGGCCATGTCTGTTTGATTTCTTCACAGTTTGGCCGCGGAAAGACGCTGGCAGCAATACCCTTGTGGATGGAAAAAAGAAAAGCGTGGTAGCGAATGCCCTCGCAATGGAAAGATTTCCTTGGTGGAGGCGACGAGTTGCCGGCGGATCGGAGAAATGAGCGACGAAGTCCGGTTTGTGAGAAAAAGAGGAAGAAAAAAAACTTGTTAGTGGTGAATGCGAAGAGAGTGATGATGATGGTATTAGATGTCGTTACCCAGAGTCGTAAGACTGGTAAGAAAATGACCACTCCAGAGCATGCGGCTGGAAATACGAGTAGGAACTGCACTAGTAGTAATACTCGTAGAATATCATACGAAATCTACATGTTAATAATATCAGGGAAATGCTGGAGAGATTCTAACTGGGCGCGTCATACTTTTATCACCGATGTTTTACCGTCCTCCATCCTCCAACTCCATTCCGCGCTAATCCCTATTCGATCTCAAAACATGCTCTCAATTGCTATGTACAGGTTCTGCTACTGCTCGGCACTACTACCATCTCACTCTCACTCTCATCGACATCAGATCGCAAAATCAAAAGCGAACTTGCCATAATGGCTGGGCTCGTGGCTTACGCAAGCAGCGACGAAGGGTCGGAGGAGGCAGAGGAGGAGGAGGAGAAGGTGGAGGGATCGACTGAAAATGCAGAGATAACATCTCACAAGGCAAGCACAATGGCCACCCTTGTCGAAAGACAAAAAAAACAACAAGAGAAAAAAAGACAGCCCTGCTAATGCCAAACGAACTCCAGATCCATGCAGGAATTTCCAAGAAAAGGAACACCGCAGAGCCGCCCAAAGCTGATGATGTTCCAATTATAGGGCCCGTCCGTCAAAGTGCAGTCCTCGTGGGCCCGTCACTCCCCCCTCCGTCAGAGGAGGAGCCCGGGATCGACGACGACTACGTCGCCGCCATCACCGCCGCAACCCCAGGCTCACCATACTCGGCCAACCGCGCCCTTCTCCACGACCTCACCCTCCCCTCCGTCCCCAACCTGGACATGCCCCCTTCCCCACCGGGATCTCCCCCGCGCGCCACCTCCGCCAAGTTTACACAATTTCTCGACCTCAAGAAGAAGGGCGTCCACTTCAACGCTAAGCTCGAGAGCTCCACGGCCTTGCGTAATCCCGGACTCACCGAGAAGCTCATGGATTTTGCCGACATCGGCACCGGTGACGACCCCGTCTGCCAGTACGAGACCACCCTGCCCCTCGACATCTGGAATCCCAGGGCGTTGCCCGACTCGGCGTACAGGGGCCACCTGCGTAGGGGCCAGGAAAGGGCGGAGGCCGAGAGGGAGGCTCAGAGGGCCGCTGGTGGCCGCACAGCCGTTGAGTTTGTGCCGGCTTCATCGTCAGCCACGCCGGCTGGTGGCAGCGCTTCTGCCGCAGGAGGCGTGTTTCGGAGTGACAAGAAACGCGGCGGCTGAATGGCCCGCAGGACTGACGCTGCCACCCTTGTTCAACTGCGTGTCACAATCTAGCTCATATAGCCACTATAATGCAATGATACCAATCCGAAAGGAAGGAAATAGGAAATAGGGGAAAAAAGGCCGAGACTTTCAATTGGTTTGTGCTTCTCATTTACATTCCTCACGTCTACTAATCATCTGCATCCGATACATACCTCAACAGCAAATACAACCAGACTCCTCATCTGTTCCAGCAAAGAATGAAAATCACACACCGAGATATCATCCGAGTCAACAAAACTATGGCATTATAACGCTGTCTTGCCCCATGTATCCGGCAAAGAGCGTCGTACATCAATGCCTTTCCCGACACAAGCCCAACAAGCAGCAACGGAAATAAATGAAACGAGAAAAGAGATACATGCCAAGACAGAGTACAGAAATAGGAGAGATGATGGGTGTGCTTCCGATGCCGTCCAGTCGAGATCCAGACCGCCATGGCCATAGATCCACTAACTGGAGCCGCACCCAAGACTTGAACCGAGAGTCTTCTCAACAATCTTGCCAATCTCCATGTCAACCACCTGCCTCTTGTACTTGAGTGCATCACGGAAGTAGTTGAGTTCCTGGCCGTCGTTCACGACCTTTTCACAGACCAGCTCGAAGGGGATGACCTGGGTCTTGCAGTACTGGTCACTCTGGAGTAAATTGACAACACGTGCTTGATTCACAGAGGCTGTGAACTGGACTGTGTTGCTGCCGGGACGAAGGAAGACATTGTTTATGGTCATGTTGCCGACCTTGACGTCGCCAACATAGTTGGAGTAGGTGATGTTTCCCTAAAGGTGGACAATGTAAGTATATGGGCGCCGTGTCCACACTCTTCTTTCCGGAGAAAGAAAGAAGGAGGCGAGAGAAAAAGGGAGAGAGAACGGGCGACGGCTTTGAGGCAAACTTACAATGTCGAGGGTGTAGACGGAAGCGTTGGGAATCTTAGCAACGCCCTTGAAGTTGTTGCCGTCCTCGTCCGTGGTGAGGGATAGTACAGCCGTATCGACGGGAACAGTGGTTCCCTTGAGATTGTTGAGGCCGTTCATCTCCACCGTCTTCTTGAAGTGAACCTTTGATTTGCGACTGAGGCCCGAGGGCTTGACCTTGGTGTGGCCGTCGATCGAAACCCTCATTGTCTCGTTGTTGACGAACCAGGTGTTGAAGGTTGTGAATTTCTTCGTGTCGGCAATGTTGACGTGCTGGCTGACATTGACCGACTGGTGCTTATTCGCGTTGGTCTTGGGGAGGTTGACCGTGGCAAAGGTGCTATCTTTGCCGAGGTCAGCGAGGTACATCTCGCCCTTGAACGGGTCGAGTTTGGCCTTGATGGAGCCGTCGGTGGAGATGGTCGAGTTGATCTCCATGGTGAATGACTGGGGCTGCGTATCCAGGACATTGACACCCTGGATCCTGAGCTTGGCGTCGTTGACTTTGCTCTGGGCGATCTTGGGGACACCGACAAAGATTCTGCCATAGGGTTAGTCGTCCCTTCGCGCTTTCATGCTGTTTGTTTGACAACAGTGTCAGGGGGACGAGGATAACATACACCAGGCATACGACAAGGACGGTGATGCAGCAAAATATGATGAGGTGCACCCACCAGAAGCGCTTGCAGTGGCGCGCGCAACGGGCTCGCTTGGAGGGTTTTGGAACTTGAGGGTTAGACTCCTCATGGACCGTTCCCTTGTCAGACATCTTTGCGAGGATACGATGGGAAGCTGTCCTTTCTTTTTTTTTTCTAGTATGCTTCTTCTACGCCGAGAAGGAAGGAAGGATGGTGGTTGTGCCGCAGATGGCGAAGATTGCGGGCTCCTAGCAGAGAGAGGGAAAAGGGGAAAGGAAGGGGGGATGGGAAAACTGAAGAAGTGGAAGAGATGGAGGAAAGTGGAAGCTACAAGTACAAATTGGCATGCCGAAAGGGGGATGGAAGGACCGAACAGACGTGCTTGGAGGGTGGGAAGGTGCATTGAACTGTTGGTTGCACCTGCCCGCAAGAGATCTGTGGAAGTACCCGGCAAGGCCATGGGGCATAATCTACATGATCTATTGGGGGGGGGGGGGTCAATTAGGGTTACAAAAAAGTAGACACCGTCAGTTGCAAGTGCGATAAATTACTCGGTATACTCGTACGGAGTAGTAGGCACGAGGTATGGTTATGGGACATCTCACCGAGGACATTTCCACGCTGATGGGGTAGAGGACTATCATTCCCAACTGTAGATCCGAAGCCTAGGGAGTGCGCATATGCGGAGGGAAGGGACACATGATCAAATGTGGACAAGGGCGTACGCGAGTAATCCGCATAAAGAAAGTAGAGACATCTGGCTCTAGTATAAGCGGCGGACGGGTACGAGCAGAACTTGACCAGATAGAGAGATGGCCTTTACTACAGTCTGGAGGGGAGAGAGAGAGGGAAGATGAGAGGGAGAAGAGAGGGAAAGAGGGAGAGAGAAAGAACCAATTGGCGGAAGCGCTAATAGTACGAGATGCACGATCCATGCATTAATATATGCAAGTCCATGTTACCCCAGATCCACAATAATATCCAGAAAGACTGCACATATCCGTACTCCGTACTTGTCGAACTAAATGCCCCACAACAAGACTTTTTTAGCTTTTGGGGTAAGGATTCCTTAGCGGCGCTGACCAATCTGCTGCACGTACAAAAATTCCTATAGACAACCCATGTCCCCCCCCCCCCCCCCCCCCAATATCCCTTTTCTTTTATCCCATCTTTTTCTTTTAAATTCTTCTCTCTGTCTCTCTCCCTCGGTTCCTTGTGATGATGGCCTCCTATACTCCTATATCGTCGTCCAGACATGACATATGGGCGGAGCTTCTTCTCCCTTCCCCCCTCCACTTTCCAGGCACTTACACGCTTTGCGTGCGGGGGAGGGTTCCCAACTAGTCCGCATGTAGTGGCTGGTTCTGAGGTCCGGGGTGTACGGACTTGTCTGATTCAATGTAGATCTAGGCTTAGTTGAGAGTCGGGTGCTAATGTCCACGTAGAAAACCGGAGTTTTCCCTATCTCGCTCTATGCCTCTGTATCAATCCCCATCTATCTGCTCATGAGGTTGGCTGGTGAAAGAGAACAGGTGGCGTTCGACGCATATCACAAGAGGTTGCCGTGGGAATGATACTGGTCATCCTAATAGCACGTATCCCTGCGAACAGTACAAGACCGTGTGGCCTGTCTTGTCTGTCCAACGTCTCTCCTCCGTGCTCCGGAGCTAGCGACGCAAGGTACATCCGATGTACATGCCCTCTACTGGATAGTCCCGGCTGTCTCTTCTCGTCCTCTCCCCCCCTATCTGGGCCTCTGGTAGTATATCTATCTTTTGCCCATAAAGGTAGTATAGACCGAACAGACGTGAATGAGCCTATACTACAAGTCCAAACTCTAACAGAGCAGCGGATGGAGAGGGTAAGAGGAGAGAAGAGAAGAGAATCGGAGCCTCTCTAACATACTGTTACGGCAAGAGCGACTGTACCATACTAGGGGTGGTAGGAGGAATCAGTAATTTGCCCGTCTCTATCGTCCTCCAATTTCGCCACATTCGTTTGTTGGTTCGTATTCATGCGGCATTACGGAAAACCTTGTCCCGTTCCCCATCCGGTAGCAATGTCCGTCTATGCTGTCGATATCAGTGTACGAAAGCAGAAACCGTTATCAACATGTGGGAAAGTAATACCTACCGGTAGCATTAGCACGGAAAAGTATTCTTACCTCCCATAACCCGATGCATCCATAGTCAATGTCTTTCAAGGAATGCCGTTCTGCCCCGCATCATTGTGTGTCGCCGTTGTCATAGTATCGCGTGGGGTCATGCGAGTCAACCCATCTCGGTAGATGGTCGCCCTCCGCACGCACCGTGCACGCAACGCACGCGCGGGGTAACACCAGCCAAGGCCTCTGACCAATAAGTCAATATCACATGTAGGAAGCAAGCTTTCGGCATAAGAAGAAGCTTTCGAACCAGACCTTTAGCCTGATTATCATCAGTAGGCCGCGGGGGGTGAGTGGGTGGGTGGGGGGGGCACTGAGGGGAGGACCAGAATCACCCACACCTCTACCCAACCCAAGAATGCCTGTTGCCTCTGCCACATTGAAAGCGCATGAGGGAGAGAGGAGTGTGTGCGAGTGTGATAGAAGAGCACGCTAGTTTATGAGACAGAAAAAATAAAATAAAAAGAATCTAGCAGCTGATCTCTTTTGTCTACTTCATACGCAACATGCCCTTGGGCGAACGGATGCATTCATAGTTTCGATTTAGTCCATAGCAGTCCCTTGTCCAGACCCGGCTCGCCATCGTAAATGTCCCTCTCGACGCGACGTGAGTTGATCTTTTTTTTTTGGGGGGGGGGGGTTTGGGTGGAATAACATGTCAGTCTCTTCTTCTTTGGCTTGTAAATAAGAGAGGGGACGATGGTGAAGTTGAGAAAGGAAGCGTGGGGGGGAGGGCGGTAGAGTCCGACTTACAAAATGGGGACCTAGATCAGAAACGCTCTTGGCTCCGAGCAAACGCATACATGTAGCCGTCTCGGCCTCGAGGACTAGAAATATGGAATGTCAGCCATCACGCCAATCAGCCAAATGCCGAGCTCGGCATTAGGCAAGCAGAGAAAATGAAAATATAATGGGAAACAACGCACTTTCAAGAACCCTCTCGACACCAGCTTGGCCACCAGCGCCGAGACCAAAGAGGGGTCCGCGACCGATACCCACGGCGTTGGCACCCAGACAGAGCGCCTTGACGACGTCGGTGCCACGCTTGATGCCTCCGTCGACCCAGATCTCAATCTTGCCGAACACCTCGGGGCAGTACTTCCTGATCTCGAGCAGTGTGTGGACGGCGGGGGGGGCGGTGTCCAGCGCCCTGCCGCCGTGGTTGGACAGGATGACGGCCTTGACCTGCGGCGCGTACTTTGCGGCGAGGTACACATCCTCGTGGGTCTGGATGCCCTTGAGGACGATGGGCAGGTGCGTGTGCTCGGCCAGCCAGGGAAGCGTGGTCTTCCAGGTGAGGTCTGTGGCGGTGCCGAAGAAGAGCTGGCGCCCCACGCCGCTGCTGCCGGGCCTCTTCTCGCCGTCCGGCTTCTCCTCGCTCGCCGACTCGACCGTGAAGGTGGCGTCGATGTTGGTGCGCTCGTCATGCTCGCGCTTCCCCGGCACGGGCGCGTCGAGCGTCAGGCAGATGAACTTGAACCGGTCGCTCATGGCGTTGATGCGCCGCAGCATTGCCTCGCTCTTGGCCCGCTGCATTTGCACGTATAGCTGCCATCCGAAGATCTGACCCGGCGCGGCGCCCTCGGCGATCTGCTCCGGTGTCATGGACGCGCTGTTGGACACGATCTGCATGGCGCCGAAGCGCGCCGCCGCCTTGGCGATGCCGTGTTCGCCGTCCGGGTGCGCCAGCCGCGCCATGGCCGCCGGCGAGACGTACAGCGGCAGGCCCACCCGGTGGCCCAGCAGAGTCGTCGACAGATTGCACTCTGTGCAGTCGACGAAGACGCGCGGCCGCAGCAGTATGTCCTTGTACACCGCGTTGTTGAACCTCTTGGAGATCAGGTCGTCGCCCGCGGAGAAGTAGTACGCCCACGCCCTCTTGGAGATGCGCTTCGTCGCCTCCTCCTCGATGTCGTCCAAGTTGAGCAATGCCTGGAGGGGCAGTAGGGGTTTCGACTTGGGCTTGTTATCGCCGTCATCCCCACCACCACCGCTACCACTGCCACCGTCGCTACTGCTGCCGGCACCGCCCCCAGCGCCGTTGGCACCAGAAGAAGCGGCCGAGCTGCTGGATGCCTCCAGCCCCTCCTCCCCCCCCTTGGGCAGTGTATCCGGATCGACGTGGCCGAGCAAAGCGTCGGCCTTGAGGTTGTCCTCGAGTGCTCCTGGCGGGTGAATCGGGTCGTATTCCTCCGTGGCGTCCTTGCCCGCCAGGCTGAGGATGGCCCTTTCACCTCCCGGGTGTTCGGGCAGGAAGTCGGTCACGTCGTATACATTTCCGTAGAGGACAACCCAGCAACTGTCGGACGTGTTATGCTTGGCAACTGTTTATTTCCATTTTTAGTCGGTGTTCAGTCTTGTCGAGCAACAAACATCGATCACGCTATAGCGGAGACGAGATAAGAGGAAGGCGGGGGGGAGGAGGGCAACCCACCATCGGCAGCATCATATGTCTTGGCCATGTTTTGAGAGGGAGAGGTCAACCGAATTGAAGTGGAAGGAGGGGGGATGATGATGATTATGATGAATGAGATGTGTAACGGGGATATATATGTCAAGAAAATGGGAAAAAAGATCGGGAAGTCGGTTCTTTATTTTGCTATCTTGCCTCGTCGGTCAACATTATCCCGGCAAACGGCAAACGGCATAGGACGAGCCCTGATTGGGAGGAGTCATCGGCGAAAGCTTCCATGGGTCCAGTCCGAACCACTCACCCATCGAGCATTACAACGTCGCCTCCGACAGCAGAGATCACGACATAGTATTACACACAATATTCCTTTCCTCTCATATACATATCTGCCTTCTTTATCTAACAGCAGAAGTCCCGGCCAAAAAAAAAAGGGGCCTACTTACAATGGACATGTCCACTTTGCATCTAGCTCATTGATTGTGCAAAACATGGAGGATCCAATCTGCATGAGATGCTCTCTCCTCTGGTTTAATAATGGTCTAGAGCAGAAGGGGCCTAGTCCACGTCATATTACTAAGAAAAGACGTAACCGATATTGAAAGACCGCAAAGCTCCGAACGCGCTGCTCTGTTCCCACCCGAAAACAAAAGGCCCGATAATATTACAACAACATCATCAACAACGATTAGAAAAATAATATTAGAAAAATGCGCCCCTCCACAATCCCACCCATCCGCGCATCTTTCACCCGGGTATGCACCCGCTGTCGACTCCAAGGACGTGGCACAGCAGCAGCAGCACCAGGGCGTTCGCTGACAGCATCATCATGGCGTCCTCAACACCCCACCCCATCCATCTTAACCAAGGCATCCTACACCACCACGACAGCTCGTCTGCGCAGCAACCGCAGCAGCAGTAGCGGCAGCAACGATGACGAGATACCATTCGTGTCGGCCCTCCCCAAGACCCACTACGACATGTTCCCCTCCACACTGCCCGACGGCCCACCGCCGACGGGCCACTTCCCGATCGACACGCGCTCCCTGCGCCGCGAGTTTCTCCGCCTCCAGGCCCGCGCCCACCCGGATCTGCAGCCGGCCTCGTCCAAGCCCGCCGCCGAGGCGTCGTCGGCCCTGATCAACGAGGCCTACCGGACCCTCGCCGACCCCCTCCTGCGCGCTCAGTACCTCCTGTCCCTGAGGGGCGTCGATGTGGCCAACGACGAGACGCTCAAGATCGAGGAGCCCGACCTGCTCATGACGGTCCTCGAGGCCCGCGAGGAGATTGAGGAGGCCGAGTCAGAGGAAGAGCTGGAGAGGCCCCGCTCCGAGAATGATGAACGCATCCGTCAGAGCGAGGAGGTTCTCGACGAGGCTTTTGCTGCTGACGACATCGACGCTGCTAAGAGGGAGGCTGTCAGGCTGCGGTACTGGGTGAACATCAAGCAGAGTCTCGACAACTGGGAAAAGGGGGTGCCTATCGTCCTGCAGCATTAGGGGAGGGGGACACACAATAAGAGGGTTTTCTTTGATAACTCATGTCTTCGGTATCTTTTTTTTTTCTTTTTGAAGAATCACCTGTATAACTTAGGAACACATATCGTTTAGGTTACAACTTCTATATATATAAACCCTCCCTCTATATACCTGAAAAGAACATTGTTGGAAAAAACTAAGCTCTATATGCCTGAGAATAAGACTGTTCGAATAAAAGAAGTTTACGTGTCTAGAAACAAGACCGTTGGGATAGATAGAGAGATCTACTATAATTTCGTATATAAGACCGGTGGGATTGAAACTTCGAACCCCCGGGAATAAACAACTCCAAAACACCATACCAAGCAACACAAAATATAACAACATGCTACCTTCCCATCCAGCCGTCGACTTTTTCTTCGTAAAATTTCCAAGATTGCATAATTACAAATATGTATATATATACCAAAAAAATCATATACGTCCAGAAGAAAAGAGAAAATCTTCACTCCACTCATCGTTCGCTCCCTTTGTCGGCACATCATTGTACGTAAGCCGGAAGCTGCTCGTAATCGTCGTGACTCGATCTCGAGTTGGACGGTCCGGCGCCGGCTCCGTAGGCAGGATGATGTTGATGCTGCTGGAGACTGTGATGCTGATGCTGCTCAACTTCCTCATCCAGTATGGGAGCACTCGGTTCCGCGGCATCGTCATCCGCATCGGGCGGACTCGACGGCTCACCTCGTACCCTGTCCATGTCGTCGGGTATCTCTGGTGGTGCGCTGGCCTCGTTCATGAGTCGACGACGTTCACGCTCCTGCTTGTCTTCGCCACTCACGGCGGCACCGGCTGGGGGCGTCTCGACATCGTCGTGCGTCGGTGCCGATGCGTCCTGGTCTGCATATTCTAGCGGTGGCGGTGCACTTGGACCGGCTGTTGGCGTCTCATCCGCTTCGCTTGCATCGCCATGGTCATCACTGCCATCCGCATCTGGTGCAGACGGGGCCGAGGCCGAGACCGAGACCGAGGCCGAGCCTGAGGCGGCGTTGGGGTCGGGTGGCTGGCTTGGGAGGAGCCTCATCTCGGCCTGGCGCACGCGCTCCTTGTCCGACAACGTATGTGGCTCAGGCATCTGGGGTGGCGGGAAGTATGCCGGGGACTCGCCTCGGTAGTCATCAGCCATCGGGTACGGATGATAGGGGTGTGGCGGTCCCGTTCCAGGCTGAGCCATGGGTGACTGGTTGTAGAATCGCTGGCCATTGGGGTTGTAGGATGATGGGCTGTTCGTGAGCTGGCCATTCAGGGGCGGTGCTATGTCAGGCTGGCTTTGATCGTGGAATTGATATTGGTACGGTGCGTTGGGATGCTGATGATTGTGCCCGAGATTGGGGGAGGAGCCGTGCTGCTGATCGTCCTCGCTCGTACTAGTGCCCATTGGCCTGATGGACGGTGACGTCCATAGCCGAGAGGGCTTGCTGGTACGGGAGCTGTCCGTAGTTCCGACAATAACCTCCATGGCGACCGCCACGACACTCTTGGCCCTCCGCATCGCTTCAGTGTCGCGGATGGCTACACCTCGCCTCGGGTTGTAGTTGGCGCCGACGCCATCAAACATGCCGCCTGCTGTAGAGCCCAATCGCGAGTCCTGAGCTCCGACCGAGCTCCACATGTTGCCCTTGAGGTCGACGAGCACCTCGACGTAGTATCGGAAGGCAATCATGTCGCCCGGCACGCCCATGGTAGTCGGGAAGGGCTCTTCGGGCAATTTGACCGACAGTGTGACAGAAGCTTGCAACGTCGCCGGGTTGATGATGAGGGGCGACATTGTCTGGTCGAGGTCCTGCCTAAAGACGCGAGTTGAACCGGCCGACGAGAGCGATAAACCACCCAGTCCGGTCCGGGACCGGGGGTACGATTCGTCCTTGTTAAGCTTTCTCTTATCTTCATCCGACATGGTACCATCAAAGAGCGATGCCGGGGGATTCGAGTCGACCTTTCCCCGGCGGAAAAGGGTCACAATGACACCATTCATGCTCTTGATGCGCTCAATGTGCTGGACCGTGATGCGCACGGGGACTGTATCGCCAGGCAGGCAACCGCCGCGCAGAACGGCAATGGTTGCTGTTATCGTCTTATCATCGACAGCTTGCTGCTTGGCCTCGGCCACCTGGGCGAGCTCGGCGCGGCTCAAGCCGCCTGTGCTGACACTGCGAACGCTGCCGGCGCTGATGTCGCTCCGGATATCGCTCTGATCGGTGTGGCGTAGGTCGATCGTCGACCGGTTACGTGAGGCATCGTCGGCCGTCACTGACGACGGAGCGACGGAGCCAGCCTCGGATCCACCTTCGTGACCAGTAAGATCCTGAGCCGGAGTGGGGGTAGCCCTTTCGAGTCCCGCGGACCTCTTGCGTCTTTTGTGCTTTGATATCGGCTCGAGGAAGATGGGCCGTGGCCGTGGCGGCTGTACCCGACCAATGTCTATCTTGTCCATCAACTGGACATCTCTGTCGCACGATATGGTTGGAGCTATGGACGTCGGCCTCGTCAGCGTTGCTGTTACCATGTATGCAATGGTGCCCAGGCCAAACTGAATGCGGGGCGTTAGCACCGGGTCCTCTTAACACAACGAGGTCACCACCCATGGGGGGGAGGGAGGGTAACATACAGAGATACTGCTGGGGAGGCCGTGTGAGGGAAAGACCAGGTCGAACCCAAATTGGTACTTGCTCACATCCAACCTCCCCTCGCCGCTAAGGACCTGCTCATCCTGGAAGAGGCTGGCGAGACCATTGCCATGGTACTGGGGGCTGTGGGAACCGCCCTGGGGAAGTCGGGATGACACGGAGCTAGACAAGGTCTTGGAGCCGGCCGACGCGTCCTTGACGACCTGTACATAGCCATTGAGGGAGACGGTGAGGTGGGTGATGCGCACAGGTTTGGACACGGTCAGGTGAACGGTACCACGGACGTGGTCGCCCGGGCTGTAGCTGTGGCGGGGCGACTTGTCCGTCTGGATGTAGAAGTCGGTTATATGGCGGGTACGCGTGGGCAGAGAAATCGGGATCTTGAAGCGCGACAGGAGACTGCTACGGGAGGTGGGTGTGGCAGAGGTTGACGACGGTGCAGGCGAGCCAGACGAGCGCCTGCCGGGTGCCGAAGGCCCTGCATTGTTAGCGTTGGCGCGACGTGCATTGGCGGCAGCGTTCGCGTTGGCACCGGTGTTGGCGCGACCGTCGCCATTGTTGTTGGTCGAGGAGGAGGAGGATGGTGAGGGTAAGGAGGATTGTGTGGCGGCGGCGGGGGGTCCAAGAGTCGCGTTCGTGTCCGTGACCACGGCTGACTGGACTGGTGCGGCGGCGGCGGAGACGGACGGAGACGAGTTCGGCGGGAGTGAGGGCGACGACGACGACGAGAGGCGGTTCTGCATCCCCGATTGCGAGCCAGGAGGCATGGACAAGCGGGTGGGGACAGGGAAGTCGAGGACGCGTTGTCGTCGCCGCGCGCTGACGGCGGAGGGGGCGTCGTCGTTGTTGGCAAGCGGCGGGCTATTAGTGGCGGCGGCGGCGGCGGCGGCGGCAGGCAGCGACACTGGTTCCGACAGCTCGGTCGAGGAGCGTAGTGGGCTGCTAGAGGATGGGCGGTGGCGGTGGTAGGAGAAGGAAGAAAAGTTCTGGCGCCGCTTGGGTAACGATGGAGACGTTGGCGACGATGATGGAGCGGCGGGCCGGATCAAGGACGACGAGTCGTGGGAGGAAGAAACATCAGAGTGGGAAGATGAGGAGTACGAGTCAGTAGAGGAAGAGGAGGAAGAGGAGGAGTATGTCGAGGATGAGGGTGAGGGTGATGGCGCAAACCGCACCGTTGGATTTAGATTCCAGGAACCATGGACGGGTGGCGGGGCTGGACGACGACTTCTGGTTCCTCTTGGTTGGAGGAGTTGTTGGTGCTGATATTGGTGGATCTGGCCGGGTGTCACGGAAGGTGGCGGTTGACGAGCAGCGGACGTTTGTGGTGCTTGTGGTGTTTGCGGTTGCTCTCCAGCAGATGCAGATGCTGAAGACGGCACCGCTACAGCGCGTGCCGCAGCGCCTGTGCCGCCTGGAACCGCCGGAGGAGGACTGACTGAAGTGGAAGCCTTCGCCGCTGGAGCCACAGGGGCCGCTGGCCCAGGGGCCGCTGCTGATAGTGCCACCGGAGCCTGTAGAGGTTGATGTGGCGGTAGATTTGGTGGCCGCGGTGCCCCTAGCCCAGCTAGCGGTAGCTCTGGATGTGTAGGTGGCCCCAACGCCACAGCAGCCCCAACATCGGCGGCAGGAGCTGCTGCTCCTGTTACACTTTCCCCTTCTCTCCCGTCAACCATTTCTTTAGCTCAACTCCAACCCCCTGAGAGAGAGGGTGTGTGTGTGACGGGCAGAGAAGACGGAAGAATCACTGCAGAGGGAAATTTCGACGCAGAAACAGTTGCAAGTCACGAAGCCAAAAGTGTACTCCAAAAACCCTTCTGTGATCCGTAATAATATGGAATACCCGTTTCTGAGCTCTCTTCTTTTCCGTTTCCGGATTTGTCTGAGGTTTCTCTGGCTGGTGTCGTCTCGCTCTCGCGTCTGCTCAGGTCCTTGCATGTGTGCCAAGAATTCGGGCCTCGGCGCGCACGCCAAGCCAAAAAGCTTGGTCTTCCAGGTCCCCTTGGCGATGAGGTAGAAGTCTCCCTTGGGAACAAAGGGGGGATAATAATGAGCGGGGTGGACAGCTGTGATACACATACACGCACACACGCATTCGCACACGCGTGATCTTTCCTTGTAGGAGCTTGCAATATACCTATACGTGCCGCGTGTATGGTTTGTGTGTTGCGTACGCGTGTGGGCGGCGATTCGAAATGATGAGAGGAAGAGAAAGGTGAGAGCAGAGAGCTGAGCAGAGAGCTGACAAGGGACCGAGGTGAATACGAATATTTCGCTCGCAAGAGAGAAGGAGGTGAGGGGAGGGGGGCTACAAAGGGGCCCTGCTGCGGATGAAGCGCACCGACTTTTCAGCCTTCTCCTCTTGTCCTTGCCCGGTAGCAATAACCCAACGACTCTACTCGTGTTTGTTACCGAGTCAAGTAAGATCTTGAAATATCTCATTCATTAATTTAAGAGTTGTTGAAAAGTAAATGGCTCCTGTGTTACGCCTCTACGACGTTGGTGTTCTGTAATATGTTTGTATTGCCTGTACCTCTGTATTCTCGGGTCTCTGACTCCTCAAAATCTTGCGAAATTTGATGGACAGGCAGACGGGGAGCCAACTCCTCATTCTGCATCCCGCACTGTCCAGGAAGGGATCGTCCACTTATTCAACCCCTCTTCACTAGTTGATCAGACAATGATGCATTCGTTCTAACGTTCCTGTTGGTGTTGTCCGGCCTCTTGATGCACGTCGACGTAGATCACAATACTCCCTGCAGTCTCTTGTACAACCAATCGCCATCCAATTATTGCGCTTGTAACAAGCCATGACAATGCCTTTGGTATATCCGCCCACTCATGCTCTCTCCAAGAACCCCCCCCCCCCTCCCTGCCATCTATTATAAACTCTGTGTAACGTTGCTTCCATCAGGGTACGCCCCTCCTGGTATGGTTCTTTCATGGTATTGGTATTATAACGCCAAACAAAATGCCAGTATGCAGTCTAAAACAGTTTCCAAAAACACCAGGCAATAAGAAAATGAAAAGGAAGACGAGCTCGCCAGATAGCAGTCGAAGCCGCTCAGTCGAGGGCCTCGCCACCCAGAATGCTTCCCAATATGCCGGCACCAATTCCCTCGGCCACCGACTCCATATCCTTGTCACTCACAGCGCTGGCGATACGACCTTCGTCGCCGCCGCTCGTAACAGCGGTCCTGCGCCCACGCTTGCTGGGCGTCTGCGGGGCGGCAAAGCTGCCCCTCTTGCCATCCACGGCATGTACCAGCCCCAGCGTCTCCAGGCTGCCCACCACCTCGCGGAACTCGGAACTCGAGAGCGGGTGAAGCACCGAGTCGCGTGTGCAGAGAAGGCAGTACGTGTCGAAGAGGGTCTTGATAGTAGGTGCCGTCATTTGGCGTGCCTTAGAGGGTGTTGCCGCTATGTCAGTCGACCTCGCGTTGGCACGGGCACGGTTTTCGTAGGCCACCAGGGAGCACAGGGCTGCCTTCTGCTGCAGGTTGAGGGCCTTGAGACGTTGGGCCGTACCGTTGCTGAAGGCCGCAGCAGTCACCTTGTTGAGGTGCCCAATCGAAGCCCGGGGGGCTGTCTCGGGTGTAAGCGTCTTGAGCGACTCTGTCATAGCCTGAACCAATGTCTTGCCGGGCCTCGAAGACCCGTTGACCTTCTCACCGAGGGGCTTCTTGCTGGGAGTCAGCTGCAGGAGGTTGGCACGTGCTTCGTCCTCGTGCTTGGACTTGGTCTCGGCCTCAATCAGATCGAGTGACCGGCGGCAAATCTCGAAGGCCTTGCGCAGGTCTCCTGTCTGGCTGGCAACTTTGCGGGAGCACAGTTCAATGGCAGCCGGGTGGATGAATGGCACGAAGCCCTCCTTGGCTGCCGGTGCCAGCGACTTTAGCCGAGCTGTGATGATGTTCTTGATCTGAGGTGCTCTGTAAGGGAGAAATGGCAAAAGCTCGGGCTTCAAGTTCTTAGCCTTGAGCCTGGGTAGGAAGCGATCCGTCAAGTCGAGGGCGTTGGCGACACCGACGAGCAGCAGTCGGGAGGGTTCCTGCAGAGACCACTCAAACACGCGGTAGAGGCTCTCGAGACCCATGGTCAGAATGTGGTCGATCTCGTCCAGCGTGACCAGGTACACCGTCTCCAACTCCTGCTTTTTAGAACAGAAGCGATTCTGCAATGCCGTCACGGCGTCCGCCTCAGCCATATCGCCGTCATCTCCCAGAGCAGCCAGGAGGGTAGCGTAGAGGTCCTTGGAAGACTTGATGCTCATGCAGTTGAGGTAGGCTGATCGCACATTGGGCAGACTGGAGTAATCTCGGAGCGTCTGCGTGATCATGGCACTCTTTCCCGTGCCGGGGGGTCCGCTGACGTAGAGACAGCCGCTAGGGGACAATGCTGTCGAGTCGGCTGAGCACCGGTCGAGGAAGTCGGTCAACTGTTGGCGTTCCTCCTCGCGGCCGATAAGCTTGCAGGGCTCGCCACCGTGGGCGAAGAGCTGGCGTGCGGAGTGGTAGATAGTCTGGACGGTCGAGGGGGAGGAGGGTGATGAGGGCGTCAGACGCTTGAAAAGTTTTCCAGCCGACATGACAGCATGGCGAGGAGTGCCAGGGTTGCCAGCGAGGGCATCCCGCTTGCGTGGCGTCGAGGGCGTGACAGGAAGCTTCTTCGGGGTCCGCTTGAGCGGCAGCTCGTGGAGTCTGTCGTCGTCCTCATCGTGAACGTCTTCAGGATCAAGGTTCTCGTCGGTGATGCGGGCGGTGGCACGACGCGTCCTCTTACTCGGGGTCTCTGGTGATTCTGTAGATGGGACCAGTGTGAGTATTACGTACTCTAGTTTCTCCTTCTTTGATTGCGTCCCGACTTACCACTTGCCTCGACAGCTCGCGCCCTCTTTCCCGCAACGGAGCAAGCCATTGTGTGCGTGGAACGGAGGCAGGAGAAAGCAGCGAAAATGCGAGCAAGTACGTTGCAGATATTTACCAGGATGCACCTTCCACAATTGCGAACAGATATATAAAAAAGAAGGAACGGAACTTGAAGGCGGGTAACGAGTGGTGGGTGTTGGAAGTCGCAGTTGCTGGATGCGAGAATGGAGAGTAATTGAAGGTGAAGCGACACGAATCGAATTATGGGAGATTGAGAGTCGAGGGCGGGTTTTAGTCTGGCCATCCGCTACGGTCCATCAAAATCCCTGGTCACCAAAACGCGTCTCTACGCGCTTTCAACGGGAGGAGACCGCGTCGAACGGTTAGAATGTCTGGTCTGTGCGTCGCTCCCCGTTCCCCGTTCCCGTGACAGCTAGTGGCTTGTACATCAAGAACGCGATCCTGATTGGCTGATATTGGTATCCATACCAATTGCGCGTGGCGCCGTCGCGTCTCTGCTATGGGAATGATGAAAGTCTGTGGCAATGGGACGCCGAGAACGTGCTACTACCGACTCCCGCCCTATCAATAGCTGTACTATGGATAATTCTATCTCTCCCCTGTAATCATCAGTACATCGCTCCCTTTTCCCTCTTAGTCCTTATCCTCGATGGAACATATGTCGGAGCCACAGTACGACAGCCTTGTAAGCGGGGCTGGATCAGTCCGCTGTAGACGGATGGCTCCTGACTCCACTCGGCATCACCACCAATTGCACGGACTACTCCGTCTGGGATGGCCTTGAACGACGAGTACAATGCACATGTGTCCGATGTGTATGTGTTCAAAAGCCCATCGTTTTTATCTTACAGTCCTCTCGTCGTCAGGATATAATTCTGAATCAAGAGTTTCCCTATCCTTCTTCGCTGTGCTTCCTCTTGCTCACAAATATCATCCACTGAAGACTACCCAATCCACCCCATGGGGGGAGTCAATACTGGTGTCAGCCCTAGTCTTCGAACATAATAAGCTCGATGACTACTGGACTGTCGTCGAGGATGGCGTGTGGGATGTTGCCCAGCCTATTCCACATCACCCAGGTGGTGCTTCGGCTGTGCACTACGGCCAAGACCAGCGTGATGTCTTACACTGCGTTCTAGTCATCCCGAAGTACGCTGGCAGAGATGCTACCGCCGCATATTCTGCTATACATTCATCATATATCATCAAAAAAAGAGCCTCTCGTGGGATAGCTACAAGGTTGTTCTGGACCTCCCCACTGTCGCTGAATAATGGACGAGTGCAAACGCCTCCGCACCAACGTCCGAAGAAGTGGGCCAAGCAACGCCGCCGCCACTGAACGACATGGAACATGTGCGACATATACTATCTCGTTACCGTCGAGTTACGAAGAACGTTGCTGTTGTGGACACATCGGGCTCCGTGCTGAACATCCCCGTCAAGTACGAATCCCGCGAGCGGCTCAAGGTGGACGACTCTGGCGACACCATCATCAGCCTCGTGACGGGCCAGCGCTTCGTGGCCGACAAGTAAGGCGGACGGGGGCTGATGGGGCCGATGGGAAGCTACATCGACTGGGGCATGATTTGGCGCGACATCGAGTGGATCGGGAGCGTGACCGGCATGCCCATCATCCTTAGAGGCATCATCAACTGTTAGGATGTCAAGGTTGCCATAGAGGGCGGGGTGGAGGGTATCATGCTGAGCAACCACGGAAGCGCAACCTCAGCTTCTCTCCGCCTGTCCATCCTTCTGCTTCTCGAGATGCACAGGAACCGTTCGTAGGTAATTTGGCCGCATGGAGGCCTACGTCGACGAGGAGGTCCTGAAGAGGCCGGGATATCATCAAGGCGCTGTGTCTGAGGGCCATGGTCGCAGGTATCGGGAGGATGCTCCACTGTTTGCTAGCAGATGGGACCGAGAGTGCCGAGAACCCCGTTCAAAATAGATGAAGGCA